GGCTGTCGAAAATTAAAAAAAAATGTAATGTTTGCGATAAATATTACCTTTTATCGGAATGTTTTTTGTGCTTAAAACTGTCATAACTTTTTCAAAAATTAACAAATAAAAATAATATTTTCTTGTATTGAAACCTTAGATATTTCCCTTTCATTTGATATAATTTTTTTTGAAAATCTAACACTTATTCTGTTCACTGGGGGGATTTAAAATAGTAACTTTTTTACAAAAATGAACTTTTTCAACTTAATTTTTGAAAATGTTCCGGAAATACTGCGTCCTTCAAACATATATAAAATTAAAGCTTATTTTATGTACTACAAAATGAAAAAAAAAAATTTGTCCCGACGACCTATCTTTTATACGCAAATGGCTGCCGTATTCAAAAATATGCTATTTTTGTATTCAAATTATGGGTTTTGTATTTTATTTTAATAGAAGTTGATGTTAATTTTGCAATTATCCATCAATTTTTTAAAATTAAACACTATCTACAGATTTGCATCGAAGCGTTTCTTATGATAGTGATTTTAATCACTGTCAGATTAAATCTATCTGGACCCAACTATGCAATGTCTCCACTATGCCGCGACCCCACTGTGCTACCGTTTTTTTTTTTTAAGTTGAATTAAGATATGTATAATGACATACTAAAAGTCCTCATCAATTGGACTTGAGCTTTTTTTTACAGCCTCGCAAAAGTTCAAAAATATGACCTTTTTTAATTTTCTCAAAAAATATTTAAATTACAAAAAAAAATATTGTACAAAAGTTGTTTAAAAGATAATTTTAAACAAAAAAGGTATCTTATATTTTTTCATATAAACAAATATTTTTTCTTCGATGACTGGCCTAATATAGATAATTTAACATATGTTAAAAGAACGCAGTATTTTCAAAACGTTTTTAAAAGTTAACTTTTTATACGTAATTTTCAAGTTTTTAACTTCTCTTGTAAAAAAAAAAATGGTTTTATTTAAAAAAAAGTATTTAAGATAAAAGACGTATATATAATGGATTTTATACAAAAAATCGTGTTGATCTATAAATTTTTAAAAAAGTTATAGCAATTTAAAGTAGAAAACATAAAATCGAAAATTTTAACAAAAATAGCATTCTTTTAACTATAGGAACCATTTATACAAAAAAATAAGTGGCTGGATAAATTTTTTTTTCAAAGTATACTACGTAACATATGTTTAAAGGACACAGTATTTCCAGTTGGGTGGGGTTGAAGATGCTTAAAAAACAGATATAGAATACACTGAAAGGAGACTACTCTTTAATCTATACCAGAAGGAAACAGCTGTTATACGATTTGGCGAAACTGAGGAAGAAGCACGCATAAGAAAAGGAGTAAGGCAGGGTTGTACTGTCTCACCTAGCATATTCAATGCATACATCCAGGAGGCAATTAACATNGTAAGGCAGGGTTGTACTCTCTCACCTAGCATATTCAATGCATACATCCAGGAGGCAATTAACATAATAAGAGAGAAAATACATTTGGGTATAAAGATAAATGGCAGGAAAATCGATATGCTACGGTTCGCAGACGATATAGCAGTCATAGCTGAAAATGAAGAAGATTTGCAAAGGATGCTAAGGTGTATGGAAGAAACTCTGCTCAATGAACTGAGCATGAAAATAAATACGAAAAAGACCAAAGTTCTCGTATGCAGCAGGAGCAATAATATTACGACAAGAATACATCTGCAAAATAACCAAGAAATAAAGCAAGTAGAAGAGTTCGCATACTTGGGAAGCATAGTAAGTAAGGATGGCAGAAGTAAAAAAGAAATAGTAAAGCGAATATGCCAAGCTAAGATAGCATTTAACAAAAAGAGAGGACTTTTTACTTCAAAAAATATTAGCATACGTACCAGAATATATCTCCTGAAGACATACGTATGGAGTATAATGCTGTATGGCAATGAGACGTGGACGATTGCCAAAGAAGAGCGAAGAAGAATAGAAGCTTTCGAGATGTGGTGTTTCAGAAGAATGCTCAAAATAAGTTGGACGGGCATGGTAACAAACGAGGAAGTATTAGAAAGAATGTCCGAGAGAAGAACTTTATGGAGCAGTATCAAGAAAAGGAGAAATGAATGGATTGGACATGTATTGAGACATGGTGGGTTGCTAGGATTGATTATAGAAGGCTGCGTGGAAGGAAAAAATGCTAGGGGAAGACCACGAATGGAATATATGCAACAAATAATAGAGGACCAAGGATGTACTTCTTATGAAGAGACAAAGAGGAAAGCAAGTAACAGGGAAGAGTGGAGAATTGCTACAAACCAATCTCAGGATTGAATACTGAAGAAGAAGTATTTCCAGAACATTTTCAAAAGTTCAGTTGAAAAAAATTGGCTTTTTTGAAAAGTTGCTATTTTGAATCCTAAATGTGGACAGGTAAATAGTCAGGTTTTCAAAAAAAATTATATCAAATGAGAGAGAAATGCCTAAAGGTTCAATATAATAAAAAATGTTTTTATTTGTTAATTTTTGAAAAAGTTATGGCAGTTTTAAGAATAAAAATGACAAAAATTACCAATTTATAAAATTGTAACTTTTTTGGGGATTTCCTCTATTATTAGAGAACGGGGGAATTTTTTTTAATTTTTAAGGGGAATGTCTTCAACTAGGTATGATTTGTGATCTTTTGACGTATGGTTGAAAGAAATGTCCGATGACAGCTGAAAAAAAGTGACGACAGACATAAAATTAAAAAACCCAGCACAGGGGGGTCGCGGCACAGTGGTGACGTGGCATAGTTGGATCAAGTATAATGATATTTGACAGTGATTAAAATCACTATCAATAATAAACGCTTCGATGCAAATCTTAAATAGTGATTAATTTTAAAAAAATTGGTGTTTTATTCCAAAAGCTACTTGATCTGCTGGTTTCTTATTAATATCCTGATTAAGATAAAGTATGTCGAATGAAAAAGAGTTTATTAAAAAATATTATTTCTCATAAAAAAATTGTGTGGATCCATAAACTTTTCAATAAGTTATAGCATTATAAAGTTAAATATAATATAAATAATAAAGAATTCGAGAATTTTCACACAAAAATAGCATTTGATAGCCATTTTCGCCGTGAAGACAAGTCCAGAGGTCAAATTAAAGTATATTACATTAGCTTTAATTTAAGATATATATAAAAGTGTCAGACCTTCCGGAACACTTTCAAAAGTTAAGTTGAAAAAGTTCTACTTTCTATATGCATTTTTTATATTTGAAGCCCCCCCATATATAGGGAAATAGTCTGATTTAAAAAAAAAGTATATCCAATGAAAGATGTATATAAATACTACTTCTCATGAAAAAATTGTATTGATCCATACATTTTTTAAAAAGTTATAGCACTTTAAAGTAAAAAATGTAAATTATAAAATCGAAAATTTTCACACAAAAATAGCATTCGGTAGCCGTTTTCACCATGAAGACAAGTCCAGAGGTCAAATTTTTTTTTTTCAAATTAAAGTACATTACATTAGCTTTAATTTAAGATATATATAAAAGTGTCAGACCTTCCGGAACATTTTCAAAAGTTAAGTTGAAAAAGTTAATTTTTTGTGAAAAAGTTGTCATTTTAAATCCCCCCCTGTGGGCAGGTTAAGTGTCAGATTTACAAAAAAAATATACCAAATGATAGGTAAAGACATCAAGCATCTATAAAAAAAAAAATTATATTGATATGTTCATTTTTGAAAAAGTTACGGCAGTTTTTAGTAAAAAAAATTGAAAAAATTTCGAAAATTAGCGATTTTTAAATTTGTAATTTTTTTGGAGGTTTCCCCCATTTACGGGGAACGAGGGAAATTTTTTCAATTTTGAAGGGTAATGTCTTCGACTAGATACAATTTGTGATCTTTTGACGTATCGTTGAAAGAAATCCGTTCGGTGAGAGCTGAGAAAAAGTGGTAACAGACACAAAAAAAAAAAAAAAAAAAAAAAAAAAAAAAAACACATCATAGTAAAACCAATACCTTCTCAGCTTCGCATCGAAGCTAAAACATAATAAAATTATTACCTTCTTAGCTTCACATCGATACTAAAGAAGACGTTATAAAAGTAAATTTTTAACCTGCGTACAATACAGGTGATTGACTAACTATGCCTCACGAATTTTCTTTAAAAATATTAGTATTATCGTATATGTAATTATTTTATTTGTTATAAATCTTTGTTGAGCTACTTGACAAGAAAAATGAAGATTCAATCTTCATCCCTCAACCATTAAATCAATATCAACTTTAGTTTTTCAAATAGCAACCCAGTTTTTTTTTTATTAATCTTGTTAATAATAAAAAAAAAAATTTTCTCAAAAAAAAAAAAATCAATTTTAATAAATTCTAAGCGAGATATTACTATTTTAAGTTTAGGGGATTTAACAAATAAAACAGTAGTCGGGTAAATATAGTATCGTTATTATTTAGTGTACCGATAAGAAGTGGTAGCGCTTATCGATTTACGATCCATAACGTTCTCGTCTGTAATGATTTTTTCTTAATAAACCCTAAACTTTAGAGAGCCGTGGAGCGCTTAATATTTAATAAAATAAAATATTTTTTTTACAAAACATTTTTTTTTTATTAAACTAAATCTATTGGTATAAAAAAAAAATAGTGTTGCCATTTGAAAATATGAAGTTAACACTATTTTTAAGCAAAAGGGATGGTGGTAAAAATTTAAATTTTCTCGTGAAACAGCTCATCAAAGATCCATAAGGATTAAAAAAAAAAAATTGTTTATAACTCTTATATTTTCAGAGATAATTCGTGAGGCATAGTTAGTCAATCACCCTGTATAGGGAGAGGTTGAATAAAATTTTTTAATTTAATAAATACTTTTTAAATATCATTAATTTTTATGGAATACATATCAGCAGAAAATATATCATTTAATTAGGTGTTTTTAATTAGTTCTACTTAAGTTCTATTTTGTTATGAAAAAAAGTATTTGTAGTTCAACACAATTATAGTGATAATTTTTTTTTTTTGTATTATGACATAAAATAACATATAATTGAAAATAGTTAATACATTTAAGAAATTGTATTGATTAATTAATATTGGATAGTGAACTTTTATAAATATAAATCAAACTATCACAAACAAATTTAACAACAATTTAACTATCTTATTGACATATTATTTTGGCTTAATTAAGGTTTCAATATAGGCTTGAAGTTTATCTACAAGCACTTTTGGTTCGTCTACTTTTGCCACCTAAAAAAAAGTCATGTTATGATTAAATTATATCAGTGTTAGAAAATCTACAGCTCTCCGTGATTAATATTTTAAAATATTTTTAACCTTCTTTATTTTGTCTTTTAAAGTGAAAGTTTATAATAATAAAAAAAAAATGAATTTATTACCATAACGTTTAGCTCAAGAAATTTTTAAATTTGAAATTGACATTATTATATAGAAAAAAATGAAATTTTAAGATTAATATGCAGTCAGGAAATTTTATAATTACTATTTACAGTAAATTTATCCGAAAAGTTCGATTTTTTTTTACATTTTTATTGTAATAGATCACTTAAATAAAAATCATAGTAATAATTTCTAATTAAATTTTCTTGTTTAAAAAGATTCTACTATGGAAATATTCAGAAATTAATTAATTTTAATGATTTACTTTAACTAAAAAAAACAAATGAAAAAAAAGTTTTTAAAAAGATCTACTTAATTGAGCGTATTAATCTTGGAAACATGTGACTGAATGGAAATTGGTCTGTAACTTGAAATAACTGAGGGACAGCCAGTTTTAGAAATAGGGGAGATGGAGCTAAATTTTAAGATTGATAGGAAAACTCCATCATCCAAAGATCTTCTAAAAATGAGCCATAGTGGGTAAGGAACATAGTGTCTCAACTGGTAAATGAATTCACCACAGAGTCCATTGGGGACAACAGACCCCACACAAAGCTGTAAGACTGTCACAAATGTCCTCACACTGAAGTTAATTTTATTTGGCAAATCAAAAGTCTCTAAATCCAATTGATCAGTATCAATGTCAAAATTAGTGGAGGAGTATACTGAAGAAAAGTAGGAGGCGAACAATTATGGACTAAGGATTATTATGAGAAAGAATAATATTATCTTATAATACTTTAACTACTGTATTAACTTTGTGACTAAAATGTTACACTTATATAAAAGAAATATGATCCTAAGAACAACTGAAACACTAGTTGGTGGATAGGCCAAAAAAATATATAAAATAGCCAATAAAAGTGCAAAATGTAATATTGAAATAAAATTATTAAGTACTATTGATGATGTTTAATCAACAAACAATATTAAAAACTCCTATGGTAATAATATAAAAATAAAACTTCATAAAATTAAATCACACATCTAAATGACCATACACTTTAATAACAAATAAATTCATATGTAATATATCTGTGGATATTATAATTTCTCTAAAACTTATTGTTTTTATTTCAAATTTATATATATTAAAGTGATAATTATTGAATTTCACATAACATCTTTATAAAATAGTGCAACAAGAACTTACATTATAATTTTGTGCAATATATATTCCTGAATACATTCCTACAGCAAATGTAACCTGAAAAATATTAGTATAAATTATTAATTTACAACATAATTAAACAACTGTCACAATTTGTTAAGTCATCGTCTCCACGTTTTAAAGTAAATTTATTATAAAATAAATAATTAATTATGAAATGGTTCTTTTGTACTGAATGAAAAGTAGTGTATCTTTGTAACATGAAGATCTTTATTTTTATTAAATCAAAGTCATAAAATAAGTGTGTGATGTAAATAGGAGGAATCTAGCAACTCAATCATATCAAATATTTCACTTTAAAGTTATTCCATCTATGGCTTACCAAATAACAATAAATAGTTACAATTTACCAGTCAACATTTTCAAAAAATAAACACTCAAGAAATAGTTATTTTGAAATTTTTGTAGTGTAATATACCATATTCCGTAACCAGAATATTTTTTCTAGAGGAGTCTAAAATATATAAACATATATTATAGGGTTATATTGGATTTATACAGAGTGATTCTTATAACATTAGCCACTAGATTTTTTTTAAAATAATAACTTTTTTATAAATAATTTTAGCTTCGATAGGAATCTGAGATGTCTTTTTGTGCATTTTTTTTCTTTATTCTATTAAATAGGAAACCATTTTTAATATTGCATCAAGCTCTTCAATTTTTATAATAATAATAACTACTTCATAATTTTTTATAATTTCTCCGTAAAAATTACAATATTAAATTATTCATTAACAATTTCAGACTAAATTCAATTACTAGATAATCATTTATTATACTTATAAATCAAAGAACTACTAAACAGGATGTAACTAAGAAAATAAGAGTTCATTTTGCTTTTGGAATAATCTAGGAATTTCTTGAAATTAGTCATATATTTAACTGAAAGAAAACAGTAGGTAAATGTTCAAAGATAGTCTTCTGAAGTAATAACTCCTCCAGTGTTTCACAAGGTCCAATCCTTTCTCCCCTTCTTTTTCAATTTTTGTAAATGGCATTAATTCTACAGCATGCTAAAATACTTCCTTATTGCAGATGACTTCAAATTATCCATGTGTGTTCTTAACAGTTTTGATGTAATTTTACTTCAAACTGATTTAGATTGCTTAGTTAGTTGGGTTGAAGCAATTGGCTTGACGTTTAATACTTCTATGTACTATTAATGACTTTTTACTTGTATTTACTTAGTAGACAAGTATTACTTGTCAAATTTCTTCAATTTATAATATTCATAACTTCCCTATTGCATCTTTAAAGTTGACCTAGAGTTTCTTCTTACTCCTACTTTAAATTTTTGCCTTCATATTGAAGAAACATGTCGCTCATAAGTTTCATCTCTCAAATTCTCTAAAAATCCTTTTTTGCTAGTTGGTTTGCTTTATTCTTTAATATAATTCAGTGTTATGGGATCCTTACACAGATACAGACTCTATGATTTTCAAAAGAGTCTAGCGTACATTTTTGCACTTTGTTTCTTTTATCCTTAAAATTCCCCATCCATTTCATGACTTAACTCCTTTTCAAAATTTCTTGCAACTTTCTTCTTTATCTGACAGAAGTTATGACTAATATTCGTTTACTTTCTAAATTACAGCTAGTTTAATTAATATCCCTGTCCTATTTCTAATATTTTTCTAATCATATATTTTACTCCGCTTTCCCACGTCAATGTGCATAGCAAATAATGACCTTAATTTTATGCACTCTTATCATAAATAATATAGTCATATAACGTGATTATATAAATAAAAATTTAATTTTGATCTTATTTATATTTGTATACATCTTAATTAAAATATGTTTTGATCTCATTATTTTTGGTACTAAGTTTACTTTTGTTTTAATACATACTATTTTTAAGTTTTTATGGTAATTTTGAGTAGATTAATTAGCTGTCAATTACATACTGTATTTTTTGGCTATTGCCTGTAATTTTAACTATAAATTAATAAATAAATAATTTGAAATTTTTCCGAAGATCTAAAGAGTTTTGAAAAAAAATTGTAAGTATATATCACGTACAAAACAATTAAATTTATAATTTAGTTTATAATTTTTTTTAAAGAGTTCTCATTATTTTTATAAAATAAAAAAAAAGTGTCATTATTGATCAATTTTTAATATGAGTTTGATGATTGACCTATAATTTTTTGGGTGAATTTTTATAATAAAACACAAATTTCAAATGTATAACCAAAGAACTTCCAATGTTTTTCTTAAATTAAGTAATTGAAATGTTAAAATAATTTTTATTGAATTGATATAATTTCTTATAACAATATTATTTGTGGCCAATATTGTCCAAACATTTTTTTAAAATTAAAATATAAATTAGATGAACATAATTTAATTTTTTTAAACGTCGAAAATTATGTTTAAGTAAAAAAATTAATTTTTATTTGTCATTTTTAAATTTTTTTTTATATGTGTAATTATAAGATATGTTAAATCAAACGCATAAAACTATTAAATTTTTTTATTTGAGCATTATCATTTTTTTATAGTATTATAAGTTTTGGCCATTATTAATTATTAATTACTATACAAATAAACAATTTCATAGAATACTTACTAAATTTGAAAAAACACCCATTTTGAAACTTTAAAATTTGAGTTAACTGAAATATATAAACAAATTAATAATTGATATTTTATTTATTAATAGTAAATTTTCATTTATAGCAAAAATAGAGATGTGGATATGTGTATAAATATTTTAAATAACATAAAAATCTATGAAAATTTTAAGTCATTAATAAAACATAGAGAATAAAAAATAAAACTTTGTTAAAGCCATAGCCTAAAATTAATATTTATCAGGTATTTTTACTAAGTATTTAATAATTTTGTTTATATTTATAGCATATTACATATTTTAAATTTTAAAAAAATCCAGCACAGGGGGGTCGTGGCACAGTTTGTGAGCAGTAAAAGGTCAAATTTATAAAAAAAAATATATCAAATTATATATTTTCAGCCAATCTCCTTATATACAATAATATTATATTTATATTATAAGTAATGTATTTTAAGAGTTCATTAGATCAGTTCCCTTATCATTCTCCGCCCAGTCCTACTATGGTGTAATGGAACGCATGGGCCACTAAATTCTCTAAATTATCTTACTAACCCTATAGCAGTTATTATAATACAATAATATTATAATAACTTCAATATTATTTTCAATTTATAGAACATTAAGGTAACATTTTTTAAATTACTTTCAACATATTGTATCAGAAATAATTATCAGATAAAGTTGAAATATATTAGTAAGCATTGATCTCCTACTTGTCTCCTGAACCCAACCTACCTCGTGTTCTTCTTTGTCAAACTTGTACTGTATATACTCTGTCTTACTCTTACTTATTCTTAAACCCTTTTCTTCAAAAGCTAATATCCACACCTCTAGTATTTGATTAATTTCCTCCCTTTTTTTTCCTATTAACACTATATCATCAGCAAACAATATGCACCATAGCAACTTGTATTTCTTTAGTTATTTCATCCATAACTATAGAAAATAAGTAAGTATAACCTTGGTGCACTCCTACTCTTACCCTAAAACCTTCTGTTATTCCTCCCACACTTTTTACCCTGATACAAGTGCCATCATACGTATTTTCTATTATATTAATGTACCTTTTCGAGACTCCTTTTCTCATTAATGCCCACATTAAAACCTCTCTTGGTACTCTATTATACGCTTTTTCCAAATCTATATTTACCATACACAGCTTTTTCTTTTTTTATCTTATCTTTTCTATTAGTTAAACATATACACAAAATTATTTATTAAAAAGAGTAAATTGTACTACCATCAGTAATTTCTTATCCTACATAATGCCACATCTAGTAAACATAAGAAAATTGATCAATTAATTGGTTGGGTTGGGCTCTGATCACACTGTCAACTACTCTTCATATGATAACAAGCTCACATAGGAAATGGGAAAGATCACCGTTATGTTACTGGCAATTTCCTCTAAGACTGTTTGTAGTATATAAGTCAAGTTGTCAAACATGATTGGTGCTTGTAAGATAAACTAATAATTAAACCAGCCTCACAAGAACCAAAAAAGTACAAAATCCATGATGTTTCAATTTTACCTTTGTCTTCCCTTGGCTCATGATGAGCTCTTTTGGGCTTGGCGAGTTAGGCTGGTTTAACTATTAGTTTATCTTAAGCTTAAAGCAGGCAGAACAAAACTATTGAGTTTCACAGTATATGAAGTATCTTCTGAACCCTATTACTATAATAGACCAATAATAGAAATATTTGTAAATGCTTAAACCTCAATCAAAAAGAAGTTATTTAAAATTAAAATTATATTTAAAATATTAATTTTAAATTAAAAATATATTTAGCTCAAAAGCTAACAAAAATGACTAAAAAATGACAGATATGTATTTCAGGAACAATATTATCATTACCAACATTAAACATATACAGGTATTTTTTTTTATAACTTTTAGTTTTAAATTAATAATTTTAATTTTAAATGATATTAGACATAAGTGATCAATTTTTATTAAAAAAAAGGGTTCTTTATAAATGTTTTTACAAAAAATATAACATTTAAGAGGTGCTTAACAATTTTTAACTTACCTACTAAAATCTTGAAACAATCCTACCCAACATAATTCTATAAAGATAAGTCACAAAAAAATTATTAATTTAATTATCTAATTGGACATAAATAAACACATTTGCAGTAACTCTCATTAATATACTTATTGAATTAAAAAGTACTAGTTTCTATGGAAATGTCAAATCTACAAGATTTTTTATTTTTTCATTTCAAGTATATATTTATTAAACTTGTAAATATATATATATATATATATACGAAATTTGTTTTTTTACCAGTAAAAATAGCCATTATTTGTAAAACAATTGATGGATATGCTGCAACATAACAATTTCACTTATTTTGAAAATTTACCTTTATTAGGAATTAATCAATTTCTGTTTCTTACCTTCCATAATTTTACTTTTTATTTTGAATTAATTATAATTAATGGTCAATTAATTGTCAGGTTGTTGTGTAAATCTCTCAATAGATAAATATTATTCAAAGCTCAAATATTAATTTAAACTTTAAAAACCATTTTTGAATGGATTCTAATTTATTCATAAGATCTACCTGATTTTGATTTCAAATTATAATCTATTGCGCCCCATATTTAATAGTAGATCTTATCAATGTACAGAAGGCTACTTTTTAAGCAAAGAGTGTTAGAAAATTGTTTACAGTCCCAAATATATCCAACTATAACCTTTAAAGCACAAGTACTTAACATATATTGTATTTATGTACAATTTAAATGATTAATCAGTTCATATATTTCCCTGTAGATAGGGCATAAGAATATTTCCATGGCCCTCTATAAGTCATAAGAGGTGACTAAATAGGTTGTATCACGTTGACAGCCAGTGTAAAATTTTGTCAAAAAACATGAGGAGATGTCAACAGAACTTAGAGGAATTGTCCCACTCGGATGAACGCAAGATAAATAGGTGAAAAATAAAGTAGATAGAGACAGAGAAAGCCAAAAAAATTAATTTTTTGATATCAGTCAAACAAATTATGTGGTAGCTGTTTAACCAGTGATGTTTACAGGCCTATCTAAAGCTTGTAGTGTCAATTGTGTAGGGATATCATTACTTAATTCTAAGTTGGACTAACTCTCAAATGAAAAGAATTGAGAATAAATAGGAGTAAAACAGAGTATAAGTTTGACAAAGGAGAACACAAGGTAGGTGAAGTAAGGAGATTAGTGACAATAAGCAAGGATAAGATAGGAGAGGTGGAAAGTTTTAATGAGTGTAACATTACACGAGAATGCTTAAATGGATGAGTGACTAGAGAAGATAGGATAAGAACAAACATATAACAGTGTAGTATTATTTGTGGATAAGGTGAGAGAAAATAAACTTAAATGATTTGGTCATATTACTATGAATATTAAAATTTCTGTGACTGATGAACTTAAAGCTATTCCAGTAACTGAGTTCCAGAATTGTTACAAAGAATGGAAACATCGAATCCAGTACTGTATGTTAAAACTGCTATTTTAGTAGTTATATAGTATTCTATACATTATTCTCCTACTTTACAAGTAAACTGGCCTTCTGGAAGATGTGAACACTAGAATGATTTTTGTAATCATAATAATTTTGTTATAAACTGGATTTAAATGAATTATGGAATAAACACAAAGAAAATAATGAAATCAGATATAATGAAACAATATAGGCATAATTTAAATAACTGGAGATTAGGAATCACTCCATAAATTGTGAATAAGGCATTATTTTGGTTAGTAATTTTAATACTAAGGGTAAATTTTTAAAAAATATATCACTAATAGCTTCAACGTTTTGTAATCTTATGACATATCGTTGAGCAAAATTGGTGCAATAGGGGTTAATCAGTTTGATACACAGACACAAAAATAAAGCAAATTTAATTGATGTAATTTAATGTAATATTGAAATTTCAGGATTTTTGGAACATGGTCAACGATTGAAAACCAAATAATTTGATGATTTTAAACCCCTAAGTACCTTGGTAAAAGAATATATTTTGAAAAAAGAATGTTGAAACAATGATACTAAATATATTACCACTGAACACTAAAAAATTAAAAAAAAAAATTTTGATTTGACTTTAAAACCTATTTTATTTATAAAAAAAAAAAACAGGATTATACACTAATTTATAATACTCAAATCTACAATTTTTAGTTAATAGTTTCAAGGCTTTAATAATAAATCATATTGACAGTGTATTTATAAAATTTTATCTATATTCCTACTTTTGTATTATTTAAGCTATGATGCTGAGAAGGTATTAATTGACCATAATATTTATTTTTACTTTACTTTTTTCAACTCTCACTTAACTAATTTTTTTCAACAATACATCCAAAAATCATAAACTATATCTAATTGAAGACATTACCCTAGAAAATTTTTCAAATCTTCGTTCCTCATAAATGGAAGAACCCCACAAAAAAATTATGATTTTAAAACTAGGTAAATTTCAACATTTTTATAATAAAAATTGATCACTCGTGGCTAATATTATTTACAATTAAAATTATATTAAAAAAAATAATTTAAAACTAAAAAATATTTCCTCAAAAAGCTAATAAAATTACTAAAATATAGCAGATACGTACCCTACCAAAAAAATCGCCTTATATTCCTAGTGACATTATTACTAAGTGATGATATAACATTTCACCAGTTTACACAATTTTAATAATGAATTTTTCAGTGTGTCTAGATACTAATTAATTAAATTGTATATATTTTTAAATATTTGTATTGCCTACCTTATATTGAGTTCTTTTTTAATTATTTACGTTTTTTCTTAGTTTTTTGGTTTTAATGATGTGTGTTCAATATGTGTCAATAAATTTTAAGCTACGGGATCTTCATCAACATCTAGATTTTAAATGTTTATTAAATGCTCTTTAAAACTTAACCCCTATGTTTCTTTTGGTATGTCCTACATAACACTTATTACAACTTTCACATTGGACCTTATAAATGCCCAATTTTACCTTCTACTACTTTATCCTTAGGGTTATCTAATAAATCACTTATATTATTACTTTTAGATGTTACTAAAGTAACACCAAAATTCTTAACAATTCTAGATAGTCTATTTGAATTTCTCAGATAATATAAAATGAGCGACCTAATAATTGTTTTATTCTACCAAGCTTGTGAGTGTGCTAGCTGCCTACCTTTCTTTATTCCACTTTTGTATTCATACTAATTTTGAAATTACGTTTTCAGCATACCCATTAAATCTAACTATTCTTGTAAGTTGTACTGTTATTGTATTGACTAATTAAAGCTCTAAAGGTTACTTAAATAAGAAAAATACTAAAAAGAATTCAGATTAAAGAGTTAAAAAACTATGGTAAAGTAAATATAAATTATTATACACAGTAATTACCTGATTTATTGAGACTACTATATGATGTACAACAATTTGTTTTAATACTAATCACTGAATAATTAAATATTGCTAATGAAATGAAACATGCCTAACGTGTAATTTGAAATTAGAATTTTGCTGCAGGACTGTAAGTAACCTTTCGTGTATTCATAGACTTTATCAACAATAAAGTAGTGATAAAGATATCATATCAAATAAGTCGTTGTCAAATCATAGGCCTTATACTAAGTTCTATGCGTCAAATAGGTTATGTAAATCATTGATTATATTTGGCGGCTTATAACTATTCAACTTCACAGACATATATAACATCAGAGACGTAACAAGAAATCATTAGAGAAATTCTTATTTTTGACATTTACTTAATTTGAAACTCACAAAAAGAAATATTCTCTATCAATAATCTTAAAAAATCTTTAAAATTACAGTATGTATAAATCTGGATTACATTCTATTGCGTATGTTACTGCACCATCAGTTGACATTGCAAAAAATTTGGCTCGGTAAGATATTTATAATTGTTTAAAATTAATTAGAAATATATCAAATATTATTAAAAGCATATTTCTTTTTTTTTTGCTTGACAAAGTAAAATTTTTTTAATATTCATTTAAAAAACAGAAAAACATATTGGTATAAAATTTTGTATGAATTTTTTTTTAAATTTGTTAATAATTTAACTGCACAAAAGTCAAAATATCCGTAAATAGCTTAAACTGATACACATATTTTATAAAACTAATAATACTTAAGTTTAAAAATGGTTTTAAATAGTTTCTATTAAAATTTTACTTGAAGAATTTAATTTGAAAAAAAAAATTTTATTTCTAACTATTTTAGTTAAGAAAAACTATATTAATCTATAATACTCTAAACTAAGACATTTTTATCAGTTATTTTTTTAAATTTAATAGATTTTATTTTAATTATTAAACAAACTATTGTATTTGAAGAGTTATAATTATAAATTAGTGTTTCTATTAAAAATTTTGTTTAACATCATTTTCAGTGGTATTATTACACAAAAGTTAGCTGCGTGTGTTAATATTATTCCATCAATAACATCAATTTATGAATGGGATGATAAAATTAATGAAGATTCTGAGATATTGATGGTATTGAATTTTTAAATTTTTATTGAACAATTAAATTTTATTAAATACCTTATTTATTATAGGGACTTCAGTAAGTATTAAATATTCAAAAATCTACTAAAATAGGAATAAAACATTGAATGACCCAAGTATAAAAAATGTAGTCATTAATTAGTATATTATTATTTTTAATTAATACATTGTACAGATTGGTCATTAATTCTTTTAAACAACAATTATTTATATTTTAATTTGGCAGTATTTAATTATAAATATTTAATTTCAGTCATTTTGGTCGTTCAATAAATTGACTTGAAGATTTCAAACTTTTCTTAGACATAAAAATTGTCTGTATTTATTAAATAAAAGTTAATACTTGTTTAATTTTTTAATAATGGTTAATTTTCCAAAGCATAACCCTAAAAAAACTAAATAATTGTTTTAATCTTTTATTAGTACATCTATTGTGAAATGTTTCTAACTGTAAGTCAAGTTATATATATTATAGTTATAGTAAATTTATTATTTCCAAAAATATTGAATCAATACTTATGATAAAAATAGTGGAGAATTCAATAGTATCTTCAGAACTTATACATTTGAAAACATTTTCTATATAATAAATTTGTTTGAAAAATTAATTGTTATTACGTATTATTAATTTCTATTTTTATATTAAGTCTCCCATAAAAATATAAAAATAGCTATATTACATTTTTATATAATCCATGAAATAGCTAAAAGTTTTTTTTTTCTATTTTATATTTCTGTATTTTTTTTTTTCTGACATTTATTATTATTTCATAATAATAATTATAATTGATATTATGAATTATAAAGATAAATTATTTTTTAACTTTGTTTTTTTTAGCTAATTAAAACTAGTACATCAAAAGTTGATGAATTGACTCAATATATCAAGTATGCTATAATTATTCTATTTTAATTTTAATTTTTATACTGTTATATATTTTTACTGCAGGTCTAAACATCCTTATGATGTCTGTGAAGTTATTTCAACAAAAGTTAGTATTTTAAATTTCCATAAAAAATATTTTTTATATTATTACTATATATTAACATTTTGAATTTTTTTTTTTTATTTAATCAAATTGAAGGTGTAATAAAGTATCGGGTTCATTTTCTTAAACTTTTCAAAAGACATAAAATTTTATAATTAAATGTAAAACTGTTTAAAAATAATAATTAAAAAATAAAAAAAGTAAAATAATAGTTTACAATTTAAAATCTGTTAATCTTTTAATTTTATCTGTAAATTATATTTTCATTAAAAATTTATTTGATTTAAACATTCTGCGTATGTTAAATTTTATGTAAAAAAAAAAGATAACAATTGCAAAATATTTGGAGTAGATTTTATGACTACTGACATGATTTTTAAAGTTTTTTTAAGAAATAAAATTTGTCATGGTGTTCTATGAATATTATATATAATTATAGATTTTTTATGTGTGTAGGGCATCCAAGAAATTGTTATATTGTTAAGAAATAATTTCCACAGACTTTGTCTAAAAAATTTATTGTAAAATTACTATTATACTTATTACATATTTTTTATTAGTATTATTGAAATCATCAATTAAGATGAAATAAACCTGGCGGTATTGGAGAGTGTGATTCACTCAGATGTAGATTCGGTTTTGTTATAAAAATTCCTTAGAAGGGGTAATATTTGTTCACAGTATTCTAGTGTCAATATGTTTGCAAGTTGAAAAACTTTAAAAATGGAGTGGAGAATTGTGAAAATACATGTATAATTATTTATGGCATCATTACTTCAAAATCCCCTGTTTTACAAGAAATGTATAACAAAATTGTCTAATAATGCCTTGTGTCTAGTTGATTTTATCTTAGTTCATGATTGAAATAAATAAAGTATGAAATATTTTAAAATATTTGTCATTAAAAAAAATAATTTCAGATAGAAAATGGAAACCCTGCTTACTTAGATTGGATTTCAAAATCAGTTTCAGAAAATAAATTGGAACATTAAATTATGTATATGATCATTAATTAATTTGTAACTATTGTAAAATACATTTTTTTAAATAAATAAGATTATAAAGTCATTATTTGAATCTATTTACTTACAGTACCAACTCAAGGGAGATGTAATAATTTACCATAAATATTAATTTTTAACAGTGAAGAGAAAGATTTCCTTAAAAGTAAACTAGTTCAAAATTATCACAGTGAACTTTCCTTTTAAAATTAACAACACATAAAATAATGAAGAGATTATAAAACAAAATTTATACTTTTTTTTTTTTAGCAAGGTTAGGAATATTATATGAAAAATGAATGCATAGTATTCTCATTTATTAAGCTCAAAATCGAAAAGCATTCATATTCAAACTCATGATGACATTCATTTATTTTTTTATAAAACCAACATTGATCTTGTTAAGCATTGGAGAATGTTGGATTGTTGAAGCTTAGTTCTTTCGATTTTCCAGAAAAACTAATATTAAGTAAAAAATATACATGCCGAAGAATTTAAAAAAATTACATTTTCTTGTAAATTATATATGTGGCGATTAAAAAAGTATAGAATACTTTTTATATGACATAAATCTATAATAATTAATAAGTCTAAAAATATATGTCTGTTTTTTAAAATAAAAAAATTCAGAACAATTGGACCCAATTGTTGGGTCCAATTGGTGGGACCCCACCATGCAACGTTTCACTATTTCGAAGTGATTTACATTACTATCATAATAAAATTTTTCGATGCAAATCTGTACATTATATTCTATTATTGTCGAACTAATAAAGCAAGCTACTTATTCAAAATTTAGAATACTACAACCAAAATGCTACATAATATAAATAACTTGTGAAAATTTTGGCTTCAATAATAATTTATTCATAGTAGATAACTTTTCAAAACGTTTTCTTTTTCAACAATATGATAAATTTAAAGAACATTAATTTAGTGTAGGTTACAATTTGTCAGATATGCCAAAAAATTAAAACAATTTTTTTTTTGTTAAAATATGCGAATATTGTTAATTATCATGACCAATTTTTTTATCCCTTTTATCGGACATACTCTTTTCAAAAATCGGACCATTTCCCTTTATATGAGAGTTTAAAAATTGTACATATATGTAATAAGTAGAATTTTTTTAATCTAACTTAAAAAAAATGCTGAAATATTGCATCTTTTAATCATATATTAAATTAAAACTAATGAGTTACTTATTTTATTTCGTTTTTAGATTTTTATAAAACAAAACCACAAATATTTAAAAATTTAAAAATTATAAGTTTTAAACTCCTCAAAATATTGTACTTTTTCTATATTTACAAAGGATTTTTTTTTATATACATAATTTGAAACATCTTTATGATAATTTGATAATGAATATTACCTAAGAAATGTTATTCGAGGTGTGAGTATAACTTAATTTCCAGCATTTCGGTTTTAATTGCGCCTATGATGGTAGCCCTAATCTTGATTTTAACCAACATTTATTATTGGCATTGTTGGATCTTTAACGGATTAAACTAAAAATTGAGACCCCTCTAAATAAAAATATTAGTTCTTTTTGATATATTGGTCTAAAATTTAATAAACGAGGCTACGCTCGTAACAAAATAGGGTAAAAACATATAACAATATTAATTAATACCTCATATCAATACCAAAATCTCTGAAATCTAGCTAATTTTGAAAAAAAAATTAAATCGAAACTCGGCTCATATGATTAAATATACAACTATGTATATTTTCTATTGTATAGATTAACACCANCTCCAGGAAATACTTTTTGTTAAAATTAGAATATAATATAAAATTCATTCAACAGTTTGCGCCCTCTAGCGGTATATATTCTAACTATGTCTGATTAGAAATTGCTAGAAAGGAATTGCTAACTTCACACACATATTTTCTTACTGTTTATCTTATCTGTTGTAGTACTATAGAACCACAAGGAAAAAAAGTATATGGAACAAATTGACGCAGCTCAACATATTTCAAAACTAAGTTTTTGTTTTGTTTTGTTATCAATATTATTTCACAAACGGTTACTCAGCTTACTGATAACAGAATCTTGAAATTTTTTTTTGCTCCAACTAGAGAAGTAAATTTGTGACAACAGACATTTTTGATTATTGGCACTGGTTTAATTTAATTAGCCAAGTACGTTACTTTATTTTAATAGTGTATATGATCTTAGAAATTATGTGATCCTTAGTAATATAAATGTGCATCTGATTATTTTTAATCGTTGCTTTAAAAATTAAATTAAAGTAAGCATTATTTTATGATTAATAAGTAAATTAAAATCAATTATTCATAGTAAAAAAAATTAATTTTATTTTGATTAATTATTAACTAAATATTAATTGTAAAAGGTTTTATCAAGTACAAAAGCAAAATTGTGATTTTCTAAGTTTTGAATACTTATTATCTTATGTTAATATATTATAATTACTTACATCTATTAGATTAATAATCAATAATAATTTTTATAAATTTACATTTTTTAATTTTTCTATTATCATAAATATTCCTTTACAATGATTAGTCATCTAGTAGAAAAATTACTAATAAATCTTCTGAACTTGATACTTCTTTGTTTGAAACTATAATATAAGTTTGAAAAAATTATAAAATAAATAAACAATTTAAATTTCATTATTAAACAGTATAGAATTATTAAGTGATTTTCCAAAAACTAATATACCATTTTACGAATTTTTCAGGAGAACAAAAACAAACTAATAATTTTAATAGTGTTTTTGGCCATTTTGTTCTTTTGGAATGGAAAAAAAAACATCTGTTAAGATTTAACTGTAATTTTTAAACATATTAAAGAAAACATTATTTTATTTATGAAAAATCTTAAAAACTCATTTATATGACATATCATCAGCTTTTGAATGTTAGCCAGCAAATTATGACTATTTAAAATTTTTAAAATTTTATTAAAGTAGTGATTCTCAACCTTTCTAATATGGCACCCACTAATTGGTTTTTTTTAGTTTTTTAGTAATCCACACCTAAGAAATTATCAAATATAAATTATATTTTAATATCTTAATAATTAGTTTGCAACTTCTAGTTGAAACATACTGTTATAAAACATTTAAAAAAATTGTTACAGTTTACATAGCTGTGACATTATGTTTATGAAGAATATCACCAAATGAAAAAGAAAAAATTAGTTATTTAAAATATACTTTCTTTTCTATTTTTTAGTCATAATTTGTTTTTATGGTAAACTAGGTTTCCTATATCTGTATTCTAATTTTATAATCATATGTGTTTCAGATTTTATTATTATGGACAATACCTGCACTTATTGCCAAGATGTTATTGATAATTTGACTGTTGTTTGTTTAGAGTGTTCATTCTTTCAACTTTGTTTGCCGGTATGCTAGATATAGGCTAATTTTATTTTTATAAGAAAAAAAAAATCTTTTTAGATTTTTCTTACTTTTAATGACCTGTAACTTATATATATTTAGTATAATATACCAAATATATAACTTTATATAATAAATTTATGAATTTATGAGTTGCATATTATGTAACTTATAATCAACATCCAATGTCAATAACTTAAAATTTAATTTAATATTAAATCAGGCCAAAAAAATTTGTAATTGCATAACATTTTGCTTTTAGTTATACACCTACCCCTGCAAATATAGCCATTAGTAACTAAAAATATTAGTGATAAAATTTTTAATGTCATCTTGACAAGGCACCACCCTTCGTTCTAGGCTGGCGCTCATCCGTATCTCTCACGATATCAGCCGTCCACCTATTAGTATGACAATTGGTTGTCATCGGGTGTCTCCCTACTCTTAACCATGACAAGACCACCGCTGAATTTGTATTACTGAGATTGCGTTTTGTTCTGTTTTTGACGTTAACCTGGACTGGTTGTTGCGTTTTATAATTTCATTTTGTTTGCAATTGTATTTATTATTATTAACTGGTGTCGAACTAACGAGAAATATATAAATATAACTTGTTGCACAAAGGTGTAATTTAAATAAATAAATATATATAGGCGTATAGACATATATATATTTTTCTGTATTATCACTGTAACTATTGTGGTGTTAAACTTACTGTATATATCTATGTAAATAAAAAATATATACATATATATTCTGTGCGGTGCTCACCCCTATTGGATTACGCGATAATCTGTCTATTACAATATTACCCAAAGTGGGTGCTAAAATTACTTAGGAGGCATTGAAAATATTTTCATGTGATAAAAAATTTAATTTTTATTTTTTTTGGGGAAAGTAAACTTATTCTTCAATTGAGGTGCTAAACCACTGCTTTTACTTTAATAAAAAAAGCCTTTCAGTTTTTTTTTATGTGGGCAGAAAAAAAAAAGTATTTGGAAACTGGTTAAACTTGTTTTAGTATGATTCATATTCAATTAGATGGAGTTTATGTAAATAAGGACAAGTCATAAATAGTTGTTTATCAAGAGATAAAAAAAACAAAATATACTATGTATAAAAATGTATGTTGTATATTCAAATTTATTTGATAACTACTTCATGTTATACCAATGGTCACAAGAACATGATATTGATACCACTGTCTTTGGCTTGAAATTTCCTTCAAAATTAGATTATTAATAATCTTAAAATATTCAAAATTGACTTATCCTTCATTATATGAAATTTGTCCAAATATATACAAAAATATATCCTTAAAAATCTTTTGAAAAAAAAAAAATTTAATGGTTGCAATAAACAAACATTTACAGACTTAAAATTTCAAAATAATATTTTTAGGTTATAATAAGATGTATAAATATTCCATGAAAAATAATCAGTTATCTTTTTTTTTTCCACTTGCCCTTTTTAGCAATTATTTTCCATATTTCACAGAGAGTTGAACTTGCCCTCTCTTGAAAGTTTTATAAACACTTATAAAGTGTTGCTATTGTATTCCTGGTTTATTTAAAATAAACTTTTAATGTTTATACAAATAAATTTTGTAGAAAGCACTACAGGTTATTATATTATTGCATTATTTATATATTTATTGATTGTTTTTGTATATAATAGTTAATATATTGCAGTGATAGACAAAAAAAAGTCACCAAGAAAAAATATTTTTATTTTTTCATCTAACGGAAATTATCTTATGGGCTCATGTCCATATAATATTCATAATGATATTTATAAGATTATTTCTAGTATTTACAAAAAAAAATATTGTTTTTAACATTGTTCTCATTGTTTGTAACAATGAGAACAATAGAAACCCGTTTCCTGACTTACTGAACACCCTGTATATAATTTATATGTTTATTAATTTGCAGTGTTTTAGCCACGGAGCAGAAATTGGAGAACACAAAAATTGCCATGGTTATAAATTAAAGGTAATGTTTTTTAGAAAATGATAGATATTTTGTTATATAAAAGAATAATTTAAAATATTAAGTTGTTTTTCAATATTAGTAATGACTAATTACATTGAGAAATGAGAGATATTTAGTAATTGTTATTATTTTTTTTATTGTTAAATCATTTAAGTATAATGTATTTTCTCATACGGATGTTTAAATTTTCTTATAGAGTCAAAAGTCTCCTGGGCAATACTTTTTTACTAATGATGGCTGGACAGGTGATGAACTTTTGCATCTATTAGATTTTGCCGAACAATATTCATTAGGGTGTTGGGATGAATTGCCAAAGAATGTATTAATTCGATCCCCATCAGGTGAGGTTTAATAATATGACTATGTTCAGGGCTTTTCTAAGGCCAAGGCATTTAGGTTCACATACACACACTTAAAAAACTCTATGTTTTCTTCATATAATACAATGGTTTAAGAATATTACAAATATATAATAATAGTTGATCACATATAGTTAATATTATTAAAAATAAAAATTATATTTATAATATTTTTTAGTTTTAAATTAATATATTAAATTATTTTTATTTTTATATTACAAATATAGCGAGAATTTTTATTTTCCAATATTATTAATTGATTAAATCAAGTACAGAATATTTATATAGAATGATTCACTATCATAAACTACTTATTTATTTGAAAGATAAAAATAATATTGATAATTGGATTCTTTTAGTTACATGTTTTTCTCAATTTATCAATCATATGATATGATTAATTTGGTATAGTCTACTTTAAAAATTAAATACTATCTACAGATTTACATTGAAACATTTTTTATGATAGTCATTTAATTTATATTCAAATTCCAATTTATACAAGTCTTCACTTTGTACCAACTATACCTGATTTTTTAATACGAGTCTAAATACAAAAATTTAGAAATCCTATTTTATTAAATAAAATTAATATTACCTCTAATAAAATTTGATGATTTTTTTTATATACTTTGAAAATTTGTTGGATTGTTTGTATCTTAATATTATTTTAAAATTTCAATAATTTTAGAAATTAAAGTGCAGTTTGCCAAACAATTTTTGGATGGTCCAATTGGTCGTGTTACGTGGAATACAATTAAAAAACCAAAACTAGAAGATCGCACTGTAAATTTTAAAGTTAATCAAACTGTTACACATCTTTCTACATTATCCAAAACTCAATATGCAGAAATAGGCTATAACCCAATTAGAGATGAATTTGAATTGGTAAACAATTTGATTACCTATAATAATTTCATTAAATTTTTTAATATGGTGGATATTAATTGAAATTTTTTTAAGGAAAACGATTTTGATAATAATGCTGAAGCTGTGCTTAGTATTACATCTGAATGGAATGATCTTGGAGATGGTAATTATTATTTAAAATATACATTTTTATAAATTATTGAAATGTATAATTTTTTTTATGGTATAAATGAACTGTTAGTTTTAAATCAAAATGTTGTAGCTATTAATAAACTACAATTTAAATGTCATTGCTGAAATTATAATTACCTTCAGATATCATCTATACATATCCCAACTATACCCTATTCTCGGTGTGCTAGGTTTTTTTTTTCTTGTAAAACTGTTTAAAAATCAAATTAGATTAACGAAACAATGTGCTGAATTAATCATAAATTGTTGTAACAAAATTGTTGCATTAAAAGTTATTACAATAATACTAGATCAGAGCATATTTTAACATATATAGCCTGTAGTACTAGTGCTACCTAGTAAAAAATCATTGCCATGTATTAGTTAATGAATGTTCCTTGTTTTCTAATAAAAATAAATTTAACCTTCAAGGTGAATTTAATGACTTTTCTTATTGAATATCATTGAAAATCCTTTAACTTCATTAGAAAACTAGCTTTATATGATATTTTAAAAACTTTTTCGTATCTTAATAAAAATTATAATTTTTTAAAGGCAGCTAAAGTCCTAAATAAATATTCTGCATACTTTCTTACCAGTCACAACACTGATCTGGATAAATTGACAGTAATTTAGCCTAGTAGTGATGTATTCAAAATTAAAGAGGGATTTTTCATGTGTAAATAAAAATTCCCAAATTGTATGTAGCTGTGTAAATATTTTTGGTTAATGGTAGAGTTAAAATATGAACAGNACAACACTCACTCACGCACATACGGTCGGTCGCCAAACGCGCAATGATGCGATACGCGTTAAACTCGCGTGGTACCGAGCGCTATGGGCACGAAATACGATTATTAAAATTCAGCGTATAACAAAGGGTCGGGTCGTAAAAACGAACCGAGTACGCTCCAGTGTCGAAGTTTGTTTTTCGCAGCTATAACTACGTATACATATATGTATAGTTATTTATATATATATATATATATATGTATGGTTTTGTTTGGGTTTGATTACAAAATTGAAAGTTCAGTTTAGTTTGATCTAAAAAATCAGAGTTTGTAAGCATCATGATATGATATGATAAATGGTCCGTTCCTCATTTTCTCTTATTTTTTATAACTATGCTTAATGAGATTTAACTTAAAATCAATATTTTTTATGATTTTCTTCCTCTTCTTTTAATATATTCTTAATGTATATTTATTTTTATTATTAATAATACTCATATTATTGTTTAGTTTATTTATATTAAGTGAATAAATAAATATATGGAGTAAATATAACATATCATTGTGAAATTTTTATTTATTATTTTATAGATTATAATTTAGCATGTATTGATATGTATTGTGCCAGATTATATGAAAGATTATTTGCAAAAGAAGTTGTTCATGATTATCAATTAATGGATAAATACTTTTGTTCAAAGGATAAGCCCAAACGGCGATTAACTACAGAAGAAAAGTAAACATCTTTTCCTATAAAATAATCTTCTTCTAAATATCTATTTTTATTTTTATATATAGAAATATACAAGGAATTGAAAATCAAATTAAAAAATTTAGTAGAAATTTATCTGAAGTGGAATCATGGTCATTGATTATTAGATTACAACAAGAATATTTATTAAAAAAACGCCGTGATGAGTTAGTTTATTATAGAAAAAATGGAATAACAAAACTATATGATATTATAAAATTTAATCTTTTACATTATGGAATGGTTGTTGATGGTTTGTGATTAATAAAATTTTAAATTTAATTTTTTTATTTAAGCAATACATATTTTTTACAGAACAATCTGATCAATTATCTTCTGATGTCCTCACTCCTGCCCCCATGATAAAACGAGGTGAAAAGCGAAGAGTAAGTTAATTTTTTATTTTCTTTAATTTCCCTTCAAATTTTAATATACATTTAATAATAGTCAATGTGAGTTTATTGCCTTACTTTGAATATGTAATATGCTAATTTAAAATATAACTCTATCTAATTTTTAGTTATTTTCTTTAGACACTTAAACGGTAAATAATATATTTAAAAAATACTCAGCTTAACATGAATAAGGTGATGCATGGAATACCTGATAATGAGGATGTGATAATAGGTGAATATATAAAAAGACATGTCGGTAATGAGGGGATAGAATATGAAAAAGTACATGGAAGGTATGGTTTTAGTGGGAATAATGAGGCTAGAGAAGAATCCTGGATTTTGTAGTATCGTTTGATTGGATTTTTGCCTGGAATATCAACAATAGAGCCAGTTTTTTGTGTAAGACAACTAATACAAAACTATAGGAACAAAAAGAAAAACTGTATATGGTATATATAGATTTGGAAAAAGCGTATAATAGAGTACTGAGAGAAGTATTAAAGTGAGTTTTAATGTGATGAAGAGTCCCAAAACGGTACATTAATATAATAGAAGATATTTATGATGCCACTTATACTAGGGTAAAAAGTATGGGCGGAATAACAAATAATTTTAAGGGTAAGATTAGAAGTGCACCAAGGTTTTGCTTTAAGCCAATTCTATAAGACTGTCTTAAGATGAGCTATGATATATGGTTTAGAGTTTTGGGAGGTTGACAAGAGAACAGAACAGAGAATAAATGTAGCTGAGATATGAATGCTTTAGATGGATGAGTTGAGTGACTAGAAATAATAGGATAAGGAACAAACAAATAAGAGAGCATATAGGTGTATCATCATTTGTGGATAAGATGAGAGACATGATAGTTTGGTCATGTTATGAGGAGAGAGGAATAAGAAAAATTATGGAAATGAATATTGAAGCAAAAAAAGGTAAAGAAAGACCAAAAAAGAAATGGAGAGATGTTATTGAATGAGATATGAGGACTGTTGATATTTGTGTAGATGATGTGGGATACTGTGTCAACTGTAAGTTTAGGATATGGGTGGCTGACCCTAAGTAGTTGGGATAAAGGCGAGGAAAAAGAAAAAGACTGTCAGCTTAACACTATTGAATAGTTTGTATTTATCATTATTAATCTTTAAGGAGATAAAAATTATATTTATCTAATTATATTATAAGAACTGTATCATTTTTCTTCTATTATTCATATTAATTTATATATATTTAGGACAATGTTATAGACACTTGAAATTTGTAACAATATACAATTGACCATGTTTATGATAAACCTATATTTATAGATTAATTTTTGAACAGTACCAGAGAATGAGCACTAGAAAACTTGCTCACTTTGGCTACAAGTAACAAAATATTAAATGTTCAAAAAAAGGTAGTTTAAAATGTAAACTACCCGTTTTGGGAACTATTTGACTGCCTTCCATTTTATCCTAGTTTACTATCACTAAAAGGATATTGGGAAATACTTTATGAGACTGACACAACACCTCATTTAACTTTTTTCAGTAACTACAAATTGAGAATCTTTTATTTTCCTATTAACTTCCTACACTTAACTTCACATATATTAAATATTCAAAAATTGTTTTTTTTTTTATATCTATTCTACCTGAAATCATGATAATTTTTTTATACCAATTTTTGTCAGAATCTAATATAAAAATTTGAAAGTTGAAAACGTATATAATAATGATAACTTTTTTAATTATTACTTTTTTAAGCAATTTGTCTGTAGAACACCTTTTTTGTACTACATTATCTGCTAACATGACAATTTCGGTTATTTTTTTTAGAAAAAAAGAAAGAGACCTAAATTATTTCATAAAAAGAATCATGTTTATCATCGTACACCTCAATATATAGCTGCTCTAAACAGGGTATTAACTCAGAACAATGAAACTGAAGAATTCTCCGAATGAAATGTATGAACTTTTTATTTTCAACACTATAAATAAATAAATGTTTTATGTAATTTACAAACAGTATACTATTTATTTTAGGTTAAATAGTTTATGAAAATACTTCATTATTTATGGACTAGCTATACTCCTACACCTTTAAAAGAATGATAACAAATTATACACATAGTTCAACTATTTATCTATATTAATTAATTTATAATGTTTATCTTATGCAATAAATTGTAAGTTTAATTAAATACAATTGATTTCTCTCTGTATTGTTAGGACAGTATTATAATATAGAAAATTTTTATCAACAATTATTTTTCTAAATATCTACTTATAAATATAAACTTTTGTGGTACTATTATTGTTGTTTTAAAAATGTTATATATAATGTAAACAATTATTGAATATTCATTGTAATCATATTTGTTTCTAACTCTGATTACTTTTGAAAGTAATACATCAGTAGCATCAGTATCATTTGTGTTGCACAATATCAGTTTATTTTTAGTTTATGTATCTGTCAATAAGAGGAGCTACTTTAATTTTTCTTAAATTTATTTGTACTCTCATCTTATTGAAAGTATAAATCATAATTTATAAAATGTTACCTAAGTGTTTACTACTTAAAATTATGATCGCTTACATAAAAATATATTGATTCCTTAGTGCATAGGATATAATGTAATTACAATATTATGCATATTGTATTTAGAAATTGTACTAGTATTTTTTTTTATACATTCTGAGTTTGTTAGCATAGCACAAATTTTTAAATATACTTTACCTGTAAATAAATATTAAAAATATTTGTATTGAAAAAAACTTAGTTTTTTATTTATACGAAGTGTGTTCATTAAATAACATGAATTTTTAAATCTCGCGGATTGGGAGTGTCCAATTATCAACAAAAAAATCATAATGTTGGTACACATGTCCCTGAAGTATGATAAAATTTTCAGCTGGATTCATTTTTTACTTTGTCAGTGGCCACCGTTAAGGTTAGGCGTGTTTTTATGAGTTTGGCGATTTTCCATTATTAAAAAAAAAATGAATCAAAGGACTTGTATCAAATTTTGCATAAAAATGAAATTTAACAAAGGCCTATGGTGAGTCTACCATGAGTAAAACAAAGGTTTACGAAACCAAGTGATATAAGCGTTCCAAAATGACAGTGAAAACGTTGAAGAAGACGAACGACCCGGACGCTCCAGCACATCAACAATCGATGAAAACGTGGAAAAAATGAAAGAAATAATTATGAATGATCGCCGAATCATAATCAGAGAAGTTGCTGATTATGTTGGAATATCAATTGGCTAATGACATGAAATTTTTGGGAATGAAACGCGTAGCAGCCAAATTAGTTCTAAATTGTTGAATTTTGAACAAAAACAGCGACGAATGGAAGTTGTTCAGGAATCATTTAATGAAGTCAACGACGATGCAGAATTACTGAAACGTGTTATAACAGGTGACGAAACATGGGTTTATGGATACGACGTCGAAATTAAGGCTCAATCGTCCCAGTGGGAACATTCTGGATCGTCAAGACCGAAAAAGGCTTGACAAGTGCGATCGAACGTGAAGGTTTTGCTCACTGTGTTCTTCCATTTGGCATAGTGAATCATGAAATTTTATGACAAGGTCAAACTGTCAATAAGAGTACCTACAAGTTCAACGCCGTTTGCGTGAAGCAATTCAAAAAAACCGCCGGGATTTGTGACAAAACAATTCATGGCTTTTGCACCATGATAATGCACCTGCTCACACTTTATTGCTTATTCGTGAATTTTTGGCCAACACCAATACAGTAACGATGCCCCAGTCACCATAATCGCCAGATATGGCTTCTTATGACTATTTTTTATTTCCAAAAAATAAAGAGAACCTTAAAGGGCCGTCGTATTACAAGTATAGATGACATTAAAAGCGCATCGATGAATGAGCTGAAAGCTATCCCAAAGATAGAGTTTGCAAAGTGTTTAAAGGATCGGAAGAATCATTGGCATAAGTGCATAATATCGAATGGAGATTTTTTTGAAGGCGACAACATTAATGTAGACGAATAAATAAATATTTTTTTCAAAAAACAAAAATTCCCGTTATTTAAACAACGTATTTTAAATAATTGTATTATTTATACTAAATGTGAAATAGGGTCAGATTTATATGATATTTGATTATTTATTTTATCACACTTAAAATAGAGTGCAATAATCCTGGCTGCTTATCCTTATGCCCCTTCGTCAATTAACATTCAAAACACATTTAAATTTGTTTGTCTCACGTATCTTCTCAGATTAAAGAACCAATAGTCTTTTGTTATATAGGCTACTCTTTTATATACCACCTGGTGACCACGTTGATCATATGCTGTAGTAGATGTAAAATATATGAGCTGGATACCCCGGCCGTTTCCTCTTCCTAGGTTTACGAGAGGTGTATACGGTCGGGGGGATATGGTGAAAGGCATAAGTCTCCCTTCCTATAGATGGTGAAAGGTTAAAAGTATAATCGAGGGGGCTCTCCTCTCTCTCTTAGCTAGTAGAGTTGGTAACACAAGTATGAGGGTTAAGAGTAAATCTATATGTGGGGGGTACACGCCACCACATTAAAAGGGTGCATATACAATGAAAAAATGAATAGTTTATTAGAAATAATTAAATTGTAATTAATAAGTAATTATGATAATAAAGGGAAATTACTTAAGTGATTAAAGAAAGGATTAGTATATGGGGATATGTGTTCTATGATTTGCTGAACCTCTATAAAAATTTTTGATTTTTAAATGTAGTGCTGTTTTCTTACAGTTTCGGAAGCCATATTGTTCATGTAGTAGTGTCTTCTTAGAGCTAATGGTTCTTGAAGACACTGTGATTTTATCAACGATTTTACGCTCATTTATGCAGAAAAATAAAAAAATTGTATAGAGAGGTCAGCAAAACATAGAATACACATCTCCGTATATTAATCCTTTCTTAATAATACATACCCTATCTCGTCTACCCAGGGAGAAAAAACGGCCAGGGTCGTTTTGGGGGTATCCGGCTCATATATTATACATCTATTTGCTGCCACCACTAAATACTTACGCAGTTTGCACAACAGGACAAATAAATATTCTCTATACATTTTCGGTATAACAATCTATTAACAAGCTTAAAATCTTGCACTCATCTAGTTTCAGCTTTTAAACGATCACATTCACTCATATTTAATATATTCACTAATAATTCTAATTCCTAATCTACTCTTTGACATATCTACGTCTTTTCTTTCAATGTGATGCAAACATGTACCACTTCTGATTGATTAATGTATTTTCCAATTTTGTTGCGAGTCCCGCCTGAGCTGCATCTTCCATCGGTCCACTAAACAAAGCTACTACATGCGTCATCTTGGAACCTGTTTTGTAATGTAAATCAAAATCAAGCTCTTGAAGTATTTCACTCTGCCATGCTACCTGAGGTTTATGTGTATATGCCCTTAGATATTAAAGCTAGACAACTCGTATATATGGTAAACTACAATTTCAACATTTTCTATCATTTATCTACAGTATACACGATACATCAAAGTTATAATATACTGAAATGGTATTAGGCTTCAGCAACTAACAACTCTTTGTTTAAGCAATACACTTATAAACTATTCATTAGCAATATCCCATAACTGATTAAACATTTATTTTAAAATAATTGTTATCAATATTATTTTTAAAACTAAATTAAATTTTTTTTTTAATGAAACAATATTCGAAGATACGAGATATTGTAGTTTCCCTAACGATATATGGAGGTTAGTCCCTCTCATTTTTAAAAAAACTTTTCTGAAATAAAATCAAAAAAGATTTAAGTGCTGTTAATTAAAAAATTTAATTAAAGGAAGGATTTTTGTAAATTTTAATGTCATCAAAATGCTTATTAAAATAAGTCTTTAGGAATTTTCTCAACTTCTATAAAAAAATATTTTCTATTTACCAATGTCTTTGATAAATTATAATTTAAATTTAATTTTAAAATTGAAATTATAATTAACTAACAAACTGAGAAATATCAAACTTTCCTTAAGTTAAAAAACGTATTGAAGCGTTTTAGGATTTTGATTTTAATCATTAACAGATTTTAGTCGACAGGTAATGAATTTTATGAATTGCAATGAAGAATAAGAAAAATTATTTCATTAAAAAAACTTTACAATAGTAGACAGTTAAATCATTTGTCTTTTCATCTCTTCATGGTTAAAAAACCTAAGCTTTTCTTTAATGACAAGTCCTATTTTTAATTTGATGATACGATAGAAAAAAAAAGCAAAATAATTTTGTTCTTATATTTTTTATTTGATAAACCGTTTTTATGTTATTGCTTTATAAATTTAAGCGAATTTGAACCAATCTTCTTTTAATAATTTGATTTAGAGTTTTTTAAGCCCAAAAATATTTTCATTTTGAAAATTGTGTAAATCCTTGTAAGTCACCGTCTCAATATCAATTTTCATAAACCTCAAAACTTGTTCAACCATTTCTACAAACTGCTCTTTACAAATGATAGCATTATTAAAAGATTATTTCCGAGCTATCATAACTCTGTATATTGAAAGCTTGGTGCTTAAATTCTCTTCCTCTGTTTTGCCCCTGGAACACGATCTGAGAAGATAGTCTGAACGCTCTGTTATACATACATTTGAAAATATTCTGCGGATACTGCAGCTATTTATATTGATTAACATATTGTTTAATTGTTTCACCGGTTATTATAGTGGCCTCTAGCGGCACCAGTTAACAGNTTGCCCCTGGAACACGATCTGAGAAGATAGTCTGAACGCTCTGTTATACATACATTTGAAAATATTCTGCGGATACTGCAGCTGTTTATATTGATTAACATATTGTTTAATTGTTTCACCGGTTATTATAGTGGCCTCTAGCGGCACCAGTTAACAGTATATATACGGTAATCAGACTGTTTAGTAACGGATTTTTTTAATTATTAAGAAATTGCTCATTTTACAATCATTACTAATAAATTAAAAATGTAGGGTAACACCATGCTAACAAAAATGCGATCTTGCACATTTTGAATTATAGTGACAAATATAGTTAAAAGACAGTAATTATCATAATTATATAGATAAGTATGGCATTATATCTACTACTGGCACAATCTACAGTTGAGTTGAGCCGTGATCGGTTAGCTTTCGGTGCTAGATTACATGACACAATCTAGTTGTGAATATCTAAAACAACATTTTTTAATAATAGATAGAGCTGTAATAGAAATTTTAGAACTATTAAATAAAATGGTACATATGTAAAAGAAATATTTAATACTTACATGTAATGTAAGTATAAAAAAAAAATATTTAGTTAACTTATTTAAAATTTTGGGAGATCGTGTCAAGTGGAAATTTAGGATAAGGATGGCCGATCCCAAGTAGTTGGGATTAAAGCGAGGAAGAAGAAGATGTGTATTCTTGTAGTTTTTATCTAATTTTGATAAAATGAAAATAAATAAACTAGAATTAATTGAACAATCATAAATTAAGTAAGAGACTTTGATAAAACATAAATAAATTATAATGATTCATCATAAAGAACAGAGTTATAACAATTATTTTGCTTTGTTTTAGATGTTGATGATTTCTAGATTATTCAAAAATGTATAAACTGTACCTGGTCATATACAGCACAATAATTTATATATTTCTGATATACCTTATTGATATACAGGGTGTTCAGTAAGTCAGGAAACAGGTTTCTATTGTTCTCATTGTTACAAACAATGAGAACAATAGAAACCCGTTTCCTGACTTACTGAACACCCTGTATATTGTATATGTTGTAATAAGGATTCTGTAAAGAAAATGTTAACAAACCTTACTATAGTATTATTTGTTAAAAAATATATGAAACTATATCTAAACAAGTCAGAGACAGCAAAAGTACCATAGATTTATTAAACAAACGCAAAATCTCTTTAGTTAATATGTCCGTGAATGTACCCTTTGCTACCTGTACGTACTGTCGTAATATACTCGTCACTACTGTAACATGGGATATTTATACATTATATTCATATTCTTAGAGGAATAATACTTTCCAAACAAAAAATTTAAATAAACATATGAGAGAAAAATTCAACAAACGCATACTGATTAGTTATATTGCAATACACACGATTCAATCATAAATCAATTAATAGTCACTTTTAAAATCTCCCTTTCCAAGAAGAAATCTATCTTCTTGTTCTTCCTCGCCTTAAGTGTTTTATAATAAACTTCTTCTCAGAAGAGTAGACTACAGTAATAGAGTTTTTGATATTGATTGATAATATATCAATTTTATCTCAATAACATAAAATTCAAAAAAAAATTTAATTCTTTTCGTATAATCAAATAAAATGAAGAAAAAAGTGCAAAACAATCATTGCGGTGAGCGGGGTCTTCTTCTTTTTCTTCCTCGCCATGATCCCAACTACATGGTGTCGGCCACCCTTATCCAAAACTACCATTTGACACGATCTCCCGCATCATCAACGCTCATACCAGCTGTCCTCATATCGCATCATAGCATCCCTCCATCTCTTTAGTGGTCTTCCTCTACCTCTTCTTCCTTCAACGTTCATTTCTATAACTGTTCTTACAGCTTCCGATTCTTCTCTCCTCATAACATGACTAAACCATCTAAGTCTATTTTCTCTCATCTCTGCTACACATGTTCTCTGCTCTACTTTCTTATCAACCGCCCAGCACTCTGAGACATACATCATAGATAGCCTCACTACAGTCTTGTAGAATAAACCTTTCAGCCTCATTGGAATTCTTTTATCGCATAAGACGCCAGAAGCTTCTCTCCACTTCAACCACCGGATACCGATGTCTCATTTCTTATTTTATTATTTATTACCTTATCCCAAATTTTCATACTATGACTCATAAGCTTTATGCAACAACACAACTAGCAAATCTATTCCACACATCATTTATATCTCCCTCGACATTCCATACCGTCCTTTTTCTTGCCGTCTTTACAATCACTTTTTCATTTTCTCCTCTCAATTTTTACCACCGGATCCTCGATTCTCCTCCTGTGTTCTTTTTATTTTTGTATACTCTCTACCTCTATACCACAACTCCATATTAATTAGTCTATGTTGTGTAATTACACTTTCGCAAAATCTTTTACTCGCTTTACATTCTTTATTTTCCACATAAAATAATTAAGCTGTGTTTTATTACTCCTAATCTTCTAAGTTATATAATGTTCTTCCTTCTTTCTAAAATAAGTATTCAACGTAACAAAATCATACGATACTGCGAAATCCAGGATTTTTTTTCTAGCCTCATTTTTGCCATTAAAACTATATTGTTCATTTATTTTTTCATATTCTCTCCTCTCATTACCGACATGTTCCCATTTATATATCCACTTATCATGGTAAACTCATTACCAGGTATTCCTTGTGTCACATCCATCTCTCTCCAAAACACTTCTTTGTCTATTCTATCTTACTACATTCAACAATTTATTTTCGAAAATTAATTTTACGATTATAATTATGTTACTTTTCCTAAATACTTCTACTACTTTAATTTTCCTATCCTCATCCATTTTTAACCCTGCACCATTCTTTGAACTAGATGGTGTAGGGATAATAATGGAGAGGAGATGAAAAGTGAAATAGTAGAAGAAATCAATAAATTATATATGTCATCTTTTTTATTCTAGTCTTAATAATTAAACGCATTGTATCCATCTTAATCATAAATAAAAAATGTTGATGTTATACATAAAATGCCAAAATGATTTATATTCTATTCATCTGTAATAATTTCTGTATTTATACTTAATTATCAATATACAGTTATACTGTAAGAATAATACAATGATGATTTGCAGGGGTACAAAGTATTATAAATTATGTTAATATTATTTTACTATGTAAAATTTTTTTTGTCGCTACGATTTATTTTGCCAACCCTCCGTAGACCTACTTTTTTCAACGATACGTCAAATGATTACAATTCGTATTTAGTTTAAGTTATTACTCTTAAAAATCGAAAAAATATTCCTTATTCAAATAAAAAGTAGCTTAACTAGCTTTTTCCATACAAACAATTAAAATCATTCATTTCTAATGTTTCAAAGTATTTATTGACGAATCAAGTTTTGATATTATAGGTTTCAACTACAAAATGAAATCATTTTACTTTGTAATTTCATAATATATTTACTCTATTTGTGAGTTCTACTTCAAAATTATAATATTACAACTTTTTTTAAAACATGTTGCTATATAAATCATTTCTAAAAAAAAATGATTTATATAATGATTACTAATATTTCTATTTAAGTTATCTATTACGATAAAAATGAAAAAAAATATTGAGCTTTTCTGATACATTTACTATAAACAGTAATTATAAAATTTGCTGACTGCATATTAATTTTAACTATACAATTTTTTTAATTCTCATAAAATTTTTTATTTAATGATGTCAATTTTAAACTTGCAAATTGAGCTAAAAGTTATGGTAATAAATTAATTTTTTTTTCATAAACTTTCACAAAAATCAACTTTAAAGGATTAAAAAAATAGGTTAAATATGTCATTTTCCTTATTTTTAACATATTAATAATCAAAATCAATATTACTTTAAAACAATTTTTTTTGTTTTTAATTATTTTTTTCTATATGTAAATACATATTTTTTAATAATAAGTAATAGTATTAAAACTTGGAAGTGATAGAAAAAGTCTAATTGCATATTTGAAAACATAGCGAAAAGTTGATTAAGAAAAGTATATTTTTATTTCTGATAAAAGTTTCTTGTAGTCCAGTGTATAAAACTTATAACTTTGTTATAACTAACAAACATTTTTTATTGAAAAGTATTGCATCAAGCCCTTTAAATTTTTATACACGTTAAAAGTAATGAAATATACAACTACTTTATTATTTTTATAATAACTCCGTAAAAATTACAATATTAACTTATTAAATAGCAATTTCATATTAAATTAAATTATTATTATTATTATATATTCATATATTATAATTATAAATAAAATATCTAATCGGGATAAAGTTAAGAGAATAAGAGTTATTGTTGCTTTTGAAATAATCTACCAATTTCTTAAAATTAAACATTATCTAGAGATTTGCATCGATGCGTTTCTTATGATAGTGATTTTAATCACTGTCAGATATTATCTATACTTGTCCCGACTATGCCACATCCATATTGTGCCGTGATCCCACTGTGCTACCGTTTTTTTTTTTTTAATTATAATGATAGATTTAAATTTATGAAACAAAATTTAAGAGTGACTATTATTATTGTATTCATTATTATTAAAGTTTTACTGCAAAATAATGGACGCTTTTATACATTCCTTAAAACTACATTGTTACATTGTATTATTTTATTAAAAAAAAAGTGTATACAAGTATTGGTATATTTGATAATTTATAAAAATAAAATTGGCCCGATATTTTTTGAATAACAATCAATTTTGGTTTAGTTTTTTTTTTTAATATATTAATGTAATTTTTTCAGGTCATCTTTACAATGACACGTAACTAAGTAGATTATTTTAATATTATGAAAAACAAATTAAATTACCAAACTTGACAACTTATCATAATTGTTATCAAGTAACAATGCAAAATATACATATAATATATATTACGCATTACAATAATGGTAACTTACTGATTATGTTACAATATAAGTATTTTGTTATTAATAAAAAATTCTTGCAGTAGAAATTTAGTTTATGTATCAAAAACCAATCAATGTAATTTACAGACACAATTCATTCATTGAAACTTTTTACTGATGTGAACAAATAAATAAAATAAAAATATTTTGTGAGTAAATTTCATGGTATCAAACATTTTTGAATGATGATTTACATGAAGACAGCACGGTATTATAAATCAATCTATTTTTAATTCTTATCATCACTTTTAAATGAATCAAAATTATTATTTGTATAGATTTATTAGGAACAATTATGTATGTGGTTGTATGCTTTTACAGTACAGAAAAGTATCTTCCAGTGAATTGTCTACTGCACTACGACCGTTTTATTTTTCAGTTCACCCAGATTTATTTGGAAAATTTCCAAATGAAAGAGTAATTTTATAAATTAATTATTTAGTACTTATATATAATTTTTATATTTTTTATCAGGCAACCAATGAGTGTTCATTACAAATGTTAAGTTCTTTTTTAGAGACATCACGCAAAAATCAGCCCATTAAGCCTGTAACAGTAAAATTTTTTTTGAAACCTAAAAATGGAACACAAAATATTAGTATGTAAAGTAAATTATTTAAGTAAAAATATAGGTTTTGAATATAATTAATATTGATATTATATAAATGTTAATATTTAATTAATATTGATGATTGACAGACAACAAGTGTTGTTAATTTAATGATATTTATATTGGAACTAATTATCTATTTTCTATGATATATGTCATAGTAGAAATAGTAAGTGGGTGGGTATTGTGGTACATTAGTTATTTAGTCTTGTTAAAGTATTCAAATCCTTGTATTTAAAAACTAGTATTTGAATATTTTTTTATTATTTTGAATACTTTTTAAAAGTAATTATATTTGAAATACTAAATATTTTCAATTTTGATTGCATTATTTTTTTGTATTACATAATTATTGATAAGATGAAAAATAACACATTTTAGTACTCGTAACTGTTTCTAATTTGGGTGGATGGGTAATATTTTTATTTTATATATTTTTAATATTGTTATATTATTTTTATGTATATTTTTTATTTTAGATGAATTAAAAACTGTTAAAATATATTTAAATCAAAATGATCTTAAACAAACAGTTTCTACTATACTGCAAAGCTGTAATCTTAGTACATCTTATGTTGATGGATGGACTTCAAAAAAATATTTGCCTAATTATGATAATAGAAACTTATTTACTAATAAAATGCCAAATTATGTATATAAAAATGATTTTGTATGGAATAATGATCCAAACTTAGTAAACAAAGTTAATAAACATATTAAACAAAATCAAATAACAAATAATTTATAGTAAATCAGTTTTACTTACACAATTTACAAAGTGATTCCTTAATTTTGTTGTCTGAAATGCTTTAAAATATTAAATAGTATATTATATTCATTTTTTAAAAATCTTGTACTGTGCATACTAAAATTTTCTATACAAAAATGTATTTATTTATGTATAAATCTAAATAATTTACTTATATAAACATAAACTAAATAAATAAATAATTTATACATAATAATTCTATGATTATTATAGAACATTTTTAAGGTTTTCTGAAACATTGATTTAAATAATTTTATATCATTAATTTAAGTTACTGAACATATTTGTCAATGCTATAATTTTTAAAGCTCAAGTTGATACAATTTTAATAGGAAAATCGAAGGGAAAATAATGTATGTTTAATCATTTTAACTTAATGATAATGTAATATAATATTATACAATAATATATTTTTATTTTATATAATTTTCTTTATAACATGATTTTATTTTGGAAAAAGTGTTAAAGAAAATTTCCACCCTCTTCACTCAATATTATCATCAAGTTTTCTTCACAACTATGATGTCACTCAAAAATTGTTTAATAAAAGCCCAGTGGGACCCCTGGACACATGCTTGACATGGACATAGTTAAGGAATCACTTAATATAATTATATACATTTGTTTTAATTTTTTTCTTTTTAGTAAATGGCTGAAGATAAATTCTAAAACTGCCCGAGAAAAGTTATTTAAATATGAGCCAATAAGAAAAGAAGTATCTCGTATACAAACAAAACTTTGCAAGCAATTGGAACTCAAAAGTATTGAGTTTGATTGTGGATGGGATATACGTCATTTTATTGGTTGTCTTGTGAGTTTTCAAACATTATTGGAAAATCATCCTAGTGATATGGCTTTATTAAAAGGTATACAATAGATTTTTTTCTTTTTTTAAGTTGAACTATTGTATTTTGTTTTAGGTAGAACAATTATGTTTGGAAGAGATACTGGCTTGAGTTTGGATGGCATTATTCTTTTAAATAGCGGTGAAGTTCGACATAATTGGCTTGATGTAAGACCATTACAAATATAAAAATATTTATGACACAATTATTTTATGAAATACACTGCAGTAGATATTTCAAAAGAAAATTTTACTTGACTTTAAGTTATATAATGTCAACTAGGTCTCATTTTACATGATATAAAATGAGACTTAATGATTGTACTATATCTACAATGTCATTTTAACTGAACCCCTTTAATTTTAATCTATTGCTTTCTTATAAAGAAGAATGATTTTTATTTTTCTGTATCTTCCAATTATCTATTTTTTTTAAATATTATTTGTGACTATTAACAAGATAGATAGACAGATATCGATCATAGTATTTGTCTATGAAATACTTACCAGAGAGCTCTAACAAAAAAGGAAATTCTTGAAATCAATGATGTATTAATATCAATAATAAAATTAATTGAGTTAGTCCCAGAAAATTGTTCTAAGTGAATAATAACCCAACCCAATAATATATGAAATGAGGAAATAGCCTTAGAAAGAAGAAAGGACACTAAAAGGGGAAAGTAATATATTTTTAAAGAAATGGAAAATAACAAAAATATATACAGAATGATCAATTAAGGATAAGACTAATTTTGTTGGAAATTATTGAAAATTTAAAATTATCGTAATGGATAAAATTGTTTAATTCACAAAAATCTATAATAAAATGTAGTAATATAAACGGTAGCACAGTGGGGTCGCGGCATAGTGGAGACATTGCATAGTAGGGTCCAGTATAGATTTTATCTGACAGTGATTAAAATCACTATCATAAGAAACGCTTCGATGCAAATCTGTAGATAGTGTTTAATTTTAAAAAATTGATGGATAATTGCAAAAGCAACATCAACTTCTATTAAAATAAAATACAAAACCCATAATTATCATACAAAAATAGTATATTTTTCAATATGGTAGCCATTTGCGTATAGAAGATAGATCGTCGGGACAAATTTTTTTTTTTCATTTTGTAGTACATAAAATAAGCTTTAATTTTATATATGTTTAAAGGACGCAGTATTTCCGGAACATTTTCAAAAATTAAGTTGAAAAAGTTATTTTTTGTAAAAAAGTTACTATTTTAAATCCTCCCAGTGAGCAGAATAAGTGTTAGATTTTCAAAAAAAATTATATCAAATGAAAGGGAAATATCTAAGGTTTCAATACAAAAAAATATTATTTTTATTTGTTCATTTTTGAAAAAGTTATGGCAGTTTTAAGTACAAAAAACATCCCGATAAAATGTAATTTTTATCGCAAACATTACATTTTTTTTTAAATTTTCGACAGCCATTTGCACATAGAAGATAAGATGTCGGGACAAATTTTTTTTTTTCATTTGATAGTATATAACATAACCTTTGATTTGATATATGTTTAAAGGACGCAGTATTTCCGGAACATTTTCAAAAGTTCAGTTGAAAAAGATCTATGTTTTTTACAATATTTTAAGTTTTGAACGCCCCCTATATAAGGGGAAATTGTCCAATTTTAATAAAAAGTATGTCAAATGAAAGATGTACTTATAATGTATTTAGAAAAAAAAAATTTGTGCTGATATATACATTTTTCAAAAAGTTATAGCATTTTTAAGTTGAAAATTTAAAATCGAAAATCGAAAATTTTAACACAAAAATAGTGTTTTTTTAACTACGGCAGCCGTTTAAATGTAGAAAAAAAAGTGTCGGGACAAATTTTTTTTTTTCATTTTATAGTACATAAAATAAGCTTTAATTTGATATATGTTTAAAGGACGCAGTCTTTCCGGAACATTTTGAAAAGTTCAGTTGAAANAAAGGACGCAGTCTTTCCGGAACATTTTCAAAAATTAAGTTGAAAAAATTAATTTTTGTAAAAAAGTTGCCATTTTAAATCCCCCCCAATGAGCAGGTTAAGTGATAGATTTTCAAAAAAATGATATCAAATGAAAGGTAAATATCTAAGGTTTTAGTATAAAAAAAAATTATGTTGATTTGTTGATTTTTCAAAAAGTTATGGAAGTTTTAAGAAAAAAAAGTGAAAAAATTTCGAAAATTAGCGATTTTTAAATTTGTAATTTTTTTGGATATTTCCCCCATTTGCGGGGAACGAGGGAATTTTTTTCAATTTTTAAGGGTAATGTCTTCAACTAGATACGATTTGTGATCTTTTGACGTATTTTTGAAAGAAATGGGTCCAGTGAGAGCTGAGAAAAAGTGGTAACAGACATAAAAAAAAAAAAAAAAACACATAGTAAAATTAATACCTTCTCCGCTTCGCATCGAAGCTAATATTTTGATTTCATCCTTTATAAGGTTAAAAATTTTTAAATTTAATTTTCTTCGAGAACCCTTATTTAATGATATGATAGAAAAAAATTTTAAATAATTTTGCTCTTATAATATTTTTAATCTGATGAACAGTTCATCTTTTATTGCTTGGTTATAATTAAATAATTTTTGATCAATTTTCTACTGATAATTTAATAATTTTTTCTTTGTTGAAAATTTGGAGATTTATATATTTTTTACTTGATTTTCATAAAATATAAAAATTTGCAAATACAATGAATTTTGTAACTAAATTCTGAAATAAAAAGAGGAGTCACTTGATTAATGAAAACATTTTCTATCTTATAACACAAGTAAATATTAAGTTATTAATTTGTGTTATATTTGTGTTAATATTTAATATTACTCTTGCATAACATTGTGAATTCATATGAAATGGTTAATTAAATTGTTTTTGTAATTAAATTGAATACATTATTTTAACAGATTATAGGATCAGAATGTAAGTTTTCTTTATTAACTATTTAATAAAAAAAAGGAATATTGAAAAATAATCAAATAATTTAATAGTATTAGCTTACTACAGGAAGTTAAGAATTGAATATTTGTTGGTTGAACATGTGGTTTTAGAATGTATTTTCATTAATGATGCTATTAAATTAGAAGAATTTAAAAAGAAAAATCTCAAACAATATATTGTTATATGTATTATAGATTCTCATCTATATGAGAGAATTTCGTACGACCTATGAAATATAATAGAAATTATTGAATGCATTTGAAAAAAATGTCTAATAACAGTCTAAAAGACTGTTCTTGTTAAAGAAATTGTTGTTAACTAAGTATTTTTGATGTAAATCTATGTAAAAAATTATTACCAGATTTGATGAGTTAATCAGACAAATTAAATCAGCAGGTGCTAATTTACAAGATGGTTTAGTTGCATATTTACTATTTTTATTTTCACCAAAGTCATACAATATAGTTATAACAGAAATTAAATTGATTTTTGATGAAAACAAAAGAAAGTGCAATTAATTGTTAGTTATGAAGAGGAATTTATTGTTACACCTGAAGAAAACAAAGAACAATTTGTTGAGTAAAATAATGAAAAAGTAAATGAGAATTATGCTGAAGATGAAGAACTGAATAGAACATTTATTGAAAATACTTCAATTATTTTTTAGTTATTAATTAGCTGAAGAAAATTAAATCTAATGATCATTTAGACAAAAGAAACACTTTTATACTTAAATAATTATGGAACCTCATACAATGCTTTAGCAGCTATGTACACTAAAAACATAGTTTACAGCGTGTACCATGTAGTTATAGTGAAACACTAAAAAATGAACAAAGTTAAGTGGATAGAGGAAATGAAAGAAGAGATGGAGACCAATATTTGAATAATACAAAAACAATACTATAAAAACAAGAAATATGCAGTTAATATCGTGTAGATGGGTTTATAAAGGGAAAATTTAATTAACTAAAATAAAACCTATTCATTGAACAAACAAAGGATTATAGAAGCAATAATATGATATGTAAATTTAACAATTCTGTATATTGGTTTAAACCAATATTAATAAAATAAATATTAAATAAGAATTATTTTAAAGTTTGAAAAACAACTTCAATGTTTTAATATGTCAAATTCTAAAAAATATAATAATTGTAAAAAAGACTTAAACACTTTGATATTTAGTCTAATTTTTTCAAGGAAATAATTAACAATAGAGTTGTTTCAATAAAAATATTTGATATCAAAGGAACACATTGCAGATAATTTAATAAAACCATTAAGGAAGCAATTATTTCTCAAATTCAAAAACGAAATAGGAATGTCATAGTTCTATATTAAACTTTAATATGTTGTTTGGTTAATATTTCTTCCTATACATGTGTATTTTTGTTTTTTAACGTAGTTGACTAATTTTTAAAACTAATATTATGTTTTAATGGTTTTGCAGTAATTATGTTTTTTTAATAAATACAAATTGTGGAGTGTTAAGTTTTCAATTTGTATTATCAATATTTTTGTATTTTAATATTTTATTTAATATTACTCTTACATCACTATGAGATTTCTTGTGAAATGGTTCTATAAATACATTGAATTGTATTTAAATTTAATAGATTATTTTTACAGTGAATTTATTGATTTGTTACATTATTAGTTTTTAAATAAATTCGATTCAATGGTAAGCCTATTAAAAAGCAATTAACTTAAAAAATATTAATACTATGGACATCCCATTTAAATATATATACAAATTTGCGTTTATAAAAGTTTTATCTATTCTAAAATTATGACATTGAGCCTGATATAGTAAAAAATTAGGGGTTATGATAATTTTCATAAAAAATCAAGTCACCCCTATTTTGGATGAAAATTTTGCAAAAAAAATGTGTAATATAGTTATTTTTTATGAAATAATAATGATAATCAATGTTCTCTGTAGAGTACTGTTCTTTAGAGCTTAACATAGATATCTGATTTGCTTTTTATATAATTATATACAGAGTGTTTCATTAAGTAAGGAAACGGGTCAATTGTTACAAGCATTATGAAACCCGTTTCCTTACTTACTAAACGCTCTGTACTCCGTCAAATCGGTCAACTTGTAGCAGGTAAATATTTTACTAGTGTTATAAGTTGATAAAATGATAATAGATATTTAATTATTCCAATGTTAACCACTGCATATACTCATTTGATAGTTAATAAAATGTATATTTGTTATATAGTTTATCAAAAATGTTCCCAAAGAAGATACTATATTACTAACAGTACCGGCCTTTGAAAAAGCAACTTCCAGGGTTTTACGTGATATAAAAGTGGTTAGAAGGTAATTTCAATATTATCGTGTAATTGTTATTAAATTAAGAAGAATCTACAGAATGGTAAAATAATATTTTTGGTAATACTCTTTATTTTGCCTTTTTTTTTTTTTTATGTGCAGTACACCAAAAATTCCACTGATTTTGATTTACGGAGAAGTTATAAAAAATTGTATACTGTAAAATGAAATTTAGTATATTTAATATGAAAAAATCGCCTAGTTGACACATATTTTTAAAATAACAACTGCAAAATTTAAATTGATCAAATTATTTTATTGTTAATTTCAGTAAGTTCATTCATATGAACGGTACCTTTGCATTCTTTTATAAAACAACGCCAACGTATGTTATCCGTTTGTAATGATTTATATATAAAACGAAACTTGAAATTATTCAATAAAATCATTTGTTGGACCCGCTTCTGGTATATTCAAATGACATTTTAATTAAAAAGTAAAAAAAAAAGAACGGGTAGTAAAATATTTATCGACATATCGATTATCAATGCACTGTTATCTATTTATCAATAATAGAATAGGAAAAAGTTCGATTAAATGAAAAGTAGATACTTATTATTTTGCTTAATATTTTAACCAGTAGTTTTCAATCTTCTATTTGTAAATAGGTATAAACTATCGATTTGGCGGAATTGAAAATCCTACCTAATTTATATTTGACGGTAACGCACCAAATTTTTGGAACTGATAGGCATAGATTTACCTGCTTGTAAACAGCAAATAGGCTCCTTCAATCATAATCATTGCTTCTTTGTATAGTAACTGATCACGGTTCCAGACGTGGCTACAGATAATATATACCTCTTATATCTATAATTTAATATATCTCGATTCACAATTATCTACGGTTCTAAACCGTAGATAACTATTAATATTACGATAATAAAACACCCAGCAAAGGGGTGACGTGGCATAGTTGGATCAAGTATAATGATATCTGACAGTGATTAAAATCACTATCATAAAAAATGCTTCGATGCAAATCTTTAGATAGTGTTTAATTTTAAAAAATTGGTGGATTATTCCAAAAACTACATGATCTGCTATTTCCTTATTTATATTCTGAATGAAAAAGGGATTATTAAAAAATATTATTTCTCATAAAAAAATTGTGTTGATCCATACACTTTTCAATAAATTATAGCATTATAAAGTTAAAAATGTAAAAAATAAAATCGAGAATTTCTCACTGTGTAACAAAATAAAGTCCGAAATTTTTTTCCATAATAAAGTATATTATATTAGCTTTAATTTAAGATATATATAAAAGTGTCAGTATTTCCGGAACATTTTCAAAAGTTAAATTGAACAAGTTTTAAATTTAACAAGAATTAAGAAAAAAATGCAAAAATTCTTTGCCATACACGAGATGAAACAAAAATCGAATAAGACTTAACACGGCCCCGTTCGCTTCATTATACTTGATGCCCTGCGACTCGTGCCACCTTTATCAGCTGTCGCTCTACTATGAGTATTTGACTGACCAACATCGCGTGCCATATGCCAAGGTGCAAAGTCCAATAAGTGCCGTATGGTCGACGATAACCAGCTGCAAACGATACGTTGATTCTTCTTCCAGCTGTCAACGTGACAACGTCGAGGATGTACGCCATCGGCTCCGGACGTGCCGTATGACCGAACTTAACGAACCAATTTGCACCCGCGCACCGTCGCCATCAACGCTTCAAACTTTTTGACGCCCGAGAATCAGCGAAAGTGCCGCGATATTATGCGAAGATTATAACTGTCAATAGTTCGTCTTTTCAGTTTGTTTTTAGCTTCGATGCGAAGCAGATAAGATATTGGTTTTACTATGTTTTTTTTTTTTTTTTTGTGTNTTTTTGTGGCTACGATTTATTTTGCCAACCCTCACTAGACCTACTTTTTTCAACGATACGTCAAATGATTACAATTCGTATTTAGTTTAAGTTATTACTCTTAAAAATCGAAAAAATATTCCTTATTCAAATAAAAAGTAGCTTAACTAGCTTTTTCCATACAAACAATTAAAATCATTCATTTCTAATGTTTTCAAAGTATTTATTGACGAATCAAGTTTTGATATGAGATAGGTTTCAACTACAAAATGAAATCATTTTACTTTGTAATTTCATAATATATTTACTCTATTTGTGTGTGCTACAATCAGTCTATAATATTCCAAATTTTTTTGTAACATACATGTTGCTATATAAATCATAAATTTCAAAAAAAAAAAATTTTTAGTTTCACTTGAATTTTACGATGGATTTTTACAATTATAATTAAATTTTATAATACGCTCATAATTGAGTAAATTTTTTTAACTATTTTTTTTTATTGGTTTTTTTAGTTAAAGTATATCATTAAAATTAATTGAGTTCTGCATATTTCAATTGTAGAATCTTTAAACACCAAAAGTTAATTAGAAATGATTACTATGATTTTTATTTAAGTGATCCATTACGATAAAAATGTAAAAAAAAAAAACTTATCTGATAAATGTACTGTAAATAGTAATTATAAAATTTCCTGATTGCATATTAATCTTAACAATTTCATTTTTTTCTATTTAATAATGTCAATTTCAAACTTGCAAGTTGAGCTAAAAGTTATGGTAATAAATTCATTTTTTTTCTTATTAAAACTTTCACTTTAAAGGACAAAAAAAAGTAGGTTCAAAATGATTACTTTTAACATATTAAAAATCAAAATCAATAATAATTTGAAAACAATTAATTTTAAAAATTATATAATTAAAAGAATTACTAATCTGGGTATAATTAAGGAAATAGAAGTTGATGTTGCTTTTGTAATTATCCATCAATTTCATAGNAATGCAGCTTTTGTAATTATCCACCAATTTCTTAGAATTAAACACTATCTACAGATTTGCATCGAAGCGTTTCTTATGACAGTGATTTTAATCACTGTAAGATTAAATCTATACTGGACCCAACTATGCAACGTCCCCACTATGCCTCGACCCCACTGTGCTGGGTTTTTTATCTTTAACTTTGATGTCCATTTTCACCATAAAGACAAATCCAGAGATCAAATTTTTTTTTCAAAATAAAGTTTATTACATAAGATTTAATTTAAGGTATATATAGTGTCTATATATATATGTATATATAAGTGTCAGTATTTTCGGAACACTTTCAAAAGTTAAATTGAACAAGTTAATTTTTTGTGAAAAGTTGTCATTTTGAATCCACCCCTGTGGGCAGGTAAAGGGTCAAATTTATAAAAAAAAATATACCAAATTATAGGTAAATACTTCATGCATTTATATAATGAAAAATTATATTAATTTGATTATTTTTAAAAAAGTTATGGTAGTTTTAAGTAAAAAAAATGTCGAAAATTAGCGATTTTTACATTTGTAATTTTTTTGGAGATTTCCCCCATTTATGGGGAACAAGGGAAATTTTTTCAATTTTTGAGGGTAATGTCTTCGATTAGATACAATTTGTGATCTTTTGACGTATCGTTGAAAGAAATCGGTTCAGTCAGAGCTGAGAAAAAGTGGTAACAGACACAAAAAAAAAAAAATTCATCATAGTAAAACCAATACCTTCTTAGCTTCGCATCGAAGCTAAAATTAACTAATTCGTATACTGTTCATTAACAAAGGATGTGCTTTGTAAAAATCGAATACTCTCCGGGCCGATCGCCCCTTCTAAATACATTATAGTTATAAAGGTTTAAGCAAAGCCAAATAAATTTTGTGAACATAAATGCAAACAGATCAGTAAAAAAAATTTTTGTTTTAATACTAAAGTAGAACTTTAGGTACCTACCATAAAAATCCTGAAAATGGATCTGAATTCAATATTATGCTAATTGAAGATCGGTTAAACTACTTTTTTTTTGAATTTTTGATTCCTTCAACTCGCAAAGATTGTTTGAAAAATAACATAAAATGTATAGCTAGTGAATGAGGGAAACAAAATTTCATTAAAAAACCGAGTGAAATATAAATTTGATATGACACCAAGTTTGTCTCAACTACGCGATCACTTAAAAAAGTGGGTTTCTTTTTTTCATATGGTTTTTAATACACATTCGTTGACCAACTCTTAATTCCTTGTGATTTTGTACTTAAATGTACTATAAGTATATATTATATTTAATTTGGATGGCTTAAAAATTACATTACATTAATAAGAAATTTTTTGTCATCAAAATGTCAATTAAAAAAAAAAAGTTACTTGCATTGTTTTTTCCATGTTCCCTATGTATTAATAATGGTTTCATTTATTTTGTAGAAAATTCCAGCCCAGAACTATAGTTAAGCAATATGAAAATAATCTCCGCAACTTAACTACTTCATTAAGTGATTATCAAGGACGCAATAGTTACCCTAAAGTTTGGCCAGAAACTTTAAATATTTTTGAATTGGTAGTAGAAACGTATGATCAAAACCTATGTGCTATTATCATATTATTTATGTTTTATTATTTATATAATTTTATTTAGTGAAGCAGGGCCACTTATGGTATCACCAACGGGTCAATTCATTGTTCCTGCATCATGCCCAGCTAGTTTATTAGTAAATTTTATTACAAACAATTTGTCTTCTGCCAATGAGTTATTAAAAAAATATCAAAGGTAAAAAATTTGACCCAATAAGATTATAACTATAATTATTATTTTTTTTTATTTGTAGAGAAAAGTACATCGAAAAAGATTTATTTGAAAGTTGTATTAATGAATTAAATCTAATTACAATGGTGAAAGATGATTGCATTACCCCAAGTCTTATGATTGAATGTTGTCAAAATTTATATAATAATCGGAATAAATTAAGACGCATTTTTAGTGGTATGCGTCTTTGTATTACAACTTACTACAGCATTATGTCTGATGGACAAATTTGTATTCCTTGGAATTGGAATACTAAGTAAAATATTATTAATAATAATATAATAGTGTTACCATTTAATATATCACCAAAATAATTATTTTTATTACTTAAATGGTTTAATAATTTGAACACTTTATTGTTATGTATTAAAAGCTATGAATTTAGATCATTGTATACATTCAAAAAAATAACTTTGCTTTTGTAACATTAAAACAATATCATAGTATTCATTTATTGAAAAAAAAATTGTTGAGTTAATGTATTTTAAATTAAATTATTGTGCTTTTATAATTTTAAAAATAGTTTATTGATGTAATATAAGCAAGGACGTTATAGGACATGTTTTAAGTACTTAGGATCAGTTGTGCAAAAAAACGATAGTATTGAAAAACGATGGGAGAGTAGAATAGAAGCGTCTGGTGTATTAGCGGTAAAAGAATTTCAGTCATTTAATTTTTTTTTTTAAATAGACTTGAAAGGTAAGTTTTCTAAGACTGTAGTAAGACTAGCTATAATGCATGATTCAGAAAATTACGCGGTTGACTGGAGAATAAATGTAGCAGAGAATGCTTAGATGAATAAGTGGAAAGACTAAAAAATAAAAGGAACGAACATATAAGAGGGAGTAAAGGTATAGTGTTAAATTACTTTAAATTATGACACATGTACGTTCAACTAGATTTGTGACATAAAAAAATATCGTTTAGTAAAGATAATCTTTGCTTTTATTAATACTATATTGTCAGCGAACAAAATCAACTTGGTACCTCTTCTCGATTTCTCTAGTAATTTCATTTATCATTATAGAAAATAAATATAGTTTAAAAAAACTAAAAAACACGCTTTTAAAGCACATAGAACTAAAAAGTTAAAAATAATTTTTAAAATTAACTTAAAACAATAATGAACGAAAAATACTAGTATTATTGTGAAAAAAATCGTCAGGCGCTCAATATACAAAAAAATTGGGCATAAAGCACCCACGCTTTATACACGATTTAAGTTATATAACATTATAAACGAGGCATATACGGCGGCAGAGGCGTCGGCTGTAGTAATATATAAATGAATATTAACATATACGTATAAATATTAATATTAGCGGTGGCAGTAGGAATATATGATCTTCGCATAATATCGCGGCACTGTCGCTGGCGTCGAAGACGCGATGTCCGGCGTGATCCTCGGGCGTCAAAAGGTTAGCAGCGTAGATGACACAGTGCGCGAGTGCGAATCGTTTTGTTGACGTTGTCACTGACAACGAGAAGAAGACTACGGTATCATTAACGGCGGGACGTCGTCGTCGACCGTGCGGCACTTGCTGGACTTTGCACCGCGGCGTAAAACGACGCGGGGCCGTGTCAATCACAATACAAATTTGTTATACANTTGTATGTTGTGGGATGTTTGTAACTTTCCACGCGGCACGTGTCTACGGCCTTGCGACTAAACGGTCGTAACGCAATCACCCCACCCCGCTCACCACTCGTAAAAGCAATATTTTCCAACCCGTAGACCCGCGCGTGTCATCAATTATATACATATAAATATACAGGGTGTTCAGTAAGTCAGGAAACGGGTTTCTATTGTTCTCATTGTTTGTAACAATGAGAACAATAGAAACCCGTTTCCTGACTTACTGAACACCCTGTATATATATATGTATATAATTGATGACACGCGCGGGTCTACGGGTTGGAAAATATTGCTTTTACGAGTGGTGAGCGGGGTGGGGTGATTGCGTTACGACCGTTTAGTCGCAAGGCCGTAGACACGTGCCGCGTGGAAAGTTACAAACATCCCACAACATACAAGTGAAACTAATATAAGCGTGTTAATAAATAAGGGCTTAAAGAAAAACCTTGGTGCACTCTTAGTCTTACCCTTAACATTTTTTATTACTCTGCCAACATTTTTTACCTTGGTAAAAATCTATTGTATTAATGTACCTTTTCGGGATTTTTTCTTCACATTAAAACCTCTCTCGGTACACTATCATACTTTTCTCCAAATCTATCATACACAGCTTTTTCTTCTTTTCCTTATAATTTTCTGTTAGTCGTCTCACACAAAAAATGGCTCCATCGTTGACTTTCCAGGCAATTACCCAAACTGGTTCTTTGTTATTGATATTTCTTCTCTGATTCCTTTATGAATTATCTTTTCCCAAATCTTAATACTATGACAAGCTTAATGCCTCCATAATTTCCACACTCATGTATGCCTCTTTTGCCTGTAAATATAGGCACTATAATACTATCGTTTGAACGGAACGCCCGGTAATGATGTGCGGTTTAGTTACTGTTCGTTTCTGGAGTATTTATATCATGCAGGAGAAAGAAGTAGGGAGTGGACTGTATAAATGAGTAAATATATTGAAAGAATATGAAACTATAAACTGTATTTTTAATATAAACTAAAATATTATATATATCAATGTGGGTAATGTATGCTAATGCAACAATGTGTCAAATAAAACAAATAATAATAATAAAAATTAGATAAAACAATATGATTACAAACTACTTATACGATACTCATGATGATGACTGGTTTGATGTGAATGAAATGCGAATGAAGTTGTTGGCATGACAATTGTACCAGGCAGAACGTACTATGGCGCGAATAGTACTTCAAGGTGTACGAATTTAATTCTATCGCAAGGGCGATAAAAAATAACGCACAAGGGTGCGACAATAGCAAGGGCGATATGTAAGCGTCTTTAACAATTACGTGCTCGCAAGCACCTTAAAACCATAAACAAAACGAGTTAGGATGGTGGCGAAAGACGCAAAATCACAGAAAGCGGACCGATAAGAACTCGGCGAGACACAAGAAATCACGTACGTGAGTATCCAACGTAATGACGAATCCCTCGCACAACCGGTGGTGGCAGCGCGAGAGCGCTATCAGTCACAATAAATCTAAGAAAAAACGACCTCTTGTGATGCGTATCCAACAACTATTCCTCCATTTATTTGGAATTTTCATTTCCAGTAGGATTTTATTAAAGCACCTTATTCCAACACCGCCTAATATTTTCCAAATTTCTTAGATACTCCTCGTTCAGTAATTTTTCAAAATACTTTTTCTACCTTTTCTTCCCACCTTACATTGTGATAATCTTTAGACTGCTTTTCTTTTACTTTTTCAAGTCTATAGACTTCTTTCTCACCTTTCTTTGTTTCTAGCCTATCGTTCAAACTCATCACACCTCTTAAACTTCGCCTTACTTACCACGTACAAGGCTTCTTTACACAAGTGTTTGTACTCCATCTAATCTCGTATTTTGCTCTTTTGTCATACTGTTAATTGGTTTTTTTTTACTGTCAATGATTTTCTGAACGTCCTCATCCCACCACCCAGTTTCTTTGTGTTTCTGTCATTTACTCTTACTCTCACTGACAATCTACTTTGCAGTATTCTTTTCATGACTAGCAAATCTATTCCACACATCATTTATGTCTCCCATAATATTCCATACAGTTCTTTTTTTTACCGTTTTTAATAACTCTTTTTCTTTTTCCTCTTTCAATTTCTACTATCGGATACTGAATTCTCCTCCTGTGTTCTTTTTGTTTTTGTATACTCTCTACCACTACACCACAACTCCCTCTTATATGCTCGTTCCTTAGTCTTTCTTCTCTAGTCACTCCACTCAACCATTTAACTATTCTCATCTATGCTACACACGTTCTCTGCTCTACTTTCTTATCAACCACCCAGCACTCTGAGCCATACACATAGATGGCCTCACTACAGACTTGTAGAATTTACCTTTCAGCCTTATTAGAATAGAGCCAAAACAGCCTAACCTACAAAAGTGTAATTTCGCAGGACAGGCATTTAAAGTTTTGATTATTTTTCAATATTTTTTTTTTTTTGTAATCCACTCCAAGGAAAATAACCATAACTCATTAGTATGTATAAATCCTTGCCTTTTAAACCATCTATAAATTATTAGTCAATTAAAGTTGGTTAAGTTTTTGATGTGGGTTAGGCCACTATAAATTTTGAAAAATTTTTATTAAGTAGAATTTTCTGTGGTTTAGGCCAACTTATTGGAAATTTGTTATTCACTCTTATTCACACAACATAAAAATACTATGTAAATAATTGTATTAGTTTATTAGTAACTTTTTTAAATAATATTGTAATTAAGTTTTAGTACAGAATGATTATAATCATTCTGTAAATAATCATTCTTGTTAATAATTATTAACAATGAGATTGTTACTAAACTTAACAAAACAAAAAAATAAAATCACTTTTAATAAATTTGATTAACTTGAAACTTTGGTATTTATACATTTTTAACATTATCATCACATAATACAGTCTTCAGTATTGAATAATATTAATAAACAATATTATGATTGTTACTAAACCTAACAAAATAAAATAAAAATAGCTCTTAACAGTATTACTCACTAAAATTCAGATGGCCTAATCCACTAGCATAGGGTTGACCTGCTATGGTTCTGAAATTATATTTCATAATCACAGTGCCAAAAACTATTTATGTAGTGCCATTTAGTGAATAATTTTTTTTTGTGGGATAGACCATAGTGGATTTCAAATATTATATCAATCTGAAACGTTTTATCATATAAAACAGAATTTGATTTTTTGTGGGTTAGGCTGTTTTGGCTCTATGCGCTTCAATTCTTTATCGCATAAGACGCCAGAAGCTTCTTTCCACTTCAACCACCGGATACCGAAGTCTCATTTCTTATTTTATTATTACCTTATCCCAAATTTTCATACTATGACTCATAAGCTTTATGCAAAAACACAACTAGCAAATCTATTCCACACATCATTTATATCTCCCTCGACATTCTACACCGTCCTTTCTCTTGCCGTCTTTACAATCACTTTTTCATTTTCTCCTCTCAATTTTTACCACCGGATCCTCGATTCTCCTCCTGTGTTCTTTTTATTTTTGTATACTCTCTACCACTATACAACAACTCCATTTTAATTAGTCTATGTTGTGTAATTACACCCAAAGAAAAACCTCAATCAAAATTGAAAGAGAAATTTTATCAAGGGTTTATGATAATGTTTTATTAATACGAACAAAATAACTATTCTTATAAATAATTATTGTTCAAGACAAGGAAAAAAAATATCATATTGATAAATATATCATTGATTCAATAGTAATGATATATTTATCAAATTGAACAATGAATTTATTATATAGATCGAGGTTTTTCTCTGGGTGTACACTTACGCGTGGGTTAACTTTAAAATCTTTTACTCGCTTTACATTCTTTATTTTCCACATAAAATAATTAAGCTGTGTTTTATTACTCCTAATCTTCTAAGTTATATAATGTTCTTCCTTCTTTCTAAAATAAGTATTCAACGTAACAAAATCATACGATACTGCGAAATCCAGGATTTTTTTTCTAGCCTCATTTTTGCCATTAAAACTATATTGTTCATTTATTTTTTCATATTCTCTCCTCTCATTACCGACATGTCCTCATTTATATATCCACCTATCATGGTAAACTCATTACCAGGTATTCCTTGTGTCACATCCATCTCTCTCCAATTTTATAATTCTCATCTATTTCTCTTCTTTCATGCCCTTCCACTTAATTTCCCGCAAACAATAAATAATAACCTTAATCCATTACAATAATTCTACTAATATCCTACTTATATCAGTTAATATTCCAACATTTCACGTATCTATTCTTACTTTGTATCTACTTTTCTTTCTTTCTTATACAAGAGTCCAGTCTAGAGTTAAGTAATGATGTCCCTACACCGTTGACACTAAAAGCGTTAGATAGGTTTTTTAGATAGGTTTCAATTTTTTTTGGCTTTCTCCGACTCTACTTTATTTCCTCTCGCCTATTTTCCTGGCGTACATCTGAAATGGAATAATTCGACTAAGTTCTTTTTAGGACTTCTTACATTTTTTGATAAAATTTTGCACTGACTGTTCACTTGATGCAACTTATTTAGTCACTTCTTACGACTGGCAGAGGAGCTGAGGGGGAGTATTCTCAACTATTTCCACAGGGAAACAGACGATGTATTATTCATGTTGGAAATTTTTGATTAGGATAAACTATTAAATAGTATTCCTTTCAATTTTCAATTTAAGTTTAACAGCATTTTTTTTTAGTATAAACTTTTATATTTAAATTATTCATATAGTTGTTGAATGACAATTGAATAGTTGCTATTTGATATTTTCAATCACTAATAAAAGTCTCATACGACTGGCAGAGGGGCCATGAAAGTATTTTCATCCCCTATCAATAGGAATGTAGTAAAATATTAGTATTAAATAACCTAACTACTAATATGTAATAAAATTTACATATGACTAAAAATCAAATGTGAGGTTTTTCCTCTCAAAATTATGATTATGATTTGATTTGTCAAAATATATTTTCCCACTACGATTTTAGCACTTCAAAATCTGGGTTGTTATCTATATTTTAAATAAATATTCAAATAGTAAATATAGTTTTAACTAAGTGTTTTTATGTAAAAGAATCTATAAGGCGTATTACAATATTCAGTGGGACATAATTATGAGCTAAGAGGTTTGAGTGTATTACATGATTTTAGCTACCCCAAGATTTTTTTTCTAGTGCACTACGAGACTTTTATATCATAGAGCAGGAGGAAAGTATAAATATTTAACCTTTTTATGGCATTAAATGTAAAAAGGCTTACTGGCGATGCCACTGCATTATCCTTTGAAATGTCCAGGTTGTTGTGATTGCCTGATTGCGATTATATAATGTCAATGAAAAACCTTTCTGAAGTGTTAAGATATTATACATAATTTGTTTAAATTATTATATATATATTATTACTATCAAAGTATAAAAAACAATTTTTAATGTATTAAGCGAATAAAAGTTAATGTCACCAAAATATCGCATAAGTATTTTATATTTCGATGATTTAAAAATTTAATTAAACAACTGGTATTTTTATCAAATGTTTTAAGTAGGTAAGAAATAGTCTTCATTTCTTTAGTATCAGTTATTACATTATTATGACATAAAAGTAAAAAGTGAAACAAAATAAAAATATTGACTTACAGTATAACAGAATCATATATAATCATGTAGACAAAATATAACATTAATAATTAGATCTTAGAAGTTGATGATCTAAAGAACCTTGAATAATTTTAAAAATGATTTATAAATAATAATTCATAATGAGAGATGACTTAAAATTATGGAAAATGCAAAAAAGTTATTATAATTTCTTTATTTAATTGAAAACAACATCAATAAAATAAATTGTCACCTAAACACAAATTAAAAAACTTTTTCTCATATTAACTTAAGTACGTGTAAATTTATATTAACAATTAATTTTTAAGTAATCTCTAATTATTGCTTATTAATTATAAATCACTTTAAAATTGCATTTTTTGTTCAACTTCGGCATCCATTTTAACATAGAAGATAGGTCGTTAGAATAATTTTTTTTTGGACTTATAGAATGTAACATAAGCTCTCATTTGACATATGTTCAAAGGACGCAGTTTTCCTGAACGCTTTGAAAAGTTAATTGAAAAATTGTCATTATGAGTCGTTCCTGTGAGCATCCCAATCCCCTTGTCAGGTTTTCATAAATGTATATTTGATTAAAGGAAAATACCTATGGTGTTATATATAGAGCATTTTCATTTTTCAAAAATTTATGACTGTTAAGAAAAAAAGTTAAAAAAATGTAGAAATATACCAATTTTAAATATTGTAATTTTTGGGGAATTTTCACCATTTACAGTGAACGAGGGAAATTTTTTTCAATTTTTAAGGATAATGACTTCAACTAGATACAATTTGTAATCCTTTGATGTGTTGTTGAAAGAAATCGGTCTGATGTGAGCTGAGAAAAAGTGGCGACAGACATAAAAAAAAAGTAACTTTTAATTTCAACCCTTCAATTACTATTTTTAACTAAACTAACTTCTAACTAAGTTAAAAATGTGAACAATTTGAGAAAATAACTTATATTATTTTTCAGACCTACAAGAAGTTTTCGGAGATGGAGGAAATTTAACTATTTTTTTTTTTTAAGTTGTACACTACAGTATATTATAACCCCTTCATTGGTCGTAGTATACCTTGTCATATGTATAAAATTGTGTAGAGTGATAACTCCAATGAATAAATTCTATCAGTAAACGAACACCAGTGAGTAGATAACTAATAGTTATCTAATTTGAATATAGTAAGTTTATATTGGTGGTTAAAATATCTAAACTTTATCCTATCTAAATATTAGAATTTTTAATCTATTGTCATTTGCTAAAAAATTCCAATTTTCAATATAAAATTATAGTTTAAAAAAGTTGTGTTATTTATTATAAACATTTTTACATTATACTATAGAGAATTTTTCTGAGAACAAATATTTATTAGCTTTATGAGAGTGACATGAAAATATAAATTAATAAAGAACTTGATTACAAATTTTTATAGTTATCTAAATATACTAAATACAAGTACAAATATTTAAATACAATTCATAACACTGTTACATGAATGTTTAAAAATACAGGGAGCAATGAACCTATCGCCATTTTCTGGTACGTTAGTGATAGGCGCCAACTGGAGATACAAAATATGAGTGTGTGAGAGGGTGAAGCATCCTTTAATAGTTTAATGTTAAATATAGAATTCCTTTCATCTTATATCTCCATTTCAACTTAACTACGTTATTATTTATAATACCGTATTACTTGCTTACCTACCAGTTTTACTTGAAATTTCGTTCACGACACACTAATCTATAACTATAGTAAAACACGCTTTCGTCTGTAAATTAAGTTAGTTACTGATTTAAAATTGATTTTATTTTTAATAAAATAATATTACTGTCTAAAATATTAATTTATAACACATGTTCATTCATAGAAAATAATACAAGGTTAATCATATAATTATACTAGACAGAATGATAAAATGATCATTTTTTCTGTGGAATATATACCTGAAATCAGTTGGAACATCATAGAGGTACCTTTATAACTAATAATGAATTGATTTTATATCCATGTACGTTGTTTAAATAGGGACTGTGCACAGTTTCTATACAAATACATTTTATAATTGAGCTTGACTTCTACGATTTAAATATATTACACAACAAGCAGGGAAGTAGGAACCATATTTCTTATGGTAGAAAACCAAGTTATTATTTATGTTAAGTATTGATGCATTATGTCATTGGTGCCATAGAGCAATAATATATTTAACACCCCTATTTAATATATTTTTAAACAAAATACAACTTGTGCGAAAAATATTATTCATATTTTAGAGCAATTGTCCCCATTGCCTTTCCCTTAGCATGACCTTGCTTCTACCTAATGTCTAATGGAATAGAGAGGTTGATAACTTAAAATGAAAATATAAACAATATTACTTTTAAGATAATTCATGAAATGAAAAATGAATTTGTTTAAAGTATAAGCCTATTTCATTTATTTATTTTATGAATAATTATGAACTCTTATCTAAAACCTTCTAAAATTTTTTAAATATGTTATACCAATAGATTGTAATCACAATAGATTTATTTCTTCGTGTATACGCCTACTTTTAGTACTCGGAGAGTATGATTATAGTTTTATTTTTGAGAAACGGCTCTAAGAAAATTCAAGGTGGGATTAGCTTATGCTTTTAGAAATAATTCTGAGTTTTTTATTTTACATGCGAAATTAAGACTATCTATAAATATGTTGCCTGAGTAAGGTAATGTTATATACCCTAGAATTTTTGTTACAGAATTAACTAGGGAAATTAGCACAAGTCGTATAAACTAGACCACCAAATTTATATATATGCATTTGAGTCATTTTACTATTAATATGTCATGTTTACTTCAAATTAATAATTTTATTTTTCAGACCAATCATGAAGGAGTTCATGAAATTAATAAAAATAAAAATCGAGGACCATTAACGTTTCCAAAAATCAAATCAAATTCTAAGGTGAATAAGAGTCTGAACATCAATATCATATTATAATTATTTATTTAAATATTATATTAAAAAATTAGGTTATTCAAGACAAAGATAATGCTTCAGTTGAATTATTGATTAAACTAATAATTAAATCAATTGATGAAATGGTAAGATTTTTCTAAAAATTAACATTTAGTATACTTATGTTATACTGACTAAACATATGTTAATAACTTTAAAATATTTACAGATAGATTATAACAAAATGTGTTACTCTATCATAGAAAAAAAAACACAGCAACTAGATCTTGAAATAAAAGTGTTAACAAATATTCTACAAAATTTATATGACATTAAAAATAATCAAATCTTTACGATGCATTAAAAAAAATTTCTGAGATAACATGGTTAATTTTTACATTAAAACAAAATATATTTATTATTTTAATTTATTATATTATATATTTTTTATTTCTATTATTTTGAGCTTAATTTATTTAACTTTTAGCTTCGATGCGAAGCTGAGAAGGTATTGATTTTACTATGTTTTTTTTTTGTGTCTGTTACCACTTTTTCTTAGCTCTCACCGAACGGATTTCTTTCAATGATACGTGAAAAGAACACAAATCGTGATTATTTAAGTTTCTTTCTGAAATGTTGATATAATTGGTTATTGCACTGAAACTTCCAATTAATAAAAACTACTCGTTATAAAGATATATTACATATTGAATATTTTTAAAAATGAAAATTGGAAAAAAACGCTGTCAGTATAATTGAATTGAATTTTAAAAGGATTGAATATAATTTTTAATAAAATATAATCAGTTGTGCAAGTATTTTATGTTTTTTTCAAGTCATAATAATTTAGAAAAAATTGTCATAATATAATAAAATGGACTAAAAAAATTTTGATGTGTAAAAAAATTGTTTAACTCATAATTGACTTAACATTGCGACACGTTTCAAGAATAACTCACTATGTTGAGGGAATTATAACCTAACCTATCTTAGTTGTATATTATCATTATGTCAATCAATTTAAATAAATTACGTTCAACAATATTTTTGAAAATTTATATACATAAACAATAAGGATATATGAATATAACGCTAAAAATTTATAAAACCTATAAATAATTTAATAACAATTCTTTTATTTTTTTATTATTTTGTTATTTATGCTAAAATATTACAATATCATAGAATAAGTTGTTCCGTTTACATTGTGTATGACTGTTTGACAAGGTTTAGAAATGCACCATTCATACCACACTTTGTGTTTGTCACTAAACCTCCAAAAGTTTACTTGCAGTTGTTCGTCTTTGCTTAGGATTACAGGATTGACTAGAGGGAAATATGCAGGAAACCAGCTGAACATACCATTACTGAATGTCTCTGGTACAATACTCAGCCGTACTTCTTTGTATAGTACTGTTTCAAAGTATCCGGCGAGTCCATGTAATATACAATCTTGATGTACATCGAACATAACAGATCCATCTCGATTGTTGTTACCATTTTTAGACTTTCTAGGGTGATTAAATGTAAATAATGGTTTAGCTGTAGCTATTGGGTATACATTGTTGAGTTGTACCACATATGGTCTTTGAAAGTTGCAACCAGATTCCTTATGTTTGATTGACATAATTTCAGTATGTAATTTACGTGACTGTACTGGACTAATATATGACGTGTAGCTACAAGGTATACTTATACCATCATCTTTTAGGTATCTTTGTGCACCATCTAAGCATTCAGGTGATAATTCATTATCACCAAATGAGCCCAAAAGCTCTGACACCATTATATCACATTTTTCTGGTGGATCCCAATATCTCATGTCAGCACATTCTACCGTCACGCGGTCTCGCCACCTATCTGTAGTTAGTTTTGTATACAATGTGGGCAAAGCATTTTCATTTTTCTCTAATGCAATAACCCGTACACTAATACCTTTGTTATCAGAGGCTTCTAATGTGGCATCTACTAGTGGACCACGACCAGCTCCTAACACATACACTACCACTTTTCTTATAGAGTTACTTTCTTTTCCTATCACCTGATTAGTGACCTTATCTGCTAAGGCCATACCAATAGCACGGCTGTATTCACGGTATTTAACAGGATCCTGTTCAAAAGTTTCGTATACTGTAGACTGCAAGTTGTTTTCCAGAGGTTGTAATGGAGTCTGGAGGAAATCTTCATAACCACTTATGTAATCTAATGATCCATAGGGTGTAATTGGAGCAGTGTTTTCATAAAGATGAGCTAAGTAGTTAAAGTGTTGTCTAACACTCGAAGGTCCAGAAACAACTATCTGAGTACCAATATTGAACATTTTTTTAACAAAATCTTGATGTTGTCTAGATAATACAGGAAATCCTTTTTTATTAGTCAGAAATGATTGGGCATTAACAATAAGGGCAGTTACAGGTTCTCCTAACCAACGAAAAAGGGTATTTGAGTCTGGTAGTTCTAGTCCAATTTCTAATGCTAATTTTATACGGTCAGTGTTCCTAGTAAGACTCATAAATTTTGTCCATTTATGCCATGTATCCTGTATAAGAGGGCTAACTACAGGAACTTTTATCCAAAACTGTAAAGACATAGCTGAATCTAAATATGCATCTATTTGATTATCTAGTAATCTAACAACATGTACCAAGTCAATATCTAGTGGTAATTCAAACATGATACTAAAAACATTAAGAAATGCTGCCCACGATATATCTTGAACAAAAGCTTTTTTAATTTCAGATGTTAGCTTGTTTTCATTACTTATATCTACTGGCTGTGAAACTTTTGCAACCACACAATGACACCATTTTTGGGAAAACTCCGAATTTAGAATAGTATCTGATGGTTTGTAATCACCCGTTTTCAAACTAAGACTTGAAATTGGCAAACAAGCAAATGTAAGCTCCCAATCATCAAGGCAATCCATGCAACACTTAATATTGGTATCAGTAAGGAAATCAAATCCAAAGCGTACATCTTTGATTGACATATTACAAATATTTTACAGAGGAAAATGATTACCAAATATAAACCTGAAATTTTTTATCAAAATTGAAATAATCATTAGTTAATTAAAACAAATCAATTATTATTTACAGATAAATAATTTTAAATTGAAAAACCTTCAACTTTTAGTTTTTATTCATAAAAGCTTTTTTTAACAAAGTAAAAAAAAATAAAACTAAATATTATAACTAAACTGTCAAATTTATTTTCAACCAATAGTGGATAATAGTATCTATGTAGTTTACATAGATTTATACTACTTAATAGTTAAATATATTTAATTCATAAGTAATATTTCTATAGTTCGTTCCAGCCAGTCCAAGACCAGCTTAAAATTTATCAATGGAATTGATTTTTGTTACATAACTAAGCTATTGAGTATTCCATAAAGTGGTTTGGCTAAGCATTTTCTTTTGCACTGCTACTGATTTCTATTGAGTTTCTACAGAAAAATTATTAGGTTTTTAATTGATTATTATATATTTTAAAATCAGATCTCATGAAAATCAAAAGAATAATTTCAACTATACTACTAAGATAAAATGTATTATTTATAAATGTATTTATGCTCATATGTTCTTCCTATATGGTTATTTTGTATAAAATAATTTTTTTTTTATATTTAGAATTAAAAAATTTATAGGAACATTTCTATTTTCTTTAAAATTACCATTAAAAATTTGGTATACAATTTTTAATTATTAACAATGAACTGTTGATTAATAAATACAAGAAGCTCTCCTTACCTGCGAGTACAATTATATAAAACAAAAACAACTATAAAATTTTATTTTAAAAATGTAGTTTAACGTCAAAACAGTATATAAATTTTAAACCGACAATATGTGTAGCTGTATCAAACAACTAGTAACAAAGATTTAAAAGATGTCTATAATTGACCTGATAAAAATCAAATACAATTTATTGATGAAATTAAACTTAAAAAGTTTAAATCTATAGTTTTTTTTTACGCCAGTACATGATAATGTTTTGAATTCAATACCTCGTTTTCTATGATAAAAATTATGATACAGAAAACAGGTTACCGAACCTAACCAACATTTCAAAGTTTAGTATTAAACACGGTTATACAAACCGTGGTATGAAGTATTCCCATAAGGAAAATGTTTGAAATTTAACCATTTTTACATTGATAAACATTGTGGGCATTAGGGTGTCCCTTATTTATAAAATTTAAAAATTACAAAGTGCCACCCCCTAGAATTATTCAAATACATGAAAAAATAAATTGTACAAAATTTGGTGACGATTGGTCAACTCTAAGACGTGCCCCAAGGGGGTTAAAAATAACCCCTAAGGGTGATTTTTTAGTTTTTTATGTCTATCTCAAAAACTTTAGCTTTTTCGAAAATGTTTATTTGGACTATTTTGTAGGTATACAATTTTTCTATAAAAAGTATATTTACAAAAATTTTCGAAAAGTTCTTATTTAGCCCTGAAAAAATAAAAACGTATATGTTCTATTTTTACCATTAAAATTGTGAATTTATAAATCGTTCACTGTAAAAACATAAAAAAAATTAATTTAACCATTGTTTTAAATTTAATTTTCTATACATTTTTAATTCGATATTTTTTCTATTATTAACTATTCAAAACCTACAATTTTTTTTAATTTTAATTAAAAAAAACACATCTGAGTAAAATTAATACCGTCTCAGTTTCACATTGAAGCTAAAATAATGTTAACTTACAAATTTATTTACGAACAGAGACTATATAAACTTGTAATAAAAATACATGATGTCGAATATTATTTAAATAATTAACTCTTTGATTGACAATTCAAATTGGCCACGAAACAAAACAAATTTTCAAACAACAAATAGCCTTGGCCATCCAACGAGCATGATGAATTGGGCCAGGAATTTTAAAATAAATTCTATGTAAAGGTGTTTCACCAAAAAATATTATGACCAATTCTAAAAGTTTCTTATAGTCATCTCGAGGTTGGTATTTTTGTAATTGTTCAAAACTAAATTTCAAAATATCGTCTTTTTTTGTTTTTAATTTTTCTAAAATAACAGTATCTTCTATTCCACTTAAGTAATTTGTTTTATTTATATTTTGCCAAGACTTTTGAAATTTATTGAAAATAGGAACATCTGGTTCAGATTACGTATTAAATTTTACTTCAAAAACACTTTTCAATATAATTTCATAAATTTGATGTCTGCATAGTAAGTACAAAATATCACGCCCTAACATTTGCATGGAATTTATTTTAATATTAATTTTAATATTAATCTTTAATTTTACTCTGATGTGTTTTTTTTAATTAAAATTAAAAAAAATTGTAGGTTTTGAATAGTTAATAATAGAAAAAATATCGAATTAAAAATGTATAGAAAATTAAATTTAAAACAATGGTTAAATTAATTTTTTTTATGTTTTTACAGTGAACGATTTATAAATTCACAATTTTAATGGTAAAAATAGAACATATACGTTTTTATTTTTTCAGGGCTAAATAAGAACTTTTCGAAAATTTTTGTAAATATACTTTTTATAGAAAAATTGTATACCTACAAAATAGTCCAAATAAACATTTTCGAAAAAGCTAAAGTTTTTGAGATAGACATAAAAAACTAAAAAATCACCCTTAGGGGTTATTTTTAACCCCCTTGGGGCACGTCTTAGAGTTGACCAATCGTCACCAAATTTTGTACAATTTATTTTTTCATGTATTTGAATAATTCTAGGGGGTGGCACTTACAAATATTAAAAAAAAAAAAACCTCTCATGTAGCTAAGGGTCACCCTAGTGGGCATTAATGAGAAAGAGTCCCAAAAAAAATTCATTAATATAAAAGAGAATATATATGATGATACTTGTACCAGGATAAAAAGTGTGGACGGAGTAACAGAAGATTTTAAGGTTATAGTAGGAGTGCACCAAGGCTCTGCTGTAAATCATTACTTATTTTCTTTAGTGATGAATGAAATTACTAAAGAAATACAAAGAAAGCAAGTACCATGGAGAGTGCATGTTGTTTGCTAACGTTAGTGTTAATAGGAGAAAATCAATCAAAGGCTTGAGGTGTGAATATCAGCTCTTGAAGGAAAAAGATTGAGAATAAGTAGGAATACAGAGTACATAATGTACAAGTTTGTCAAAAGGGAGCACGAGGTAGATGAAATGAGGACATTAGTGACAATAAATAAATAAATATTATTTTTCCTCGTCTTAATCCCAACTACTTGTGGTTGGCCAATCTTATCCTTAACTTCACATTTAAGAGAAGATTATTGTGAACTTTAGAACGCACAATTATATTTTTAGGTAAATTTTCTTCTTGTGGCATATCATTGAGTACCCCTGAACCCTCAATTAAAATTTTTCCAAATGATCTCATTTTTCAGATTATTATTTTTATATACTAAAGAAAAAAATGGAGAGGCGACTCAAAAGAAATTACGAAATTTGTAAAATAAGAACCACTTTATTGGTCATGTTATAAGGAGAGAGGAATCAGAAGCTGTAAGAATAGTTATGGAAATTAATGTTGAAAGAAAAAGAGGTAAACCAAAAAGGAGATAGAGGGGTGTTATTGAATGTGATATGAGGACTATTATTAGGAAGTTAAGGATAAGAGTGGCAACCACAAATAATTGGGATAAAGGCGAGGAAAAAGAAGAAGAGACATGTTTATTTACATAAAAAAAATTTAAGGAAAGTTTGGAAGAAATTTTGTTTTTTTAAACCTAAATGAAATTTGTAGTTTAACAATGTATTAATTATACACATTAATTTATTTAAAGACTTTGTTTTTTTTAAAAAATTTGATAGAAAAAATGAAAACTTATAATTCTTAGCTATCTAAATTACAATTATTCATTAAAATTATAAATGAAAATTAAATAATATAAAAAGAAAACATTGAGGTCACCCACCCTTTTTTCTTTTTTCACAACCAGCATAATTGTGGACTACTCTGGAAATTATTTGTATAAAGTTTGATATATAAGAAAAAAGTACAATACATATTATAATTTTGTGTATTATATTGACCAAACTCTGTTCAAGTAATAACTATAAATAAATCAAACACTGGTAACATTTTTTATAGTAAATTTATTATGGCCATAAATAAATCATTTTAACAAATAATATGATAATTATAAAATTTGATTACATAAAATTAAAAAACCTTTTAATAGTACCTTATTGCTAAAATAGTATTTATTAAACCAGACCAAGTACAAAGCAACATAAAAATAGTATTGAAAAATTCCTAGATCCTAAGGAAATAGCAATGTAAAATTCACACAATTGAATTATTGAACAGTTTTGAAATACTCTTGAGATTTAGCAGGATTGATTGTTTTGCTACCAGGTCTCCAATTAGCAGGACATACTAAAAATAAAAGTATTTAATGAATATATCAGATAAAAAAAAAATACAAATTATTTTGGTAAAATTATATACCTTCTCCATTTTTATCTGTAAATTGAAAAGCCTGAACCAGTCTGAGGGTTTCATCTACTGACCTACCAACTGGTAAGTCATTAACTGTGATTTGACGTAAATTTCCTTTGTCATCAATAATGAATAAACCACGATAGGGAATTCCTGTGATTTCATTATAAATTCCAAATTCTCTGGCAATAGCACCAGATTTATCAGCAAGAATTGGAATTTGCATTTTACCAAGACCACCTTCATTACGTGGAGTATTAACCCAAGCCAAATGACTGAATTGACTATCACATGAAGCTGCAATTACTTGACAATTTATTGCATTGAATTCATCAGCGCGATCGGAGAAAGCAATAATCTCAGTTGGACACACAAATGTACTAAATTTAAGATAGTTTCATTAAAAAAAAAAAAATTTACTTATAGTAAGTAAAACATACTAAGGTCCTAAAAATAATACATTATTTAAAAGTTCAACAATATTCCTTTTAATATTGATAGTATTTTACTTTCTGGGATATTATAATGTAATATAGAAAAAAAATTGAACTATTATAGTTAAAATTATTAATATTATATAATTGTTTAAAATTATGATTGAATATTAAATTTAATATTTATATATCTTGATCAATATTTTTATACTTTATGTATTTTATAATGTTAGCCTAGAGAGAACATAAATAAAAAAAAATTAACAGATAGAGAAGGCTTCTATTTAATAGTGGAAACTGATGCACATATGATTGTGGCATAGATTTGACTTGGTTAAATAAAACTAGTTGTAATAATAAGTTAACTTCACTTAAAATACAGAAGATTGATCATACTGTACCGAACATTAGATAATATATAATGTAAATTATCATATCATAACATATCATGATTATTTTATGGGAACTTAATGATGACAACTAGTTTTTTTTAAATAAATTTAAATCTACCCACATTTAAATGTGCTCTGGATTGTAAATTAACTTATGAAAGTAACTTTGATTATTATGTTAAAGAATTTTACTAATTTTGAACATGTGAAAAACTGACGGTACTGAACATAAAATCTTAGTAGTTATAAACAATTTTTTATATGAAATTCTTATACTTTATGAATTTAAAAATACTAACAAATCTAATGGATAGAAAAACAAAACAACATATTTTCCTTTGTAAGACTCCAAAGATATATCTTTGAATTGTCCATTGACAACAGCAGTTCCACTAAATTTGGGAGCAGGCTTTTCAAGAGCTAAAACCATTTTTACTAAAAAAAAAAAAATAATAAGAAAAAGATCAACACAAATTTTGAACAAGATTTAAGCAAGATTACTTAAGATTATAATAAAATTTATTTTCAACTTCAACTTCAACATGGTTAAAATTTTATCTAGTTCTTAAATATAATTATTAAGGCTTGGACAATTTTGTTTTTTATTATATGAAAGTTATTTGTTTAAAATTTGGTTTTGATAACTTACCCCCTACAGGTCCGGATCGGGGTTGAAAATTTGCTCAAAAAGGTAATTTTTCAGTTTTTGATTATTATTTTTAAAACTAACACACTGAGCGTATAGATAATGTACAGAATATAAATATATAATCATTTTAATCAAAATAATAATTTTACAACAAAATGTTTCGTAAAAAAAAAAAAATGTAAAGTTAAATTTTCTAAAATATTGGTCTTATGTAATATTATAGTCAGATATATAGTTTTGCTGTTTTAATAACACTAACAATATAAATAGAATAGTTTAAAACTGTTTATTCAGGGTATTACGATTATAAACAGGATACAATTAATAATAAAAAAAATTTGTGATGGACATTTTCAAATATCGATTAACTATTCGAATTGTGTTTATACCACCGAATATTTTATTTTAAGCATTCGATTGCATGTTTAACAAAGTAAAAAATATTAAATATACTCCTAAAATGATTTTTGAATACGTCTAAGGCGAATACCTCATTAACAAACGTCAACATTATACCAAATACATTTTATATTTCCAATTTTTATATATTTTTGTTACACTGATTCTGATGTAATATTTTTCTGCAAAACACTTATGGTGCACGGCGTAGCCGAGTACTCTTACCAGAATCAGTGGCTTACTTATGATGATGGCACGAGGAGGCTTACGCGTCAAAGGCACATAAAACTTGTAGGGCCCCGGGTCTAGGGCAGTTAGGTGAAGCCTAGTAATCAAATATTACTAGTTTATTTTTTTAAGTTTGTATTTTTTTTGTTTCAATTATTTTACCGTATTAAAACAAAGAATTATGAATTCAAACAATGTTTATTGGTATTATGACAAGTTTGTTTTATCTTTGTTTATATTTGTAATACAAATTATAATATAATACATTCAACATTTTAATTATTATTAATTTTTAAATACAATAATTGTATGTAAAAATAGTAGTATTCTAATTTTTAGAATACTACAACAATAAAGGCAATTTGCTCTTAACTTATTATTATTAGTCTATAATAATTTTTTAATTTATGAATAATACCAAACTAAATTAATATAAAATTTAATAGTTTGATGGAAATTAAATGATTTCTTTAAGAATCTGCCAAATTGTACTTATGGAAATTAGGTATATTTAATATTTTTTACTTTGTTAAACATGCAATCAAATTTTTTTGCTAAAAATTAATGTGATGATCAAAATTAAGGTTATTTGGTTTAATTATAACTATAATTGAGATATATCAAATGATAAAAGCATACTTATTATTATTATTAGTATGCAAAGTTTGCATACTATAAATTTTATGAACTACTTTAACATTCAGTTTTGTTAACTGTGTACTTTACACATAACTTGTAATAGGGGAATATTATATATTAGAAAAAAGTGATACAGGCTCAACCTTGAAAATTATACAATCAGCTATTGTTTCTATTTGTAACTTTGAAAATTATATATTAAAGGTTATATTAAACCAACACAACTATATGATAAAGAAAAAGGTTCTCATCTTATAAAAAAGTCTCTTAGTTGAATCCTTCATAGTTTAATTAGAGAAACTACAATTGTACTTTAATTTCTATTTTTTTGATAACATTACTAAGTTTTTTATTATTAAATCTAACATTATAAAAATAGTATTCACGAGAATTATATTTAAAGAATAAAAAATTCAACTATAAAGTAAATGTCACATAATATTTATTACGATATAAAAAAATATGAATTTAAAACAAAAAAATATTTAACTCAAAAAGCTACAAAAAATATTACATATTCTGATATATATCAGGAACAATCAGCAGTTATCAGCATTGAACATATACAAACATTTAGTAATATTAGTAATATTAGCTACATGTAATTAATTCATATTACATAAAAAATTGTTTGATAAACAGTTTTTTATTATATTATTATGTATTCATTAAATTATCATAATTATAGTATACAGAATGACCTACCAGGTTTTGTCAACTTAAATAATTTTTAATATAGTGAGTATTTTGCATTACTTTGGAGAATAATTTTTACAGTTTAGAATTAGGTTAAAAACGTGCTTTTTATTTGTCTCTAAAAAAAACTTTCTTTTGTTTGTTTTTTAATTAGGACAAAAATTTGATAACAAGTACTTTTGTAAAAATACTTGTACAATATAAATAGCTTAAATAGCCCACAAAGTGGATTATTTAAACTAGTTCAACTTTTTTAAATCAATTTTCCTTTTTGAATGGAAGGACATTGGCAAAAACATCAAAATAAGTGACTAAATAACTTTTATGAAAATCAGTGATGCTATAACTAAAACCTCTTTTTGTCAGTAAAATCAATTACTAATTTTTTTTTTTTGTTTAATTGAGTTCATAGATTTGTATAATCAACTGAATAAATAAATAAGTTAATGCAATAAAAATGATTCCTAACAGCATTACAGCTAACGTGATTTTTTTTTTTTAAAAAAAATTTTTAAATAAAAAGCATTGGTTTATTTGAATTATATATCAATTAATAATTAATGAAGTAAAGTATAACGATTGCTTTTATTATTATCAATGAATTCTATATATACAATAATGAATTAATGCATTATGTATTCAAGATAACATTAAATATATTAGTCGAAAATGTTGACATATTATTAAGTTACTTTTTGAATTAATAATGGAATAAAGGTTAGATATTTAAATACAGGGAATGATTAGTAATTTAAATTTAAATATATGTCCATAAAACCTTAACGATTTTGTTAGATTATTATTACTACTACTCATTGGATGACTAAAAATAGTTGAAAGGGAAATTACTATCAAGAATAATTTTGGACATCGAATAATATATTATTAAAATTTTATAGTATTAGGTATTAAAATAAAAATTTACATTAGCTTTGTTATATACTATAATAGCTACTTTTCAAATTACGTTATGTTGCGCAATTACTATAAAGGATGCAGTAGCACAATTAAGCGATATATCAATACATTTCACATATTAATAGTTAATTATGGACAAAGGTACATTTTTTAAAGGTATTATTCCAAGCATGCTTCAACATTATTCAATAAAATAATTAAAATACTGTAGAATATAAGAATGAATACAAATTTAAAAACAATTATTACCTGTAGATTATATTCTTTAATTCTTAAAAAAAATTTGACGTTGGTCGGAGCTACACTCGAACCGGCAAGATAGGAGAATGTGAAATGACTGCTTTTGTGTAATTTCAAGTCGTAATGGGAGAACCGGCTCGATAACTCCTTGATCGACCTTGAATTTCTTGAATAGATACTACAATTAAGTACACTTACCCACCTACTCCTACTGATCTGTATATTCAATTGCCGAAATGTGAAATGGTTATGTAACTGTGGTTAAAATATGGATAAATAAGAATTATTAATAGGTTAACACTATAGAAGTAATCGTAAACATTTTTTAAAGGTTAAGCTATATTAGTACTAATAATTCCATTACATCCAATGACCAAGAGGTCACAATTTTATCTCATCTTACAACCGTTTCAATATTATTAACTTATCTACAGTCAATATTTTCATAATTACGAATTTGTAAGTATCAAGATAAAAGTTTTCCAGTAGTCGTAAAATGCCAACATTTTATTCATTACTACTATGTGTATGGGTTAAATTAAAGAAACTTAATAAAAAAAAAATTGCATTTTATTAAATTTTTACTTTCGTAAGTCTTAAAATGACGTTAAAGCGTTAAAAAATTGTTTAGTTTTATTACATTAATTGATCAGTAATTTTTTTTTAATAAGGAAAACAATATGGATCAAATTTCGGACAAAGAAAGCGACGAAATCCTTAATAAGAATATAAATATACAAAGTGATACTAAACTTATCTATGACTTATGAAGAATTTTTTATTAAAAAATTAATTATTTTAGGTGTTACAAATCGTTTATTGCATATGTTAACCGTGGATAGAGAAGAAAGAGTACTTGCTGCTACTAAATTTTCTCTTCAACAATTATCAGAAACTCATTCCAAACATGTTATTCAATATATGATACATTATAAATTACAAAACTCTGTAAGTAATTAAATTAGAGATGCCATTTAGGGTTAGACAATTGCAACTGATACACTTGCCTTTGTTTAGCATTTAGTTAATTCTTGAAGTTACATATTTCATGATATAACATTTATCAATATCAGTCAGATTCTTTAATTATGTTCCCATACATCTTTCTTTTATTTAAGCGTGGAGGATATGAGAGATTGTGTCAAGTGGAAGTTTAGGATAAGGGTGGCTGATCCCAAGTAGTTGGAATTAAAGCGAGGAAGAAAAAAAAAAGACATCTTTCATTTAATTACCAAGACAGTTTGACTTCCCAAAAAATATATGATGTATTTTAAAAATGTTCTTGATAAAAAAAAAAAAATATGAAAGCAATTTTCTCATCATAATCAAGTTGGAAACTAAATTTTGTCAATTTTTAGCTAATTTGTATAAGTTTCCAAGTTTGGAAATGGTCTCCTAAATTTAAATTTGAAAGTATAAATTTGCATCTAAAAATATTTGTTTTAAAATTTTAGTTAAGTGTAGTTGAAACTAAAACTTTATTATCAGCTATGAAGGTTATTTGTGAAAATCACTTAAATGAATTTGATACAGAATTGATCGATAAAATTGTTCAATTTGCTAAAAATGAAATGATCAAGTCTTCGGATTCCCAGTTTCCAGCTTCTGATATCCTTATTACTTTAGACAGAGAAAAATCTGAGCAGGTATACAAAATTAAAATATTTTAATTTTATATTTAATTGTTTGTATAGGTTTAGTTATTATTTTCTTAAAACAATTTTAATACTATTAAAAAATTATAATTTTTTAGCGTAATTAACTTGTTTTCAGCTGCATCTGTTTTATCTAATAATACAGAGTATATCTATTCCATTATTTATTATTACTTTTTTTTTTTATATTAACATAAAATTTAAAAACTATGAAATAGAAATTATAACTATTTGAAAAATTCAAATTAACTACTTTTTTTGCAATAAGAATTAGTCCATTTCTATTGTAATCTATTATCTTGTGAAACCCAAGTTTCAAAATTTAACTAGAAAGAGTAAATAAACTAATAAGCCAGTTTTATTAGACATTAATTTAATAAACAAAAAACCTCATAAGAAAATACATTAAAATGTTTATAATTCAATAAGTTCTTATCCTTAAGTCCTTAAATTTTTTTTTAGAAAAGGATAAAGATATGACTTAAGAAATTTCAAAATAAAAATGTTATCTTATTAGTGAAAAATAATAAAAAATATTCTTTTAATTTAGTCCAACACTAAAAGTTATTTAAAAAAAAATAAGGCAAAATATTTGTTGGATCAAAAATTATTAAAGCTTTCAGAAACATAGGGAGGCACCTTGTATATTAAAAATTACTTAATTTGAAAGAATTTTTAGGTATAGCACTAATTATAACTATTATTTTTAGATAATAGAAAATCTTATGGACTGTTTACAAGATGGAATACCTCCTCATTGTTCAATAATTTATTCTCTTGGACATCTTGCTTCAAATAATCCTCTAAAATTTATTAATTTTGTTGAAAAATTTTTATCCATTATTTGCTCAATTATTAATCTTATCAAATCAGATGCTCATCGCAAAATTTATTCTACAGGTTAGTACTATTTACATAAAATATATTGTAATTTTTAACTAATATTAGGAATAAAACATTAATTTTATGATTTTTTTGTTAATAAATAATTAAATTTATAGCCATTGGACAAGTTTGTGCTTCTGTAATTGAATGTGAATCTACAGATTTCGATAAAGTTAGACAGAAATATTCTGCCCAAGTAGAAAATATTTTCAAAGTTATAAATCATTTATGGTTAATTTCAAGAGATGTAAAAGTTAGTATAAAAATAATCTATTATAATAAAATTGATTTTAGAATTTTTTGATTAATATTTAAGCTTAAATACTTACTAGAAAATTTTTTTCAATTTATAATCAGATGGTTTATTGTAAAATTTTTATTTATAATACTTTAGACATTAACCTTGTTAATGATATACTTTTTTTGAAAATCCAACCAATAACCAAAGGACTCAGGAGACTTAAAAATCATATCAAAATATTTTTCTTTTCAATTTTTAATTGATCTTAAATCTACTAAATAAAATTATAGCATATTTAATGTACTATATGATTAAAAAAAGAAAGACATTCCGATGACTTGATTTTTATGAGAAATCAATCTTTAGTCAAAAATGATGTTATTTTTGGTGGATATTTAATAATTCTTTTTTAATACACATCAAAGTGTGTTTATGTTTGATACGTGGTAAGCTAATGGCTGAATTATCTTCAAAAATCATGTTATTTTTTATAAATATGAAAAATTTATGTTTAAAATACACAATCTAAAAAATACTTCAACTACACTACTCTGGATTCAAACTGTACTTAACTTTATTTTTAATAACATAAAACTAAACTATAATTTTTTCTAAAGTTAAATAGCTTTTAAAGTTTAATATAGTTTTTTTCGAATATTTTTGATAAGTCAGAAACAATTTTAGTTTGAATACTTTTGAGTTTTAATTGAGGTAAAAGTAATTTAATATATTGAGTGTAGGAGAAATATGTATTATAAATATACACAAGTACCCATCTGCTCTATGTATTAACTGTGCTTTATTATTATAATTGTAAATCAATAAGTATTCATCCTAAAAATATTATTTGAAATTTTAAAAATGATTATTTATTTTTATCATTAAAATACAAATAATAAAAAATATTATATTAACATAATCTAAGAATATATAAATTATATGGTTAAAAAGTTAATAAAAGATTTTTTTTCTTTTTTTGTAAGCTCATAATATTAGTCTTATAATATAAATGGAAATTTTACATTCTTTAATATATATATATATATATAATTTTTATTTTTAACTAATATTACCATTATGTAATACTATTAAAAAGAAACTATTATACATAAATATAGTTATAAATTAATCATATACATCATGAAACTTTAATTAAGAAATTTTGTCAAGGAAGAGAGCAGTTTTTTTTTAATTTTATGTAAATTTTTACAGGTTTATGAATGTGTTCTGGAATCATTGAGTTCTATAATAATGTTGCTGAGTAAAGAAATGATTAATAATAATGTTATACAAATTCTTACAAGTATTATGAATTTATATAAAAAATGTTCAGCTGTTGGTTTATCCCGATATTGGATTACTCAATATTTAGCCAGTTTCTTATCAGTAGCATCAGAAAATTTATTAGATCCAGTTGTTGATAATTTATTCTTAATATTAAATGAAATGGTAAATTATTTATAATCATTATGTCATTTTATACATTTTTATCAATTAACATTCCTTTTTAATTTCAAAATTATATTTACAGGTTGTTGTAATACCAGATTATGATTATCCAATGTCAATGAAAAATCATTCTGAAGTTCTAAGATGTTATACTTATTTAGGTGTGTAAAATTATTTGTTAAAATTATCACATATCATTAGTATTTTAATATAAAAAAAAACATAATTTTTAACATTTTTAATATATTAAATGAATAAAAGTAAATGTCACTAAAATATACTTCAAATTCTCAAAAACGAAATCTTTGATCTTTGTTGTTATATAAAGGGAGATTTATTAAGGATAAGACTCAATTTGTTGTAACAATTTAAAATTTTCATAAAGGAAACATATTTTGGATTCAAATAACTCCTCAACAATATATATATATATATATTTAAATACATTTTTTTCATGATGTGACTGAAAAAAATTAAAAAAATTTTTGTTTTATAATTTTGTATGCAATATTTAACTACATAGTGTTTTTTTAAATTAGATAGTATAGTCTTTACAAAAATTGAAAAACTTTCCAAGAAAATAAGTATTTTATCCTTAATGAATCACTTTGAGTAATATTTAATTGTGTATGTATTTACACATTTTAAATTAATAATTTAATAATATTAAATAATATTTTTTAGGTCAACATTATGGTGGTAAAATTATTGAAATAATAATGAGAGATTTACAATCTAATACGGATCAAGCAAAAATGGGTGCTCTATTAATTGCATCCCATTTATTAAATGCTTCCAACCAAAGTATAAAATCAAAATCTTCTGAAATCATTCCAATTTTATATGAAATGTTAAAATCTAATAGCACATTTCAAGTAAACGAATAAATCTGTTAATAATAATATTAAAAATAATTATATTAAGAAGCATTTAAACTAATTTCTAGATGAAAAATTTACTCGTTAAAATATTTATCTGTTTTGCATATCAAGGGCATTTGTCTGAAAAGGATGATTTTTTCATTGAATTTTTAATTAGAAACATATGTAATTATAGTTCTTCAAACGTGAGTTTTCTTTTTGTATTATTTAATTTTCATTTATAATTTTAATGAATAATTGTAATTTAGATAGCTAAGAATTATAAGTTTTCATTTTTTCTATCAAATTTTTTAAAAAAAACAAAGTCTTTAAATAAATTAATGTGTATAATTAATACATTGTTAAACTACAAATTTCATTTAGGTTTAAAAAAACAAAATTTCTTCCAAACTTTCCTTAAATTTTTTTTATGTAAATAAACATGTCTCTTCTTCTTTTTCCTCGCCTTTATCCCAATTATTTGTGGTTGCCACTCTTATCCTTAACTTCCTAATAATAGTCCTCATATCACATTCAATAACACCCCTCTATCTCCTTTTTGGTTTACCTCTTTTTCTTTCAACATTAATTTCCATAACTATTCTTACAGCTTCTGATTCCTCTCTCCTTATAACATGACCAATAAAGTGGTTCTTATTTTACAAATTTCGTAATTTCTTTTGAGTCGCCTCTCCATTTTTTTCTTTAGTATATAAAAATAATAATCTGAAAAATGAGATCATTTGGAAAAATTTTAATTGAGGGTTCAGGGGTACTCAATGATATGCCACAAGAAGAAAATTTACCTAAAAATATAATTGTGCGTTCTAAAGTTCACAATAATCTTCTCTTAAATGTGAAGTTAAGGATAAGATTGGCCAACCACAAGTAGTTGGGATTAAGACGAGGAAAAATAATATTTATTTATTTATTGTCACTAATGTCCTCATTTCATCTACCTCGTGCTCCCTTTTGACAAACTTGTACATTATGTACTCTGTATTCCTACTTATTCTCAATCTTTTTCCTTCAAGAGCTGATATTCACACCTCAAGCCTTTGATTGATTTTCTCCTATTAACACTAACGTTAGCAAACAACATGCACTCTCCATGGTACTTGCTTTCTTTGTATTTCTTTAGTAATTTCATTCATCACTAAAGAAAATAAGTAATGATTTACAGCAGAGCCTTGGTGCACTCCTACTATAACCTTAAAATCTTCTGTTACTCCGTCCACACTTTTTATCCTGGTACAAGTATCATCATATATATCCTTTGTTATATTAATGTACCATACATTGCTTTTTCTTCTTGTCCCTATACTTTTTTATTAGTTGTCTCCCACAAAAACTTTTCAATCGTGGATCATCCAGACAGAAAACCAAACTAGTTCTTTATTACTATTGTTTCTTATAGATTCATATGTTTTAAATAGTTACATGTAATTTTTATAATTTTTTTTGGTAGCTAGGTTGTGACTGAATTAGAGAGGTAAGTCTTCTCTGAACCCCTAAATTGCGCCATTGATCCTGTGTCTTCAATATAATATGTTTTTAATACAAAAATTTAATTATTATCATTAAGAACTATATTTATATAAAAAAAAAATATTAAAATTAAACATTGTTAATATCATACAGGTATACATATAATAAGGGTCGTCAGATATCATTTAAATATATTGTTAATAGTCAACATAGAAATACATTTTTATTTATAGCATCCAGAAACGAAGAAAACAAATTTTAGAAACTGAAATTTAATGGAACTGTTAATTCTGTTTATGTTCCTTTTAAAAGTGAATTAGTTTTTTATTCTTAGTTTCTTAATTTTAAATAGAAACAGATCCTTGCTTTATTCATACAAAAAGAACTTGTTTATTATTTTTGAAACGAGTTTCTTCCCAACACTGGATATGATAAATTGAAAGTTTACTCATAGGAAAATAGAATGACTGTATACATGTTCTCAAAATACTTACAGGGAAGTATCTGTTAATGGAGACAATATATTTTTATTTACATAAAATCATAAGAATTGTAACTTATTATTTTAAATTGTTAAAACTGATAGGTAAAAATACTAATGAGTTTTTTTGAAATTAATTAAATTATTTAGCTTGAATTTGTTTTATTAATTAATTTTTGTTACCTTTTTTTTGTCTTAATTTTTTTTTATTTTTAGAACAAATATTCTCAAGAAACTGAAGGGCAACAAATAAAACAGACATGTGAAGATGCATTATACATTTTATGTACATCAGTTGATCTTGTTCAAATACTATGTTGGAATAAACTTTTAACTTGTTTTTTAAGCCCAGAATATGATTGTGCTGTATCTTCAATCACTAAATCTTTAGCACATATGGCAACTAAACCACATTTAAGTAAGATTTTTGTAGAATTCTATTCAGAATGAAAACAATAAATTCAGAGTTTAAATATATAAGTTAATGTAATTATGTATATTAAACTTATAATATATAGATATAAGTTACAGATTTTTATTATATTATAGTTTCGTTGTAATGTAATAAAACTTTGAAAAAATAATACATAAAATTTTAAAATATTCAAATATTTAATAAAAACTTTTTATGAATAGAGATAATCTTATTATAACAATCTTACTACATGAAATTATTTTTTTGTTAATTATGAAAATATATTAATTTATCCGCGGCTTTTCAGTAATTTTTTGTGGCTTTTGAGTATAATATTTTTAATATAGTTTTAATTTAATTTTATTTATTAGCCACAAGTGATCAATTTTTATTATATATTAATTTAATTATGATAAAAGATAATGTAATTAGACATAGCTTACATATTGAAATTGTGAGATATTATAACAATTTATGTGTTAAAATTACATTTTATGAAATTTCATAGTTTAATTCTGAATAACATACACTTTTAACTACATCTACTATGAAATTCTCACAGAAAAATTCTATTGAATAGTCTAGTATATCTCAAATAAATTTAAATCCATAAATAAGTATAAATATTTTAGCTTTATTCTTTGTCTATTTTAAATAGATTAATAAATAAATTATTACAGGAGCAATAAGATTTGCTAGAGAAAATGATGTAATTGTACTACGATGTCTTCATCTATTGTGTCAACCATTCAAAGAAAACAGGGGCAATAACATAATACATTTTTTAATGAATTATGGATTTTATGATTTATCTGATGGCGATAAAGAATTTTGGATAAAACATGCTGACATAATATTACATTTTCTTGATAGTAAAATTATTTATTTTATAATATATGATAAATACTATATGTATTTATAAAAAAAATGTATTTAACAAATTTATTTAAGTATCATTGATATTTTCTATAATATTAATTTTTATTTTAGCTACTACTGAAAATAATGATAAAGAATGGGAAATAATATCATTAAGTACACTTAGTATAATTTTAGAAGAAGAAAAAATTGATAAACATTGGTGTCTCCAATTGACAGAAAAAATTTTAGAAGATTTATTAAAAATGTGTGAAAACACTAAAATGCTATCATCATATGAGTTTTTTATTATTAAAATCATTTCTAAAGTGTCTGCATATTATGATAGTAGAGAATTAACTCTAACAAAAAAATTATTAAATCTAATATTCCATTCGCTTTCAAAAATGGCATTTGAAAATACATTTGTATGTTATTTTTTTTTTGAATAATATTATAACTTAAGTTATATTTAGTATACTTAAATTGTCATTATTACTTTTTAGGAACTTTCAGATGCCATTGGTATTATAAGTAGAGTACATACTGAAATTGTAGTAAAGCATTTATTAGATTTCATGGGAATTGAATTAAACAAACAACCAAATAAGTTTTTGGTTCTTATTAGAGATAAAGGAAATGAATTAAATCGTGACAAAATTCGTTTGTCTATTGCCACAATAATACCTAATATAATAGTTAATGGTGAACTTCAAAGTGTCATCAGTACAATGTATGATATTGCTATATTAATCACTCAACAAATAGGTTTATCAAAGGTTTTTAAGAGTTCATTAACTTCTATATAATGTTAAATTATTATAGTGATTTTTTTCTTCAGAATTTAGAAACAAAAAAATCATTAGTTCAATGCCTTGGATATTTTACTGAAATTATGGGTAAAGTGGAAAATAGTGATACAATACCAAATTTAAATATTATACGTGATATTGTTATAAAAATATTGGTTGAACAAATTTCAAACTTCAGTACATTAGTTGATTATATTTATTATGAAGTACTATGCTCTTTTATGTAAGTTATTATTTAAAAATATAATACTTCATAAATTTATGATATTAAACTATTTTACATAGAAAACCTGTCGCAGATATTGAACCAATTGATTTAGGCACAAGATCATTGATTTTAACAAACTGTGTTACAAAAATATTTCAGTTATCATCTTTGGAAATAGATACTAGAGATGAAAAACAAATTTTATTGACCTTAAATCATTTATGTAAATAATTAAAAGTATTTTTGACAGGCACATATCCAGGAATCTTAGAGTTTGTACTATTTCTGAAATCTTAGTAATAAGATCATTTATAACGAAATTTTGACAAAGCCAATAATAGAAAACTACTTGACAAAGATTATCAGTTTTTTACCATCACTTTCATATATGGGAATTATAATACTTTGCTTATTTTATTTGATAGTCAGTTGGTAGGATGGTCTGGGAGTCACTATTGATTTTTATATTTTTTTTTAAGAGATTTTGTTTGATATTTGTCTAACATAATATTTTTTATTATGATATACTTCATAATAATTTATAATTATTTTAAAACATATGGTGGCATGACTTACTTTTGTTTAAATATCCACATACCGTATCAAATCTAAAAATTATAATAAATATTTTAACAGACAATATTCTTTTTGTTTCTTTTCCGCTCTAAATCAGGTTTGTGTGCCTCATTAACTATAAAAAAAAAAAGTTATTTATAACACTTTTATATGACTTCAGGTAATGTCATTGATAAATTAATCATAATCAGAAGTGGTTCATATGAAGTTATAGATGAACTTGTTAAATATTTAGATCCTTATATCATTTCAAAAAATATTTATCAAAGATTTATTGCTAGTCAAATACTTCAAAACATTTTAAATTGCTATTACAATCATAGTAATTATCAAATGACAAAGGTTTAATTTATTTAATTTTTTTACTGATAGCTATTTGTGAATAATGTTAATGTAATAAATTATAGCTGCCTCAATGTTTGAATTCACCGGCTCCTTTATTCGCTCAATTATGTATAAGGTTGGGTGATCCAGATGAAAAAATAAGAATAAATATTTCAAAATGTTTAGAAGTTTCGTTAAAAATTACAGCTGTCTACAAAGGCACTTTTACTGAAATATATATTAAAGACTCTAAATTCATTGATAAAATTATGAGTGAAAACAATCCCAATTCATATGATATGCTATTTGAGGTATTGTTTATAGATTTTTTTATTTGAAAATTGATTAAGTACTTTTATCTAGTATTTTTTTAGACCATTAAAAAAATATTGAATCCAGCAGACTTATCATTATTTGCGAAGTGTTTGATTGATGGTTTAAGTGATTATGAAGAAGAATGTCAGTTAAAGACAAGCGAGATACTAATTATATTATTTCCATTAATTGCACAACTTATACCTCAAAAATCGTTTAATGAAATCTTGGGTGAGGCTAAAACAATTTAATTGTACTTGATAGTATTTATTATTATTACACCTTCCCTTGCCCCTTACTGGTTCCCTCAACTTTAATAAGGTTTCATCAAGTTGACAGCTGGTGTAAAAATCTTGTCAAATCATTGTAAGGTAGAGTCAACATCAAACAACTCGAATAGAGGCTAAGGGGATGATGATAATTATTATTAGGGTTTGTTAATGATATATTTTTGATATCGATATCGTACATAATCTCAACAATATTATATTGAAAAAAAAGTATTATATTTAAAAATTAAATTTAATATTTAAATGTTTTAACCATTTTTTTTATTGAAAATAATATTGTTGTTATAAAAATCAGACTATGACATATCAATCAAATCAGATAATGATACTAATATCAGAAAAGTATAGTTAAGAAGAAATAAGTTTTTTTTTGTTACTAGACTTTATCATTATAAATTGGCTATATTAAATGGATGAATTAGTGTTTTTTTGAATAATACTATTACAGTTTAAGTGTTTTGGTTTTAAATAAGAGAAAAAATGTATTAGTGCCATTTATATTTTTTTATTGCTTTAAATCATAACTTAAAACAATTTTTCTTCTATTCAAAACTAAAATTTAAACTTTTATAAAATCAAACATCATTGTCATCTAATAAGGATTTTTTTTAGGATGGCTTAATAACTTTATTTTACTTTCCAGTTCAAGTTTCAACCAGTTTTTGATGTATATTATCTAAATATGAAATTTCTTTATTTAATTCTCTTTATACCTTACTTTGTTCTTGTTTTGTTAAAGTAAAAATAACAACACATAATAAAAAACCTAATCTAAGAATATAATTTTGTATCAATAAATATCATTATTGTCTTATCTCAATTCTATATTTCATAATATAATTTAATACAAAAAATATTTACAAGATTATCACAAACTATTTTTGGTCTAATATAAAATAATATATATTTTATAACATAATAACCAAAATTCAAACAGTTTTTTGTATAATTTTTTTTTCCATTATCGCAATATTTCAAAAATAATCATTATTGTAGAGAAAAGGAAAAAAGTCAGTGAGATTTTGATATTAAATTGAAATATTGATATCTTTGAAGAACCCTATATAAAAAATGACTAAAATTAAAACAAAGAATTACTGACATAAAAAAAATGTTTATAGTGCTATAATAAGTCAATAGTCTATAATGTTGTATATAACTATGAAGATGGGTGTTACAGAAACAAATTTTTAAAATTCTTCCAATCCCAAGTTCTGATTATTAATATTTCATTAAAAAATGGGAATTAAAAAAAAATAAATCTTTTTGCAAAAGATTTTACTAAAATTTACAAAAAACTTGTTTTACTCACTTATCTCTTAAATTGCACGAACATAAAATTTTTATATTTTAAATTAAAAATATTTAATTTATTTTTAGAATATTTATTTAAAAAAATTGACAATGACAATGAAACTATCAAGTCATGTAATATTCAAGCACTGAATACTTTTGGTAAATACAACAAATCAGAATTTTTGGAATTGCTTATCAACCAAAGCCTTCCGTATAATACGTGAGTGTACATTATTTGTAATTGATAATACTTAAATATTCTCTTAAAAATATTTTTAAAAAAATTTAGAAAAAATTTATTTGTTATTGCCATATTGTGTACTTAGTTCAAAACTATTGTATTTCATGAAGCATTTTTACTAGAATTGTTTAAACATTGGTAAACTTTACTGTTTGTTTATAATGATTCTGAAAAAAAAAATGTTTTTTTTAACAGTTAATAGATCTAAGTGTATATTAAATTATTTATAAAAAAAAAACTAGTTACAATAATTTCATTTTTATACTGATATTAATTTTTTAACAAACCCAACCATAATTGAACCTATTATTATAACCAATAGGTACAGTACTGTACTATATTTGTGTATTGGTCATTATAATTAATATCCAAATACATTTATTGGTAATGGAAATAAACTTGACCAACCTATCTTTCTGGTGATATATTTTTAATTAAACTGAGTTAAACAGGAACTAAGTTATACTAATTTATATTTTTATGAAGACTTGAATCAGGCCTATTTTTAAGGTGGAGTTAAATTTTCTGTTTTTATTTATAAAATTATTTCAATGTTATCCGCTCTACCGAAGACACAGTAATTTACTTCTTAATTATTGATTGGAGCTTGGAGTCTCGTCAATTCTAAATACCACAGTTCTTGTCCAATTTACTTTGGTCCTCAACATAAAAATTTTTATGGATATAACTCGCCTTTATTTTGAAGAATACAACTTTGTAATTAATTTTGATTACACTCATCCTAATAATCCTAATAATCCACCATATCTTAAAAAACTGATTTTATCATAAGTTGATTTATTATTATCCTACTATATTTTTGTTTGTTTTTCTTTTTGTACATTAAATTATTATTTTCTTTAAATATGTAATATTAAATAAACTGTACTTGAGTCTTAACTGGCGTTTATTCAAATAAAAAAATAAATAATATTATATTTTTCCTTTATTTTTGGCCAACCACAAGTAGTTAGGATTAAGGCGAGGAAGAAGAAGATATTTTTGTTTAATTATTATTTTAATAATATATTGTACTGCATTTTGTTTAGGACTGTGTGTACCATTTGGCAAAACTTAGGAAAACAAGATATAAATACTCAAATTATTGATACACTCTTAGAGTTTGTGACATTAACGCCATTATACGATAACTCTTCAAAAAAGTTTCTTAATAAACCAATTGCTTCTCTCATTCCAGTTGCAGTAAGCAAAAAAAAAAATTATATTTTGTGAAAAATTATAACTGCTAGTTACTATTTTGTATCAGGCTCTCAGTGGTTTAAACGAAATTTTAAAACAGTATCCATACGATTGTGCTATACAATCATTTCCCGATTTATTTAACATTACATTTCTCACACTTGCTGCTTTGATAAATGTGGGATCTCCAATAAGAGGATCAAACAAAAATGTATTTACTTCATACAAAGAAGTTTATGATATAAACCCTGCAAAGTAATATGAATATAGTGTTAACTGTATTAAATTTTTTAAATAAAAAATTATTTTTTTATTTTTTAGAATTGCTCATGAAACACTGTATAACTTATTGAAATCAATCAGTTTAAACGAATGTTCTGAAAATGTAATGAATGCCATAACTTGTTTAGAAACAACTGTTGATACAATAATGCATAAATTAGCGCCATGCATTATCAAGTAAAATAAAATTTGAGTTTTCAACGTTCAAATTTTAATAGTATAAATGATATAATAAATTTTTTCATAGAGGCTTGGTTGAAAGTCATCCAAAATTGATCTCAAAAATAATTAACAATTTTGATAAAAACGTAAGCAGTACTCTTGAATGTCAAAGAATTGCTATTGTAGTGCTATGTTTATGTGTAAGTAAAATTTCTATTGAATATTTAAATAAATTTACTAACAAAATAATTATTTTTAGTGTGCAGAAGCCATGTCAAGTGATACAAAACACACTAATAGTCTCATTAATGTCTTCTTAAAATGTTTAAGTGATACGTCCTATGTTGTACGTAAATATTGTTTAAAAGGTCTAACTGTTATATGTCAGCACCATCAACTTAAGGTAAACTTATTGCAAAAATGAAAAAAGCCACTATAATATTTGAATTTATAAAAATCAGGTTGGCAAAAAATAAATAAATAAATAAAAATTCTTCTTCTAAGGCATCTTTAAAGACTATTAAAATCAATTGCTGCAACAAATTCTTTGTTTTTCCCTGTCAATTGACACTTTCTCCTCATTCTTCACCACAATGATTCCTCATTCTGTGTGCCTGCCGTTTTCTGGGTATTCCTCTAGGGTGTTTTGTATTTAGTGTCCATTTTATTATGTTTCCCAGTATTCCTTCAGATCTCCAAACATGACCATCTTTATAATATTGATTTCTCTAAATAACCTACTCTACTCTTTATTTGTCCTAATTTCAAATTCATCTTCCTTTTTTTTCGGTCCAAAAGTTTTCTGAAGTATTTTTTTTTTTAAAGTGCCTAATAAAATCTCATCCATTTTTGTTGTTGCCCACATTTCATATGCGTTTTATTAATAGTTTGTACAATGTTATCTTGGATCTTTTGATAGTATATTGATTTGAACAGTGTTGAGTGTAAAGTAGAATCTATTTGTTGCTATCAAACTTTTCCTATTTCATCATGACTTCATTACAATTGCCAGCTATTGGTTATCACTAAATTTAATGCCTTCCTCTTTACTAAGAACTTGTTTCACCACTGACTCTATAGCAATATTCAACAAAGCCACTAACAAAGTGTCTCCTTGTCTAAGACCTGTCATTACTGGGAATTCATTTGAGTATGGTCCTTCAAAACCTACCTTGCATTTATAGCCTTATATGCACACTATATTATATATAACAGTTTCATCTATAGTCAGTTTACCTTCCATGATCCTCTCTTGTATACTCCAATAATTACTTTAATAAATGATTATAACCTGTTTTTTTAAGTGTTCAGAAACTACTATATCATTTTCATTTTTCCATTTTTAGCATTTATATTTCTTGTATCATTGGTTTGTCCTATAATTCTTCAACTATGGTCCTATTTTCTGGTTAATTCTTTTCTATTTTTGTAATTCTTTGTTTTCCCATAGTTCTTAGCTATTCTTATAATTATTTTTGCCTGTATGTTTACTTGCTAGATTTTCTTTTTGTTTTTGTTACTTGAATTTTGTAAAAAGGTTTTTTTGCAATTTTCATCAAACTAAATTTTCCTCTTTTGACACTTAATGTGTTTCCCAATATTCTTTCTAATTTATCTTTGATTACTAGGGTCACTCTCTCTCAGATGTTTTTTATGTTTACTTTCTGTCTATTTTTTTGTTTATGAGCAGCATTTCTTCATTTAGTCATTCCTGATATAACTTTATTACATTATTTTTCAGTATATCTCCTTTAATTCTTTTTTTCCTGTATATCATCTCTGTTTTTTCACTGACGTTCTAAAATCTGGTAAGAGTATTTTAACTCTAAGTGGTCAGATATTGCACTGCAACCTCTCATGCTTCTTACATCTATGACGTTTGACTTTATTCATGTATTTACAAGTACATGGTCTATTTGGTTCGTTATCCTACTGTACAGTGATATCTATGCCTGTTTATGGATATTCTTATGTAAGAATATTACATATAACCTTATACTACTTATAACCCTATTTTTGTGTGACACAAATGTAATAAACATACTACCATTTTCATTTGTTTCTCTGTATAGAATTTCTTTCCCAATTTTTGATCTCTATATTGTCTCTTTGGCTATTTTTGCGTTGAAATCTCCTATTATTATTTTTGGTTTCCAGTTCGGTAGACTATCATATACTATTTCCAACTCATCATTAAAAGCAGTTTTTATGTTATCGTGTTTGTCCTCCATTGGTATATAACAATTAATAATGATTTTGTTGTACCTCCTACATTTAAGCTCCTAGATGTATGAAAGGTCATTTGTTTGAAATTTACTATGCTTGACATAATTTTATTGCTTATTATGATGTTTACTAAATAAAAATTCATATATCATAATTTATTAATCAATAAAAATAATTTATTTGGAAAAAAAAATTGACATAGGAATGATTTCATTAGATATCTTGTATAAAATATACTATAAGAGAATTGAATTTTAAATTCTGTAGTCAGATGAACAATGTCAGTTTATTTTGGATGCATTAATGCAAGGTATAGATGAATATCAAACACAACAAACTGATGTAACATTAGAAGCTCTACGAGGTCTCATTTCATTAATTTCACATTTATCATTAGAACAATTTGAAAAACACTATGCTGCTTTAACATTTAGAGTAAAACAGTTTTTTGAAAATGTAAGCTTAAAAATTTATAAATTGCTAATTTAAAATTTGAATTTACAAAGATAAATTTAAAACTAAATCTTAGGAGAACAATGAAATGAGATGTACATCTATAAGACTTTATGGAGAACTATGTTCAAATACACACAGTTTTAAGATAGATGTTGACATGTCTCTCCTACATAATAATATTGTGACACTCCTCATGCATCTTTGTGAAAACGACAAAAATATAGTAGAAGTAATTTCATAAAAATTATTAAAAAATTAATCTTTATTTTAAAAGTTTTTATTGTTAATAGGCTTGTAAGTTTGCCTTGAAAAAAGTAAGTGATGTATTACAATCCGAAAAAATTGAAGTCCTATCTGAAAAGTATTTGGTTGAAGATAAAAAAATGAAATATTCAGAATTTTTAACTCATATGTGTAATATTATTGTAAGTTTTATGTACTTTTATTACATTGAGTGTAAAAATAATTTTAATTCTTTATTTTATCACTCATTTAGACTTCAGAATTTGTGTCCCATGTTTCAACATACACTATGATTGGTTTATCTTATACTAAAAGTATATTTCCTGATATTAGAGCAAGTGCTGCTTTATTTGTTGGTAATTTTTTTTATAAATAAAAATTATAGAAATTTAAATATAAATGTTATAAATTAAATTATGTCTTATTATTTAAAACAAAGATTATGAGAATTTAATGGTTTTGATACAAATATTATTATAATAAAATAAAATCCAAAATTGTTAAGTAACCTAGTGATGAAAAAATTTTTAACATCTTTTTAAAAAAAACATACAATTTTATATGATACAAATATTATAAACTTATTAAAATAAGTTTATGATTTTAAATACATTTAACATAGTATTTAAACTAATATTTGTTACTAAATTTAACATAATGATTAAAATATTTTATAAGGTATACTTCACAAATCTAACTTGGATAAATCTTCATTCAACATAATTTCAAGTAAAATGTTGGTACTAACTAATGATCCAAATCCAACTGTTCGTGCTAGTGCTGTAGCTTGTCTTGGAAAATTATACTCTTAAAATTAGCTATTTAAATTTTAAACTGAACTACTGTATTTCATTGAAATATTAAATTCATTAACTATTCATTTTTTAAAGGGCAATTTTTTTAAATTTTCAAAAGTATTGTTGTGTTGTTTATGGTATATAATTGAATTATTTAAACATATTTAATAATTTATTATAATTGTTTGATTTGGTTATATTTTTTTACATGATATTAAATTTTATTAAAGAATTGTTACAAATATTATATATATATATTTTTTTTGTGCTTCAATAGTTTATATAAATGAGTTGTGGTTATAATAATATAAAGTTAATGTTGTGAATCAATATTTTTGATTAAAAGTTTTGTTACTTATTTGTATATTAGTACTGATATCTAGTAATAAAAAAATTGTGATTATTACATTTTTATACTATTGGTAATATTTTTTTTTAAACACCATATTTGTGAATTTCATAATGATTCATTGAAGAAAAATTGTTATATGTTTGGAAATTATTTAATTATAATATAAATACAAAAAAAAATTGTATCAGTTATATTTCATTTTGTATAAATTAATTTACATTAGAGTTCTTCCAACTTTGAAGATTTTTTACAAGAGAAGACTATGACAATATAAATGAAGTATAATAAAAATTAAAGGTTTTGAACAACAATATGGTCTCTTGACTTGTATTTAAAAAAGAATCAACTCAATTTGATCGAAATTTTGTATAATATAAATCAGTGGTTCTCAACGGGGGCGATATCGCCCCCCAGTGGGCGGTGAACTGTCACTGGGGGCATTGAACTAGTTTTGGGTGGTAGAAGGGCGGAAAGCGTGTTCACGCAAAAACGTTGTACATGGTGCAACCTAAAAATAATTCTTACTTGATAATCCATATAATTACTATTAGTTACTAATAGGTACTATATATTGAAAAATGCACAATAACTTATATTTCATTGTTGACAAATTTATTATCTTTATTATTTTAGCGATTGTGCGTGGACATTATATTTTATTATAGGTAACCTATATTAACCAACTTTTTAGTACACCGTTTGATTTGACCCGCGTATGTTGTATTAGTTTTCGTTATTATACTCGTAATATTCAGTCTATTAAAAACGTGTTTTTTATAACAAATTTTCCGTTTCATAAAATTGTATTTTCAAAAAATGTCGGATGCAAAAAGAAAATGCCGTCAATATAATACGACGTATTTAAAGTTCGGATTTATTCCATTGTCATCCAACATGCAGCTTCCAATGTGTTTACTTTGTAACAAAGTGTTTTCCAATGAGGCAATGAAACCATCTCGTTTGTAGGAATATTTGCAAAAAGTTTATCCTGACAAACAGAATAAAGATTTGTCGTTTTTCACAAATATTAGGGACAATTTTCAGAAGGCGCCATCGGTCTCAGGCTTATTCACAGGCTCATCAAAACAATGCGATGATGGTTTGATTGCTTCTTACAATCTATCAAAATTGATTGCAAAATCTGGAAAAACCCATACCATAGGTGAAGAGTTAATACTTCCAGCTGTCAAAGAAACGGTTTTACACTATTTTGCCTCACACAGTGTAATCTAAAAAGTCCCATTAAGCAAAGATACTGTGCGACGGTGAATCGATGAAATGACGGAAAATGTTGAAATTTCATTATGTGAACTTCGAGTAACCACCCAATTTTCACTTCAAGTCGACGAATCAACATTACCGAGTAATGAGGCTTTACTATTGGCATACGTCCGGTTTGTAAAGGAAGAAAAAATCGTTCAAGAAATGCTTTTTGCAAAAACCTTGGTTACTGATACTAAAGGTGAATCTATTTTCAATATAGTCAAAGACTTTTTTAAAGAAAAAAATGTTCCTCTTAAAAACGTTATATCTATTATCACTGATGGAGCACCTGCAATGATAAGACGTCATCGTAGGTCGAATGAATGAAATACCCAGTATTTAAGCTATTCACTGCGTAATTCACAGACAATATTTAGTTGCAAAAAACCTCAGTGACCATTTCTATCAGTCATTACAATATGTCATATCTACTGTGAATAAAATTCGTAGTAATTCGTTGAACAATCGACTATTTACAAAGCTATGTAAAGAAAACGACGCAGAATTCAATCGTTTGCTTTTACACACCGAAGTTCGCTGGCTCTCCAAAGGTGCCTGTCTCAATGGGTTTTGGAACCTTTTCGATTCTGTGCTTGAGTTTCTTGAAGAGAAAGATGTACAGCTCAGAAACAGGTTGATTCTGTTTAAAAGCGATGTTGTTTATATGACCGATTTATTCGCAAAGTTTAATGGCATTAATTTGCAACTGCAAGGTGACGAGCTCAATTTAATAACGTCAAAATCGGTTATTTCTGCATTCCAAAAAATTTGACTTAGTGGAAAACCAATTTTGGTCGCCAAGAGTTCAACCAGTTTCCAGTCTTGCCTGATCTGCACAAAAACAGTGAAATATGTTTCAACAACATACAAGTTTACTATCAACATCTCGAGTCTTTACATATGGACTTTTCAGAACGTTTTAAGGATATTTTGTCGTTGGAAGTTCCTCAATGGGTCATGAATCCTTTTATAAATATTGAGAGAGCAGAGGTACAAATTCAATAAGAACTAATTGAACTTTCAACTAATGAAACATTGAAATCCAGTTCCAATGGTAGTGATCGGCTCACGGAATTTTGGCTTCAAACTAACATAACTCATCATTATCCTGGACTGTGGAGTCTCGTTAAAAAAATTTTAATAACTTTTTCTTCTTCATATCTCGTCAATCGAGGGTTCAGCACTGCAACAGATTTAATTACAAAGAGGAATCGACTCGATATCATGACAAGAGGAGACTTACGACTTATGTTAACGAGTATCGAACCTAATGTCGAAAAACTGGCTAAAAACCACCAAGTTCCATCATGTCACTGAAATGATTTCAGTTAGACATGATGTCTATAAAAAAAATAAAAGCAATATTTTTTATTTGATTATAAAATCTTTTTTTAAAAGCAATATTTTTTCTAAATAAACTAAAAAAATGTATTTATTATTATAAAATAAAATTAATAAATTATTAAGTTTTTTTTTCAAATGTTTAATTTAATTACTTTACTAATACTATAATTAAAAAAATATGAAAAATAAAACATAAATGAGAACATTAGTTATGAGATAATTATTCAAATTTTCCAAATCATTAACTTTCTTCCTATCTCTCAGTCCATATCATTAATTATAGAATTTTCACATAGGGGGTCGTTAAAGAATTGATTCCTACTCAAGAGGGAGGTAACATAAAAAAGGTTGAGAAACACTGATATAAATTATTACCTGAGTATCAAGTATTTTTTGTAGATTAAATAATAGGCCCGATTAAAAAAAAACAAAGTACACACAGAGTGGGGTAAGTGGACACCAGTATAGCATTGAAATCTGACAGTGATTAAAAAACGCTTTGATGCGAATCTGTAGATTTTATTTTATTTTTAGCCGAAATTTTTGGGGTATGCCAAATACAACATGAACTTATTTTTTTAATATTTATTTAAGTTTTATATTCTAAAATAAACAAATAAATTACTTGAAAATATCATTTTTATATTAATTGAACTTAATGTAAAATTTATGGTATTTATTAACTTAGAATTGTAGTTAATACAAACTAAACATAATAATAATAAAATTAAAAGAAAATTAGATAACTAACAGTAGATTCGAATCGCTTCATAAAAGACGCTTCAACGTGTTCGATTTAGTGTGACATTTATATTCAATAATTTAGTATTGTAATTTTTATGCAGAAATTATAAAGTAGTTTTATTATTGTTATCACTATAACAGATGTGTATCAAATTATAAGTATGGATTTGTCAAAATGAAAAGAAAGTTCAATTATTTCTGATCCTCAATAGATAATTATAATATATTTTATTATAAAATTGAAATATTTTCTCTCGTTCCCTATGAATAGAGGAAATTTTCAAAACAATTACAATTTTTTAAATCGGTAAATGTTGAAATTTTAGCTTCGATGCGAAGCTGAGAATGTATTAATTTAACTATGATGTGTTTTCTTTTTTTTTGTGTCTGCATACGCTCAATCTCAGCTCTTGCTGGACCGATTTTTATGAAAAATATGTTAAAAGATCACAAATCGTATCTAGTCGAAGACATTACACTCAAAAATTGAAAAAAATTCCCTCAATTCCCGTTAACGGGGGAAATCCCCCAAAAAATTACAAATTTAAAAATCGCTAATTTTTGACATTTTTTCAATTTTTTTTACATAAAATTGCCATAACTTTTTTAAAAATGACCGAATCAATATAATTTTTTTTTTATAGATACCTTAGGCATTCACCTATCATTTTATATATTTTTGTGAATATTTGACCCTTTATAAGCCCACAGGAAGGGTTTCAAAATGGTAAGATTTTTACACAAAATTAACTTTTTCAACTTAACTTTTGAAAATGTTCCGGGAAGACTGACACTTTTATATATACCTTAAATTAAAGCTTATGTAATATACTATAATTTGAAAAAAAAAATTTGACTTCTAGATTTGTCTTCATGGTAAAAATGATTAACGTATTCAAAAATATGCTATTTTTATGTAAAAAATTCTGAGTTTTGTATTTTATTTTATTTTAAAATACCTGACAAGTGGAGTAGATTTTCATAAATATTATATAAATAAAAAATTGATATAGCATAGAAAGTTAAACTTATTTAAATTTTTTTGCTTTATGAAGTCGAGAAAAAATAATTTTGAAAATTGGACTAGCTTAAATAGCTAATTTTTTCAGTCATCGTTAGTGACGTACGGTTGCCGAGTCAGTAAACTTGTGTTGAACGCGCTTGGGTTACAAAGTTCCAACCCGCTATGGCAATGAGTTTTTTGCATTTTTTCTTAATTCTTTTTAAGTTAGAATAAATTTTCAACTGCTTTGATTTTTATCTCATTTAGATCCAATAACTTTAATAAAGATCATGGGATCCCATCACTATAGTCGCCTCTCGCGAGAAGAAATTTATTATTCATATTAAAATTATTTTATTATATCTGAAGTTTTAATTTTAATGCAAAGCTAAGAAGGTATTTTTTTGTGACTGTCATTTATTTTCTCTGCTCTAACTTGACCTACTTTTTTCAACGATACGTCAAATTACTACAATTCGTATCTAGTTGAAGATATTACCGTCAAAAATTGAAAAAAAATTCTAATTTATCAATTAAACAGTTATTTGTCCCATGTTCTCCATACAGACAATTAAAATTATTCAATTCTAATGTTTTCAAAGTATTTATTATCGAATCAAGTTAGATATGATAGGTTTCAACTAAACCTAAAATATTAAATTAATTATTCAACTAAAATATTAAATCATTTTACTTTGTAATCTCATAATATATTTACTCTATTTGTGTGTGTTACTACTAGATTATAATATACCAAATTTTTTGGCAACATGTTGCAATATAAATCATTTCTAAAAAAAATGATTGTTAGTTTCTTATGAATTAATAATGGATTTTTACAATTATAATCAAATATTATAATACGTTCAATTGAGTAATTTTGTTTTGATTGATTCTTTTAGTTAAAGTAAATTATTAAAATGAATTAAGTTCTGAATATTTCAATTGCAGAATCTTTTTAAACACCAAAAGTTACTAGGAAATGATTACTATTACTTCTACTTAAGTTATTTATTACGATAAAAATACAAAAAAATATTGAGCTATTCTGATAAATTTACTATAAATAGTAATTATAAAACTTCCTAACTGCATATTAATCTTAACGATACAATTTTTTTAATTCTCATAAAATTTTCTATTAATGATGTCAATTTCAAACTTGCCAATTGAGCTAAAAGTTATGATAAGATAAATTCATTTTTTTTATTATAAACATTCACAAAAATCAACTTTAAACGATTAAAAAAATAGGTTAAATATGTCATTTTCCTTATTTTTAATAACATTAAAGCTCACAATTCTCTAGGGGAGTGTATTTCTTATATTTTGCCGAGCCGACAATTTAAATGTTGATTAGGAACCTCTATTTCGTATAAAAAAGAAGGTCACATTAACCAAATGGTAATTAATTTTTATTTAGTCGGCAATTTCGTTTGGGTGTGATTCACCGTTTTAATAGAATAGTCTCTGATTTAGTATTAAGAAAATAAATCAGAAAAACAGAAAATAACATTAAAATGTTTTAATTTTTTCTTTTTTTTTTACTGAACACCTAATAACATTTTTTAATGGACAAAATGCTTTTAGTATAAATGAGCTTCCAGCATAAATCTATCCTATTTATTTCAGTACTTGTATTAGTTCGTAGTAACACATCACATCTATTTAAGTTTTATTTTTTATATACACGCGTGAACAAAAATATCAGCGGGAGAAAGTAAACAAAGTAAAGTTAACCAATAATANATCTATTTAAGTTTTATTTTTTATATACACGCGTGAACAAAAATATCAGCGGGAGAAAGTAAACAAAGTAAAGTTAACCAATACGTAATACGTATTTAAATAAGTAACAATATTGATTTTCAATAGAATTTTGAATGATTACAAGCTAATACACGTACATGAATAACTTAAAATTAAAAAAACAAGCAGAATAAATTTTAATATAAGGAATAAAAAGAATAAAAATTCATAATGAACTTACACATTTAATGAACAAAAGCAATCTACCGCGATATTACTTTAATAAGTAGAAAATAGCGGATAAAGTTAAAACATATGACCTTTATACATCTTAACCAACCATATTTACTTCGTTTAAGTAGTAAGTTTATAATAGGTATTTAACATTGTTTTATTTTTATTTTAACAAAAAAAAAAATCATACCTAATGTATAATATAACAGACATATCTATATATTATTTTATGCTATACAATCATTCAGTAGTAGTTAAAATCAATTTATTTTTATAAGTTATCTAAGATAAAAAAAACATAATTTATACAATGGGTGTAGGCGTGTGTGTACATATAACATTAAAATATAATAAGTAATAATACACTTTAAATCCACGAGTGTAATAGCATTTTCGGAAGAATTAATTGAAAAGCTTTTATTTGTTTATATGTGTTTGTCTAGCGTTAAACTAAATAAAATAATCTACAAAGGTGTAATAACAATACATACATCAAAATTAATATGTACACAATACACATACACGACGTTTATAACCAATGAAAAACATAGGTAATTATACATAAAATATATTATTATTTAATAAACGTTGAAATATTTCTCCCTATTTATAATCATTATTTTTATTTATTCATTTTATATATACACAAAAAATAAAATATTACGTTAAGTATAAAAAAAAAAATAAATAAAAATTCTAAAATGCTAATTGTTTTTGTTGCAATTATATTTGTTCGAAACAAGTGTCTAACTTATTATTACTATAATTTAATTGTATAAATAAGGTTATAATTATTATATTCATCAACGTTAACGCGTTTTAATTAAGATTAATCATTAAAATTAATTAATATTATCATTAAATTTAAGGGAACACATAAAAAATCTTATTTTCGCGTTGCATAATTATTATTACTATCATAGAATTCTAGAATTAAGATTGTATTTGTTGTTTTCATTACAAAATTGAATAAAAATAATTGTTTGACCGAAGCGACTTGGACGTCCGGTGTGTTAAGTATTTAATACATAATAATAATTAGAATATTTAAAATATTAATAAATAAATGCAACTCGGCGGCAGCGTACGCAATCGACATTTTTGTCGTTAGTTATTACGTTACAATATGAACAATAATAACATTAACACACAGGTTTGTGTGTATAGTAGAGAAAAATAAAATATTAATAAAACCAGCACTTGCTTTCTAATAATTTTGACGAATTCTCATTTTAAAACTGACTTAAACGAAATTATAACTCAATACAAAACATCGGCATTTGGTAGGATACTCACTAATTTGTATTACCATTCGTAATAAAATACTACAATTAGCCAACGATTTACTACCCCCCTACTCCATCGGCACAATGTTGTTTTTTTACATTCGTTTAAAAAACATTTAAATAATTTAAGGCACGAATCGAACATTTAATACGAGCGAATGCAAATGTTATTTGCGCTGTGCTGTCGTCGGTGGAGTTGATGAACGCTAAAAAATGTTTAATGAGGCGGGGTAGTTAATTATAATTTTGTACAATAAAATATAATAATAATAAAAATAATCTTTTCTACTGTCTAAGTAAAGCAAAAAGTTTGTTAAAATTATTTTTTTTTGTTTAATTTTTCAAAGATAGGAGATTACTGTTATGTATATTTACTATATTACTTATTATTAATATGAGTGTGTGAGTGTGTAATTTACACGGCCGTCTCTGTATGGCTGTGCGACGACAGGCGTTCTACATCTATGTGAGGTACGCCCATCACGTTGTCGCTGTCTGCATATTCAATGGATCCGTTGTTGGTGCCGCCGCCGGAAGACGATGCCGCCGCCACCGCAGAAAGTCGCTTGCTGAAACACGGTTGTTTTCGCAGCACCTCGGCCAGCGATTCGCCGTACCGAGCATCTAGACCCTGGCGGAAAGCATTAACCACTCGTATCTGTGTGATAACGGCAGTCACAGAAAAAAACAAATAAAATACATATATAAATACACATATAACAGAGTAAAAAATAATAGTGAAACAAATCAGATTAGTAATAACGCAACAATAATAATAATAATACTCTACGCGTGTGCGCGTTTAACGTTAATACTATAGTAAAAACTAAAAATTCTAACAAAAAATAATAATAATAAATAAAGTCGAGTCAAAAAAAAAAAAAAAAACTTAAAAAATAAATAAATAAGAAAAATAGCGGAGCGGCAGTGTAAACGACAATATTAATTATATGAGATGTTAGTAGTACAGCATCTATGTGATTATAAAAATGATAAGTTATAAAATTAAAAAAATATTTATGAATAAGTATAGCATCAGCAGCGGCGTCGGCAGCGACGTTTTTATTTTTAATGCGTGATATTATTTAATTAAAAAAAAACGCATACTGTATAAAACCATAAAATGTTGTTATAAAATGTATGTGTATATGCAGCGTTAATGATTAATGTCAGTGTGGTAATGGTCAGCACATATTGTTCAAGTTCATATTATGTGTGTAACAATAGGGGTGTCGGGCGGTGGTAATTTTATCGTATTAATTTATGTATTGTATGTAAGCAGAGAGAATATGACGACGAGGACCAGAAGGAAGAGTAGAATGGAAGTATTGGTATCTATAGGGTCATGCAGAAGCTTTTAGGTAGAGGTAATGGTGGTACTAAAAGCAACATGCAACAAAATTTAAAATAAAAAGCATAAGTATGCAAATACAAGTCTATCAATAATTATGGTATAATAAAAGTAGAAGTGTGCAAAATAGTAATTCATATTATGACAAAAAGTAATATTTGTTAGCACATTCAGTACTGAAGTATAAATGTGTAGGCGCGCACGTGTGTTTCACTTATTTTTTTTAATTTATGCTAGTTGACACAGGATAAATTTAATTAATAATGATTAAAAAATTGTTAATTGAAAATTATTCATATTTCTGAAATGAATTTGTTTTCAAGTTTGATATTCATTTACATGTTCGTGGTTCATGTCCTAACTTTAATGATACATAGGTAAAAACCAATGGATAACAAAATAATAACTAATAGTAATACTTCAAAGCTTGTGGTTTATATTTTATCATTAGTGTATCATTCATGTATACTATGAATGAGTAAAGAAACATAATATCTCTAATGAGTAGTCAAAATACATTACTTAAGTCAAATTGAAACACATACAATGATTTTCATAACAATCCACCAAAGGGAAAATATTTCAGACGTTTCATTATATTTCACAAAAAATTTAACGGTCAATAGCTAATTATTTTGTTAAATGTATACTTTAAACTTTTAACATAAAATTAACATATATAGCCTAATAACAACAATAAATATTAATTCATACATTAAAAATATCAACAATAACAACAATATTACTGTCTACAAAACTCTAACAATAATTTATCTGTTTTAGTACACTAAATAACAATATTAAATTAAAAATGGATTATTCTGACTCTGAGCAAAAGTAATAATAATATCATCAATTAAGATGTCTATAGAATCTTAAATAGTTATGATTTAATAAATTATGGTAATTTCAACATTAAGCGCAATAATTTAATAAAATTTTACAACTCTAGGAGAATAATGACTGCAGTAAAACAACTTAACAGTAACAACAATATCAATAAAAAACGATAGGGCGTCAAAGAAAGTGTTCAAAACTAAAATAGTTTAAGACAATAATAATATTGTGTGTCCTCCTAATTGAAAACAAACAAATTCATTAATTATAATAATATTATCCTTAATTAAGATCTAAATTAATTATACTAGTAAAAATACTGTCGCTAGAATAAATAATTAATGGAATTCTAGAAATTAAACAAATTAAAAGTAATAATACAGTTATGGTATTTTTATCTTGGAGTAGATAACCATTTAGTTGACACGAGCGGCACGTAGACTCTCAACATGTTGACAAACTAGCTGATGGTCTATGACAGTCGAGATGATTGTATAAATGCGATGGTGACGAGCCTTGAACAGAACTCGAGCTAGTAATTATTCTGGACGGCCACCTTTGAACAAAATCAATAATCGCCACAAAAATTGGATTTGTTAGTTAAAATAAAAATGTTAGCCCTATTAAAAAGAGTGTAATACATTTGGTTGTCAAGTGCGAACATTACATGTACACACAGAGCAATAGCTGCTGCAAAGACTCAGTTTAGAGCAGCATCACCACATTGCACACCGTCGGCTAATGTTACCATTTCAGTCATAATTTAATTATTTATTGGAAAAATTTCGTAACAACCTTATGCAAGTAAATTGGGTAGTAAAACAATTTTACATTAATGTAAAATAATCGCAGCGGCAGCAGCAACAATAAAGAAATAACTAAAAAAAAATCTCCTGAAAAAAACCTTCAAAGAAATGTGCGTGTATACAAAAATACACATACCTAATACACACTATTTAACGTTTTAGAAAATACTATTAATTACTAGAAAAAAATTTTGACCACATTTAAATTTGAAAAATATATTAAAAAAACATGATCGAGAAATTTGAAATGATATAAATTGTTTTGCTGTTAAAATTTTTAGCAACTCAATACACTAAAAAATATAAACAAGGTGGCTATGATTGTCTATCATCGCATAAACGAAACTCATTAACTACAATATTTTTTCAAATCAATGAAATGATTTTTTGATTAGTTTCACTGGGTATTGTACATTTAAAATACACGAGATGCTCCCAACCAAATAAATAATTACGCAATATGAATATTAGATATAATAAATCCTAAACAAAATTGTTTACACAAGTTTAAGTTTGTAATATTTTGATTTTTTTAGTATAAAGCTACTCCCTAGCTAACCACTCTATATTTAGTTCCATTTCTCATACAGGAACTACTAAAAATATATACAAACGCTTGTATGATTCAAACTAAATATGTTTTCAATACACATTTCATATAAAATAAAATATTATATTTTAAGAATATATTAAATATTATAATAATACATTAATATAAGAATTTTGTTTTTTAAGTGGTGGTAAGCGGCGAAGAAGGAATAAATATATATTCATACGTAGGCAAGTAAACTATTAAAATTTGTAAAAAATAAAGAATAGGTAATGATTTTCATATATCTACAACTATTGATGATTATGATATAATTACAAAATCTAGTGCTGCTGCAGCGGCGACGTCGGCGAGACAAATTTAGTGTATAAAATGACAATGATAATTATATAAATATAATGTTTTGCGATGAGTATGACGGCAGTAATGGTAATATAAGCATGCACAAAAAACAAAAATTAATAGACAGTAACATGAAACCATACAATATATAATATATACAACGATATTTATGGTAGAAATTAAGCTTAACAAATTTTAATAATATTGACCAGATTGAAGTAGATCTAGTTTTTTGTACAGCAGTATAACTGTACAAAGTTAAATTTAAATAAAGTACTACATAAAAATCATAATTATACTTAAAGTCAGTCAGTAGTTTTTGTAGTTCTTTTAACGATCTAAACACACGCAATCATAAAACTATAGAAAACAATAAAATAAATTAAAATAATACTTTATAGAGTATATTTCATGCTAAGAAATAGAATATTTACCGTTTGTAATTATGGTAACGTCCTATTGTAATAATGCCCATAGTTTATCAATATGTACACGTGAGATTTTTAAATTTCTCAAAGAAAATGTTACATATGAATGCATTTATTAAAATTAACATGTAGAATAATCGATTATTCTTTTTCGAATTGATTCCAGATTAATACTGAAGATTATTTACTAAAGCAGGGGTGTCAAATATAACTTATAAATTAACATTTTTAATAATAAAATTTGCTGTGCACTTTATTTAACATTTTTTTGTTAATAAAACAGAAATACATAATAGTTTCAACAAACTATTGACGGAGTCCACTTAATACTTTAAAATATATAATTACAATTATGTATAACTATAAAGTAATAAGCGTTCAACTATGGTTTATTTCACTTAAATACATTTTAAAAGTCGATAAACAAATATTAACAATAGGTATACCTATTAAACTATGTATGAAATTTCATCTTAGCAGTAGCGAATAACAATGAAAAATATAAATAAATAATATAACACCTAGTAATAATAGTATCTTTTTCAAGATATTAAGTAGATTCTTAACTCGTACATAATTAAAATATAATTATTTAAATCTAAACAGCCATTTTTCCCCTTTTTCCGCTATTAACTTTTTGAATAAAACGAAGATTATAGTTATTTAGAGGCAGCGTGCGAACAACTTAATATTATATAAAAAAGAAAAGTGTTTATAAAAAAAATTAGTAAAGCGTTAGTTAATAATATAATTTTATACAAATATAATAATAAATACATTTGAGCTTGTACATACACGCAACGCTCCAACATTGAACAACAATTATTAATTTACACAGAATAGTTTTATGATTTTTTGTAAGTCAATTAAAATCAAAGTATCTAGTTGGATAGTATGACGAAGCAGGTTGTAATTTGCTATATTATCGAAAATTAAAATTGACAGTACATTATTTCAATCAAAACTGTATTAATATTTCATAAAATAGAACAATAACGCATTATAAATTAATATACCTAAAATTATTTAGAAATAAACATATAATAATTAATTATTACTCAATTTTTTTTCAAATGTATGAAAATATCAGAATTATTATAGACCAGTAATAATAATTTAACCGTATGATAAAGAATCAAGGGATGGTCCAGCAAAGAGTACATTATTACATACGTCCTATACTACGTTAACAATAAATACGGCTCTATAGAAAAAATTATGAGTATAATATAATATGCTCAACAATTATTAATTAACACTACCGTAATAATAATATAACCATACACATCTACTATTACAGTATAACAAGAACAAGAAGAATAACAAAAACCGACCAGGAGTTGGCAGATTTATCTATATAAATATATAGAGCAAGAGAAAAGAACATTTAACAATGATAATAATAATAATAATAATAATAATAATAATAATAATAATAATCATAATAATCATAATAATAATAGTAGTACAAATATTTTAAATCGCGTTCGACGTAAGTTGTAAAATGTTTGATCGCGTATATTTTTCTCTTTATAAAAATTATTATAATAATATATTTCTCTTCACAATTTTTTAAATATTTATAATAATTTTGCGGAATTTTTTGGGGGTTAACGTGTGTGTGGTGTCTTGTGTCCGAGACGAACAACAACTGGTCAAACCATTTGACCTTGCCACATTCTCTGAAAAGAAACATGTGTGCGTTACAAAAAAAATCTTCTTATTCCACTTGCAAGTAACAAAAAAATTGAAGAAAAAAGTAACAAAAGTATCTCAAAAGCAACAAAAAAAATTATTGAATAAAATTTTAAATCGTCCACACACATTAGTCATCGGCAAAAGCATTGACGAGCATAAAGTTTGACTCGTTGATAACTTAAAAAAGAAAAATAATTATAATACTTTAGCAGCCAAAATATATGTAAACAAAATAAAATAAATAAATCACTTGTGAAATTTAAAAAAAAACCCAAACACATACACATACACACACGCACGCCAATATATAAAATTCAAACTATTAACTTGTTATTATTAAATATTATTATTATCTTCAATTATTATCATTATTTATGATTAGGATTATAACTATGATCTATGTGTATATATAACCTAATTAATAAGATAATAAAATTAATACATTAACCGTGTTAATTTATGTTAAATATATAATTAAATGACAATTTGACAACATTGGAAATATCTAGTTTTAGTTTTAAACCAACACTGTTTAACATGTTCTTTGTAATGCTATTTAAAAAATAATATCATGTTTACTTAAATGATTAACTATAACTATACCCTTACCTCTAGTGCGGGTGCGACGTTGCCCCTTAAACTTCGGTGATGATTGTTTTTTATACTTTAAAATATTATTTTCAAAAAAGTTTAATAAAAGATGAAGATAATTATTAATTTATGCTAAAATTATAAAAGTGACAAATAACTTTTTTTTACAAAGTATATATGCCTAAAACAGGGAAAACAGTATAAAAATTACTGAAATTCCTTTTTTAAACATCAACTTATTTTGTAAAATATGTAATGTTACACACACGAGCGCGCGCGATTTGCCTGACCACTTCTACTATTTATATTTTTTAAATGTAAATAGTACAATATACAAAAATGTACACAAACGCATATAAATTCGTTCTTTTTTATATCATGATAATAATAATAATTATAATAACGAAAGTAATTTAGAGTTAGTTGTATAGGTTATTTAAAGAAGTGAACTACGAAGACAAAAAAATGTACACCCACACATACACACACAATTTAAAACAGAAATAAAATCGCCGCCGGTTAATACATGAGTGCGTACATGTCTGCATGAAATTACTATACTGAAAAGAATTTATTCTAAATTTAGTCAAATAAAGCGATCACACAAAAAATACATTATAATAGTGCTAAAACAAGCCAAGTGTAAAAATATAAGTTTAAATACAACATGCAAAACACTAAAATAAACACAGTCTAAGGCATTAGAAGGTTAGGGAAACAGCGAAGTAAATGTAATAGCAGCTTTATCATTTTTCATAGGTATACAAACATATTTTACTACTTCCTAAAAATGTAAGTATTCATATTTCAGGTTTTATTTACTAAAACTCCTACTACTATAAAATTATGCAATTTCTTTTTAACGCGATAATATTAAAATTCAATTTATTTTTCTCAGCTATTTAAATGAAATAAACGACCAAGATTGCACACGCTTTTTAAAAATCCATACCTTATTAAATAACACACGCAAGGAAAATGTTAATCTTTAAAGAATTGCATGCACTCTTTAACCCTTTCGGTACTAGCAAGATATCCCAATTAAATAATCAGATTTTTTTTCTACAATGATATTCATTTTATGCAGTTCAGACCGATAAATAAATAGATATAAACATAGCTTACTGATGGTTGTTATTAAAAAATGTCTATAATATTATAAACAATTTAGATAAATTCGAAGTTTTCTATTAGATATGGTCACTAGTAAAAGAAAAAGTAAGGTATTTCCGGGTATTATATGAAGGTTCAGAACAGAAAGGGTTAAAACTCATTTTTCAAACACTCCAGAAATCGAGCTTTTTATGTTCTAACTAATTATTTAAAATTATTTTCAACACATTCATACATATTTTATACATTTAGTGCTACATAAAACCCCATATTGTAATTACCTTAAAGCAAATGAAGGTTTGAGGTGGTACCAAATTATTCTTGTACAATCATGGCCGATAGGTATGTAAGAATCAATTAAAAATTTTGTAGCTAATAATAATTATTTTATTACTCTAATAATCGGTGCTATCATATTTCGACCGAATATTTTTAAAAAATATTTACATGTTTACGAGAAGCTTTAAAATTTGTAGTAGTAGTAGTTGTAGTTAGTAGTAGAAGCGTTAGTAATACAGAACAAAAGTTAAATAATAATAAAAAAAACAAACAATTCATATAAATTCAAGAAAAATCAGATTAAGGAAGAAAGCGGCTTACAGCTTGATCAGTGGAGCTCTTGCTGTATGGGACCGGAATCAAACGTTCTTGCAATTCACCGCCTATCACCTTTAACGTTTAATATTAATAACAGTATTAGATTAAAGGATAATTTTCACCAAAACCACGTATAAGTAATTTGAATTTTTGTTCTGTTTTTATTTTTTAATTGTTACCAATACATTTGTATATTAATACATACAATAATGGCTAAGCAACCCACGAGATATTTAGCATGAAAAAAAATATTAAATTAAGAAATGCTTATTTATTATTTCAGATACAAACTAACCTTATTATATGATATAACCGCATTTTTCGAGTCGATGATAAAACAATGCATACATTTAAAAACCAAATCAATTTATGGTTTTAATCAATGAGTAAGCAATTCTAAAAACTACCCTTCCACCAAGCAACTTTTCAAATATCAATTGGAGAAAATTATGAAAACTTAGAATTCAAAATCACAGTATAAATAAAGTATTTTTTCTTAAAAAAAAATCCTGTAAATCATATGCACCTTAATAAAATATATTAGCAAAGCATTATATTTCCTAAAAGTAAGTCTTTTGCTAATCTATTATATTAGAGGTGATATTTAAAATTATGGCCCACGTCAAGTCTCCAGGTATATAAGGAAAAACTGTTATGTTTTTCAATAGAAAAGGCAGATATACCATAGTGCAGAAAAAATATAAACATTTATATTAGTAAATTCGTCATTTCAGTGTTCGGAAAAGATAAATACACCGACATTTATAATATTATATATATATTATAAATGGCGAAATAATTATGTGCGTAAGAGTTTTGGTGATTCTTTCAACAATAAAATAATGATAATTGATTATTTAGTGATGGTGTTAACAGCTACATGATCTATACAATAGAAGTAGAAGAAAGAAGTTGTAAATAATACACGATGATAATAATGTACGAAGATAGAGACAGTACAACAAAGTGATAGTGAATAAGAAATTAGTAAGTGAGCGAGAGAGCCAGACAATAATAATATAGAGATACTAGGTGTAAAATATTTTGCATTAACTAATCGTTACATTATAGTTTAATTAAATTAATTATAATAAATAATAAACGAAACATTCTTAAAAAAAAATATAAGAATTTATGCGTATTAATGCAGTATATGCCTTGTGCGTCATAGACTTTTTTGTTCATAATGAGGGGAAATGTGTTTAGGATAAGTTTAATCATAATATGATTTACCAATACCACCACGGTTAGTATTTTTACCATTTAATTACGAAATATGTTTAATAAATTTATACCATATGCACTAGGTATTAGCGAAACAGTATCACAAAATGCAATATTACAAGTAGCTGATATTGGTATTATATACTATTGAATAAAAAAAGTTTAAAATAATATACGCGGTCTTTTAGATTATATCATGTTAATGATAAACTATTAAAATTAATATTTACCACAAATTTATGTATGATAACTTTCATTTTATCGACTTCATTAATTAACTTTTTAGAAACGTTTTTTGGATTATTAATGTCTGCCGACACCGATGTTGTTTATAAAATGCTTGAATAGCATTTTACAGACGTAGCCAGAGACATAAATTTGAATAGTATAAATAGGTACAGAAAGTGAAAAGAGATATGGATATGTATTTGTAATAAAACCGAACATCATATTATTTTAAGATATCTGTCATAATTATTAATAAAATGTTTTAAAATAAAGTAACAAATTTTTTGATATTTCAATACACGACGCACACACGATTAAAAGATCATCATCATTATTATTGAGGTTCTATTAATTGAGATTCATTAAAAATAGTTTTATTTGTTCTATCCCTCACTGAGTGGTGTCTTGTAAGTAGGGACTGCTTGGTGGTTGTGGTGTTCTTCGTCAATGTACGTGATGTTGTCGGACAAAGGACGGCTCCGTGAGCTGGTAGTTGTGCGCAAACTATGTATGGAACGCCGTTCCTCCAGGTCTTCCAGAGTAGACTTGAAAGCCCGGATGACACGCAGCTGCAAACACACAAACACAACACGCGTGTCATGCGAAGTGTGTTCTTATTTAATTTTTAGAAACCTTTGATTGTATTTTATTAAGAAGATATTTAAAACCGTGCAAGAGATTTTCGAAATAATTTTAATGTTATAGATCTCAATATTCATTTGTGGTTTAAGCGAAAAAAGCTATAATAACGACTGTTGAAATAATAACTTGCAATAAAACATTTTGTACTTGACACATGAAAATAATTAAGTTGTTAATTTGTCCCAAAATTAATTATTAATAATTTTTTAAATATAATATCATTTTGTTTTTTTATTTAAATAAAAATAAAAATTCCACTTTCCTCACTTATACCACTAGTTTTTACCCTTAAAAATGAATTTATAAACAGAAATCTACATAAATTAAATATAGTGTCCTAATTTTATAAAGAATATTTAGCATTTTAAAATGTTAATGATGAAAAAAACCTCACATATTTCAGAAAATCTTTAAATGATAAAAATGTATGCGGCTGGCTCGCTCGCTCTATTATTAGATGACAACACGTACTCAAAAAAATTTGACCATGTTAAATTAATAATAAGGTAAATGTTTTATAAGCAGATGACTAAACATTTATTGACTAAAATGAAATACTATGGAAAAAATTGGCCATTGACATAATGACTAAATAATTCACCTTACATAATATTGAATAACAGAATTAGAATATTGTTATGGGCGTAGTTTAAACAATTATCCCTGTATAATTTATATCACCAAATTATTTAAAAAAACATGCTAGTTAATATTCAATATATTTGGGATGATTTAACAACATACGTGATATTGAAAAAAAATAACTTCTAGTATTGCTGACAGAGTCCTAAGCAGAGCTCAATAACACGACTGTATAAATTGAACAATAATAATAGAATATATAAGATGTAATTTTATAATCTAAATATTCTTATTAAATATATTTTTTAATGCATTCATGTTGGTAAAACCCTAAAAATGTTTAACAAAAATGGGTATTTTGATATCATGGTTAGTCGATGTAAATATCAATATACGAATAGAGTAAATCTAACGCACACATCTAGAAAATAAAATGTAATACACTTAATCTATTGGATTAATAAACAGAGTGGAAGAAATAATGTAATCTAATCATATTGATAATAAATTAATAAAAAATTTGAAACATTTAACAATAAATTATGACATCTTAAAGGTCTATGAAAAGTTTTGTCGCAGCTTGAATCCTTATTTCTCATAGTAAACTACGCCCATGAATAACACTATAATCGTAATTTGTTTACTGCATGAAAACAATAATACATGATATTTACAGTTTAATAAATGCGCATTGAATATTCATATAAAATATATAATATTATAACTGTCGATAAATATATATAATATATTTATAATATTTCTTGGCGGCTAATGTTTTTTGAACAATCCTCAGCCAAATAGATACTCTTTTTAAAAAAGAATTCATTTTTATAAACACGCATCAAAAAAAGTTTTCCTAAATAATATCGTGTGTACACCGTTCGTTCGTGACAACCCCTGGGACTAAGACANGTCTATATAAACACGCATCAAAAAAAGTTTTCTTAAATAATATCGTGTGTACACCGTTCGTTCGTGACAACCCCTGGGACTAAGACATTGTGTTAAGGAATAGAAAAGATCGAAATTGTATAAAAAAATAAAATAAAATAAATAATATACTATAATAAATAAAACTTTGCAATGATATGTTACGGCATTTGAAAATGTCAAAAATAGTATAATATTAACTAGAAATTTAATAATTATGAAAACGATCAGCAGTTGGCGATTAAAAGAAGTAAGAAGAGAATAAAATAAATTGAATATTTTGAGTACTAATCGCGCACAGTAATAAAGTAAACAAAATATACAGAAAGAAGAAAACACTATAAACAACATAGTCAAAACTTGTCTGACAAGTGGACCATTGTTAGATCGTTATCTGGAAGAATATAAAAATAAAAATATTTTTACGTAAACTAAAATTACGAAAAATAAAACTAAAAATTATATAAAGGACAACGATAACAAGAAGAAACGATATAGGACAAAATGAAAATAGTTATTTTTAAAATAATAGTTTATCCGCCCAATTTTGGCGGTAGCTAGCAGTGATGCAGCCAATAATGCTCTAACCTGAGTCTGAAGCCTGGTCAGTCCACGGATCCACAGGATCTGGCCGGCGCGCGGCTTTTGCCCGGAATCGGGATCATATTTGTGCTCTTCACCTAAATTAATAGCGTTAGTGTACTCTTCCGGATGACCACGTCCCCATCTAAAAAATAATTATTATTAAAAAAATCTATATTCTTTAAGTAACAAAAAATTCAGTTGTGTCGCCAAAAAATATTCTAAGAAACATTTGAGTATGAATTTATTATAGAAGAGAATATACAATTCTTTATATAAACACAATTTTTCGTGTTTACAGAAACCCATTCCCATAATAAGGCGACAACAACCTTAAAATATTGCACTTGACATACGAAAGAAGCTTCGGGATCTTGCGTGTGGGCACACATGTGACGATTTGACCCCATACTAGAGTACCACAACCGAAAAGCAAACACCACATCCAATGTTCGAGTGTTAAACTAGCAGTGCTAAATCCAGCTTTGCCAAACTGAACAATGATGATTTGTGAAAGCAATGTGCCAAACCAAATACCATAGAAAATAGAATTTGAGAAAAATCCTTCAAATACGTTTCTTTGGCCGTGAATCTTACGAGCGTTGATCTCATTGAATAATGTCATCATTACAAAAGTATTGAAGATTATAGTGAAGTGTTGGGTAGGATTTGCAACATCCTTAGCACCAAGCCCAGTGGGTATATCCAACAACTTGTCGCCGAAAAATAACAAAGAGAAAATGACAGTTAGTTGGTAAACTGTCTGCCCTATTATATTTTTCATCATGGTGCGAGATATCAGCGGCTTTGTACGGCCATAAGGTTTTCGGAGTAATAAATCGGCGGTGGGTAGTTCAGTAGCCAAAGCCAATGAAGCCAACGTATCCATAATCAAATTTACCCATAACATTTGAACAGCCTACATAAAACATATATAATGTAAAGACAAATCAACAAATAGTGCAAACAAATTAAATTATTACTCTTAATGGACTGTCTTGAATAGTACAAGCGCCAATAAATGCTACAATGACAGCTACTAAGTTAACAGTCAGTTGAAATTGCAAGAATTTTGCAATGCTATCATAAACATTTCGACCCCACATGACAGCTTTAACAATACTGCTGAAATTATCATCAGTTAAAATAATGTCTGAAGCTTCTTTGGCTACATCTGTACCAGCAATCCCCTATAGAAAAAATAAAATTTACTTAAATAGATTTGAACTCATCACATTAATTTTGTTTAATTAAATATATTAATCTTACCATAGCAAAACCGACATCAGCTTTCTTCAATGCAGGACCATCATTTGTACCATCACCAGTTACAGCTACCACCTCACGTGAATCTGTTGCCTTGCTATCTATAATACCTTTGACTAGAGTATATTTGTCTGTTGGGGATGACCTAGCTAATACTCGCAATTTAGGCCAGACTTTATCTAACAAATGTTGTTGGACCTAAAATAACAAATGTTATACATACTTATGTTATTACATACGTTGGTTTAGTTTAAATGTGTTTTTACCTCTCCATTAGCATCTCGAATTCTCTGGTTAAACTCCTTACCTTCCAGAACTAACCAATCTTCACCTGGCTTAAATATACCACATTTAGTGGCAATTGATCGGGCAGTGTTCACATTATCACCAGTGACCATACGCACTGTGATACCAGCACGTTGGCATTTCCTTATAGCTTCAGGCACCTACAAACAAGTAATTCTTCATGTAGTATACCAACTAGTACAAAATAAAGTTAACAAGCTTACTTCTGGTCTAACAGGGTCTTCAATTCCAACAACACATAAACATGTTAGGTCAGATACTATAGAATCTTCAGCATCCCAATTTGGTTCACCGTCCATTAAAACTTGATTGGGTGAGTCTGTTTTTCCTGGTACAAAATCTTTAAATGCAACTGAAATGGTACGTAAACCATCTGAAGCCATTGGTTCTATGACATTTCTCACTAACCTTTCTTGCATGTCTTTAGTAAATTTTTCTAATTTACCATCTCTGCCATAAATATATGTACACTTTTTCAATACAATTTCAGATGCACCTTTTGTGAATAAACGGTAGCCTCCACCTTCTCTAGGAATAACAGTGCTCATAGATTTACGCACCGAGTTGAATGTGTAAACTCGAGTTAGCATCTCTTCAGGAATATCATCCCTCCAAGTTTGATAATTTTTACCAAGAGCCAATATAAAACCTAATAATGCACACTCAGTTTTGTTACCAACTTGCTTAGGTAAATCGCTAGTTGGATCATCAGGAGGCATAATTTTAGATGTATATGCAGAGTTGATAGACACAGCTTGTACAAGTATGTTACCTACATTAGATGGTATAGACGCAAATTGTGGTACAGTTTTACTCAAAACTTCACAAATATAAGACTGAACAACTGTCATCCGGTTAGTTGTTAATGTACCTGTTTTATCTGAACAAATTGCAGTAGCATTACCCATAGTTTCACATGCATCTAAATGCCTAACCAAGTTGTTATCTTTCATCATTTTCTGTAAATATAACATTAAACAATAAGATAAACTTATCACTTTATAATAAACAAATAAAAACTAATTGATACTTACTTTAACTGAATAAGCCAGGGATAAAGTGACAGCAAGTGGTAAACCTTCAGGGACAGCTACAACTAATACAGTAACACCAATGATAAAATGGCGTACAAAATTACTTGCATAATGGCTTTTCCAAGATTGTCCTTCCCAAATAAAAGTTTTAACACAAAAGTGTATTACTAATATAAGAACAGTTAATACAGCTATTGTAGAACCTAAAAAAAATCAATGTTATTACATTCTATTGGTTATAGTAACATAATTCAAAAAGGTGTACTACTATGACCTACCAGCATAACCAATGTGTATAGCTAGTTTGGTGAGTTTTGCTTGGAGCACAGACTTGTCTTTCTTAGTATGTTCTTCAGAATCAGCATTGTGCTCTTGGCCTCCTACCCTATCATCATCAGATGGTTTATCCATGCGTTTCATACTGATGTCAGCTGAATTGCTATTAAGTGCTGGGGCAGTTTCACCTGTTAGACTTTTCTTTTGCTTTTTGGCTTCTACAGTTAATAAAATGTATAGATAAAATATAAATATTTTTGGTATTAAATTCATTTTAATTTACATACCCTTTCGTTGTTTCTTCATTTCTTCTTCTTGCTGATCTACAGCTGCACCCAAAAGAGTAAATATAATACCTGCTTGGGAGTTAATACCTACAGCTGTGACTAACATTTTGCCACTTCCCTCCATAACATGTGTACCTAAAATAAAACCAAAAACAATTACATTTTACTTTTCATCTAGAAAATTAATTTTACTATACTAACCAGACAATACCATTGGATCAAACAATTCTCCTTTTTTCACATGATCTGATTCTCCGGTTAATGATGATTCATCAATTTTTAAATCATTACTCTGAATGAGTACACCATCAGCTGGAAGTAAATCACCATACTTGATCTAAAAATAAAAGTTTGTTTAAATAAATTCAAAAAATTTTTTTTAATAATCTTAAAATTAATGTTTTACCTGACATATATCACCCACAACAATGTCACCAACAGATATCTGTCGTAGTTCACCCTGCCTGATTACATTGAACTTATGTTCACCTTCAATACGGTTTTGAAGACCTCTAAATTGCCTTTCTTTGGTATAGTCATTAAATGCTGTAACTATTACTACTACAATAACAGATATCAAAATTGCCAATCCTTCAATCCATCCATGTTTTGTTTCTTCATCTTCAAATGAAGGAGCTATTAAATATAAATATAATTCCATATAGTTTTGAATCTCATAAAATAAATGTATAATATTAAAATATAAAAACAATATATTGTAAAAATATGAATAAAAATCAAGATGATTTTTAAAAATGAAGTGTATAATATCTATTATAAAAATATATATATATATATATATATTAGCTTTAATATGTTAAATTATAATTTTTCAAATTAGAATAAAACATAATTATACGCATACTTCCTCCGTCGTTTGGTTTATATAACGATAGGATCAGAGAAACCAATGCAGCTATCTCCAAAATAATAAGAGTTACGTCTTGTAAGGCTTCCCAAATAAGTTGCATGAACGTTTTAGGCGGTTTGGGTGGTATAGTATTTGAGCCAAATGTTTCTTTCCTATGCTCTAGATCTGCACTAGAACCACTTAATCCTGTTCTCAAAAACAGTATTTATTTTAATAAAGACTTGTCATTTTTTAGCTTAAATATTATTTACCTTCACTTGGTGACGTATACAGCTTTTTACATAAGTCTTGTACTCCACCAAGTTCGTTGAGCTTGGTAATACCTTCACGCCCCCTATGCTCCATGAGCTCTCTTAGATTCTTTAACGTCACCCCATACTGGGCGGGTCGTCCATCTATTGTAGCCATTTTATAGCTTTTTGGTGATTTCTATAAGATTTAGGCTTTTTAGCCCAGTAAATGACTAGTGACTAGTCGTTGTCAATCAAAGACAACAATCCCACGACCGGTGTATCTCCGTCGTCTGTAATGTTCTTCTCTCCGTCACGATTGTAGTCTATAAAGATAAAAAAAAATAGCTGTTGTAAATAATATACACTATTTAATTTTTTTTCTGAAGGGGTGGTCATCAAAGGCGTGCCCATAAGACAGCTTTTACTGTGTCACACTGGTTTTGTTATATTGAATTAAATAGTTTAAATNCTAGCCAGGAAAGGAGCAGAGAACACCTATGTTGGACCAGAACCAGTGGTAGGGCTCACTGAGCAATCGCTCAAAGCGTTACCCAAGAATTGGTGCAGAGAACAACACAGGAAAATCTGGAAGTACTTGGTAGTACCTAGACAATCTAAAATGTTTATCAAGACCCCTGGTTTATTGCTGGGTGATCTTAATAGCATGACTAGACATCAAATAAGCACCCTGACTGGTCTACTGACAGGACATGGTCACCTGCTTAAGCATCTTAACGCAATGGGGGTATCGGAATCACCATTGTGCAGAAAATGTGGAGTAGAAGAGGAAGACTCATTTCACATCATGTGCGAATGTGAAGCCTTGTCCACACTAAGATCAAACTACTTTAATAAACCATTTCCTGAAAAAGAGGATATTAAAAACCTAAAACCCAGAGAGATACTTAATTTCGCCAGAAAGACAGGACTCTTTGGTCATCTCTAGAGGTGACTTATGGTTGGCAATGTATTAACACTTTGGTGATAACACTTAGGTGGGTAAACCGAATCAAGACAATTCGGTATGAGGTGCGCACAATGGACCAACAGGTCTGAGTGCATGGGCATTATGTCCACCTCAATAATAACTAAAACTAAAACTAAGTATAAATTATCCGAATGATAATTCCGGTTAGTATTTTTAACGCGGCACATTATCACATGTAACGTGGAATTACTCATGATCAGCTCACACGCATGTATAATATTTTGTTGACAATGCTCATCATAATCAACGAACACCGGACGTCACTAATTTACACCTACTACTGTCCGTTGGTTGATCGCAGCGAGGAGAGCAAGCATTGTACATAAGATCACAGACACTCGATGACGCAAACTGTTTATTGATGCTTAACGAGTTATAACCCGTTAATAATTAACACACATTTTATAACATGAAAATTATAGTCAACAAATGTTTAATTATGAAGTAGTAAAAATATTAAAATTTTTCTAAGTTTTAATGCAAATGTAAAAATTAATTATGAAGAATATTGCATAAAAAAAAAATGTATAGAATATTGTTATTGAATATATTCTAAAACTTGTAGTAGTTATAAATATTTTGCCCAAATAGGAGTGTTAAGAAGACTGTGTATAGAAGACTTTAGTGATTATGCGAATAAATTCTGATACAGATTTCTTATATTATCATTGTTAAAATTACAATTTTTGAATACTTCAGAAAAAAAATTAAATGGCATTCAGTGATATTTTTAAAATACAAGAAACCTGTAAAATATAGAGTGGTATCGTTGCTTTGGATTCATTGGCCAAATTATTTATTTGTAAATAATGGGTAAGTATTAAATAGGTATAATTTTGAAAAAAAAAAAAAAAGAAATTTAAATATTTAGATATTTAGATATGCAATAATGCTAAATTTATAACTGTATGTATTTTAATTTCCACTTAACCTTTATCATGTAAATTCTATAGTCTAGTATTAATGCACTTGTGACAAACAATTATATAACTAATTTAATACAATTAGAAGTATCATAAGGTAATATAAAAGCCACCGTTTATCACAAAATCTATTGTATAAAGTGTTCAGTAAGTAAGGAAACAGGTTAATTGTTACAAATAATGAGAATAATAGTTACCCGTTTCCTTACTTACTGAACACCTATATAATATTAACATCAAAGCATATCTAAATTATAAATTTTAAACTTGAAAATGAGCATGATAGCAATAAAAATAACAACATTTTGATGCAATGTAAAACTAAAAAAATATCTTAAGACGAATTAAAGAAATATAGGTTAATTACACTCATAATTATACATTTTTATATGTAAGTATTCGACTTGATTATTTTTAAAGAACTCCCACTTTCTGAGTATTATTAAAAATAGCTATTATAACATCCATTAACTATATACAAATACTGATAAGAATTTTCATAATTTATTTTTCAGTTCAAAATACTTATTAAAAACTGATTTTTAATCCATCAAAATTTTCTTTTAAATAATTTCAACAAAAATAACTGCTAAGAAATGATTTCAACTAGAAAATTAATAAATTACTACGAATAAAAAAAAACAAATAAAGTAAATTACACCAGAAGATTTTTTTTTAAATAACTAAATTTAGCGGGTAAGTATTTATTACTCATCAATTTTGTTTCATGAATTTTTTAATAATCTAAAATAACCAAAAATGTTATTTTTAATTTAAAATTTAGTGACATGTTTACATTATTTTTGTATTTAAGACACTAATACTCAGCTTGCTAGACTACTAATATTATTAAACAAAACAATAAAAGATTTCGAATTATTATCTCAAATTTTAACACAATAAAGAGAAAATGGAATTTTCAGTCATTTTTAATACGTTTTATTAATTAGACAAATTCATAAATTCTACTAAAATTTCAATATTTAGAGCCCAAGCTTTCCTAATTACCAAAATTATGCATGTGAACCACATGTAATGTACCCAATGTGACTTTTAATATTCTGATCCAATAAAATAATGTGTGCTTCATCAAAAATTTCTGATAAAACATAATAAGTTGTTTAACAATCAAATTATAATTTATTAAGAAAAACTGTTCAAAATAAAATTTTTTTCGACTAAAAATGTCAAGAAGTTGAATGAAGTAATGTCACAAATAAAAGTTATTCCTTTTTCATCAAAATGAAACTTTAAAAATGTAAACATGAGCAGATATTATATGATTATATTAATCTGTTATTTTAAAATCAAATCAATTAAGCAAATCACATAAAAGATCAGTTTTTTTTAATTCACCGTAAAAAATAAGTTAACTATATTAGATACATTAACATTTATATGTATTGAAGATAAAAATATTTTATTACAATAATTTATTTTCCAAAGTAAACATTTTTTACGTAAATATTGTAATGAAGTAATAAATTGCAATTCGTTTTCTTATGATTTTTGATCATGAGTGACCTTATTTACGATTTCGTTTTCTTTCTACTCGTCAATTGTATCGAGATGTCATTGAAAGTGCATTACTCTGGCGGTCTACTTTGATAAATAATTTTAGCGCAGGATTGTTTGCACGTGTTCATATATAATAAACTAATGCCTTTATCAAATAAACATTGCATCATAATCCACGTATTTTCTACCATAAGTTCTTACTTAACTGATATTTGTGCAACAAACATGGATAATACTAAAACTATGATATGGTTTTGCAGAGATACTTGTATTTCAGATGTATTTTGAAATATTACTTTAAGTACTGCTGTTACCGTAATCTAAAAATTATGTTTGACTGCCATTTTGTATAGTATTATTTATTTGGGGGAGGCGAAATAAATTTTAATACTATTCTATAGTTTATGAGTTTAAAAATAATTTAGAAGTTAATAACCTTTATTATTTAGTAGACTTCACAAATCAAACTACTAAATATATATGAAAGAGTTAAAGTTTTAATAAAACCACACCAATTATATCAAACAATTTAACTAAGATATAAATTACAACTTATTAAATAAACTAATTTACAGTAAAAATATCTATCGTAATAATTATAATTAAAATTATTTTAGCCGTATCAATCTACAGCACTAGTAAAATATTTACAAGTATTGTTAAGTAACACAATATATTTCTATACAAAAATTAAGTGATGAAATCTGTAAATATTAAACTGCTCCGTGTTTATCCACCACCCCAAGTTGGCCTATTTTATGATAACAAATAAAAACGACCATTTTTCCTATTCGCCAACTAAACTGAGCCTTAGAACATGATAATTGTAATAGAACTAACATTTCTGAAACACGCTCAACATATTTTTTATAAACTAACATATAGTTTTTAAAATCTGAGTAGATTTAAGTTGCTTACTAATGATCAACGTATAAAACAATGCAAATTTAACACAATAAAGCATTAATACAAAACAAAAAAATTCGTTTTTCAAGTGTACATTTAAAAAATGTAGCTCACGAGAAAATAAATTGTATTATTCTTTAATGAAATAAAAAAGTAAATATTAGATTATGACTATAGTTGTCAAGTAGGCATTTTCGAGGGTTCTGACTTGAAGTATTACTATAGATTGAGTGTAATAAAAATTAAATTTTTATAGTAAGAAAGAAGAACCACTCACCAGAAAATCATTTGAACCGGATCAACAATCTCCTTCGTCTGGATGCAATGATGGTGACGGCGGTCGTCTTGGCGGCGGCCGACGTTTTGATGATGATTGTGTCGGCGGCCGTCGTCGTGGTCGTTTTTGTCGTTGTAACGACGAACAAACGACGTTGGCGAACTTACCGCCAGTGGCGGCAGCGGCTTATTCTGCTACTTCAATGCTACTCTTGACAATACGATATCTTTTCTTTGCACCAAATAGCGAAATCTTTCTGCAAACATACATAAATACATTTATGAGTTAATACTACGCAGTTTAATATATGATCCGGGTGGCTGAAAAGATTTATCGTTCAATATTTTGCCACGCTTGAATAATTTTTCTTAAAAAAATCTGTTATCGGCATAGAATGTTTTTTTAAATTATTAATCGGTATCCACAACAACCAACACATTAGAATTCGGTTTTTCAACAAAAAACGATAGCCTCTTTAATTTTACCGGTTAAAACAAAATTGATTTTAATAAGGTATGGTTAGAATTTAAAATACATTTTTACAGTCATGCTATTACTAGGTACTAAACATTCACAAGATAATAAATAAAAGCTCATTAGAGAAGAGATAAATTCTCTCAGAACAAAAATGATTACGCTGTGAACATACAATTTAGTTTTCGTAAAAAGGATAAAAGCCAAAATAAAACACTACAGTTATAATTACAACAGTAATAATTTTGAGTCAATCCCTATGAAGCAAAAAGTTATGAGTTGAAGATACATTGGGAAAGGGGTATTAAAAATTGTCTTGTGAATAGTCTCCAAATTTTTTTTTTGTATGAAATTACGTATTTTCAAATTTTATTCCGTTATTAGTCGATTTTAACCGATTACCGGTAACTGAAAAAAGTATAACTGTTTTAAACGCTTAACATTTATTTTCATCTTCTTCTTCTTCCTCGCCATAATCCCAACTACTTGGGGTCGAGCACCCTTATCCTAAACTTCCACTTGACACGATCTCCCACATCCTCTACGCTCACATCAGCTTTCCTCAAATCGCATTCAATAACATCATTCCATCTCTTTTTTGGTCTTCCTCTACCTTTTCTTCCTTCAAAATTCATTTCTATAACTGTTCTTACAGCTTCCGATTCTTCTCTTCTCATAACATGACCAAACCATCTAAGTCTATTTTCTCTCATCTTATCAACGATTGACGCTACACCTATACTCCCNATAACATGACCAAACCATCTAAGTCTATTTTCTCTCATCTTATATGCTTATCCTATCTTCTCTAATCACTCCACTCATCCATCTAAGCATTCTCATCTCTGCTACACTCATTCTCTGCTCTACTTTCTTATCAATCGCCCAACACTCTGGACCATACATCATAGCTAGTCTCACTACAGTCTTGTAGAATTTACCTTTCAGCCTCATTTAAATGCTTTTTTCGCCTAAGACACCAGACGCTTCTCTCTACTTCAACTACCCGCACTTAATCCTGTGTTTTACATCCTCGTCAATACCACAGTTCTTTTGCACAACTTAACATTTATTTTCACAATTTTCTAAAAAAAAACAACGGTAATTATCAACCATTTTATACAAAACCTTAAATCAATATAAGTTACTGATTTTAATTAAAATTCGGATTTTAACAGGACCGATTAATTCTTTTTTTTTTTATAACGATTTCAAGCCTACACCCAAAGAAAAATCTCAATCAAAATTGAAAGAGAAATTTTATCAAGGGTTTATGATAATGTTTTATTAATACGAACAAAATAACTATTCTTATAAATAATTATTGTTCAAGACAAGAAAAAAAAATATTATATTGATAAATATATCATTGATTCAATAGTAATGATATATTTATCAAATTGAACAATGAATTTATTATATAGATCGAGGTTTTTCTCTGGGTGTAGCATATGTATGGAATTTTATATTGGTTTTAAGCTAATATGAAATATTATAAGCCACAAGTGATCAATTCTTATTATATAATTTATAATAATTGATCTAATGTATAAAAGTGATTTGAAGATTATTTTTTCAAGATTGATTAATACACTAGTGTAATGGAATCGTTACATGGTTAATAAAAATGTTAAAAACGTACTTCAATGAGTAATCCTGCGTGAAAAATCAATTGATTTTTCAGTTAACGTGACTAATGATGTAAAATAAATAAAATAATAAATAGGCTCACTCCAACGTAATTGTTAACAAGCATCTAACTATCGACGAATGACATCAAATTGAGTTTAGATCGCCTACATATGTTAATACCAGATGTTTAAGAAAAAGAACATTATTTATCATCGAATATTCAAATGAATATTAATTTAGCTCCAGTTTAGAAGAATCTCAGTACATAAGTATTCTAATGCTATATTGTCGATAGTGAAAAGAAGAGAATAAATTATAGACATTAATGTTAAACGGCTAAAACATCTGTATTTACTTCAAGCTAACAATATTTTTTTTAGAGCTGTAGCTCTAAATAATAATAATAGGTGTATATATACATCGAATTCAGCATGTTTTATACTGTCATATTGATTACAATCAAATATACGATACAATTTTTTTTCAGTAATATAATCCAAAAATATATTGTTAAACCAGTTAGGTTTTATAAGTTATCAAAACACGTGTAGGAGGAGGAATATTTGTGAAATTAAATATTTAATGAAATATTTTTATGAAAATAATGAAGTGATGTCATCAAATTAGACATTCTCCGGGACAACCATCTGACTTGTATTTGCCAAGATTATCATTTACTAGATAAAACGCCGTGAATATGCTAATTTAAAACTATGCAGTGTCATGCGTGTGCCTCGCCCGTTTTTCCTTACAAGGTAATACATCTACAGATAAAACTCATCTATTACTTTTATTTAGTTAAAGCGAGAAAAAAATAGTAGATAATACATGTTACATATCAACCAAAATCCCTGTAGTCAGAATTTACAGAAGATAATACAAATATATTACTGCTCACTTATAATGTCCCAATTAAATTTAAAAAATGTAATCTATTTGAACAGTTTTACTAATTCAATGTAGTATAAAATCAACGCAAAATTTATCTTTTAATGGATTAAAATAAATTAAAAAATCTTTTTAAGTTAAAAAGTACACCTTAAGTTCTGACTTATGTAACTCTAATAAATGCCAAAAAATTTAAAAAAATTGTACATACAAGTATATTCTTCCTTTGCCTAAACGTGTATGTATACATAATGCAATTTTTTTGTCAACTTATCTTTAATTAATACACTTATAAAATTTAAAATAAAAAAATGTATTTTATGATTAGTATCAGACAATTATTTTTATGATATAATACAAGGACGTTCTATTGACGTCCACAACGTAGTTTTTTTTTTTTGTACTCATTAAATTCAAAATATTTAAGACAAAATAGCCATATATTCATTAAATAAATAAAATTTTCTCTTATTAAATATAATCTAACTAATTTTCTAAAATTTCTTAACAAAGTTAAGAATATATATTTTATTTATTTATTAGAGACTTATCTATATTTCTTACTTCTGACCAATGAAGAATTACAGGTTTTAGTGCTTTGGGGCAGTTTATAAAAAAAATATTGTTTTCTTTTTTTACTTTAAAAATGATAATATAAAAACATAAACCCTAAAAATTATACTGCTAATAAGAATTACCTCGATAAATATTTGAAAAAATAATTACAACACAAATCTTAAGTATTTTTAACTAATATTCCTTTTTGTTTATCACAAATGGTATTACCATTCTTAACATAATGTTATACTTGCGTCATAGAATTGAGTAAGTATGTCCTTCTCATAATTGATATTTTATTTGATAATAAAATAAAGCAAGTACTCGAATGTAAAATGTAAATAAAAACTAAAATCACTTTTGATATTCATAAAAAGTTTGAGTAAGGTATATAAACTACTTGTATTACATTAAATACGTGAACGTTTAAAATTTACATTCTCTTGAAATGATTCATATTAATAAAAAACCACGTTAAGTAGTCATTTGTTTAACAGAAATAGTTTAATATATCTATTATAAAGATAGTATAATACAAAATAATATAAGTAATTATAGTAAAACTTTGGTAAGTTAAAAAAATATTTAAAATATACTATAATTCAATTTATCAACTATTGTATACAATAAGTAGTATAAAAAATAAAATTATTATACTACTAGCTTAAGAAAATTATGAAAATACTTATTAGAATAAAAAATGTATGTGAACGTTCAAAAGTGAAACATAAATAATTTAATTACAAAAAAAAAGAGTATTCATGTGGTTTGTATGTATTTGCTACACAATATTTTATTTAACGAGTACAAAAATACATTACAGCTAAAAGTATAGTCACGACACACAACCTGTGTACACAATTTGCTATATAAAAATATTAACAAACAACGGCAGTATTAACCGTGTCGCGGTCGTCTGGTCAACAAATGGTGAATTCGAAGCACGTAAGATACAATAGGAGCGAAAGTTCCATTACATTTTTACAGTAGTAACAACTACTAAAAAACCCAGAATGTTTAAAAGATTAGTTTTAGACTTAACAAAGACAAATTCGAGTTATTGTAATACTTAGAACTTATATAAATATCTTTGACGACACAGTAAACACATTAAAATACACTAATATTTCTTAGAAAACAAAAATGTTAATTATGTGCAAGCTTACCAGTAAATTAAAATTGGTTAGCGAGTAAATTTTGTTGATATAAACGTCACTTCCAAATTAAAATATTTTTAATTGGATAGCATGCTGGTTGCTACATTATACATGTTTTACATTTACAATGTAGAAAATGAATTACTGTATTAATTTTTTTATGGGATTTTTAGTAGAATTCAAAATCATTTTAGTTAATGAAAATGTAAATTAGATAATATAAATTATTTTAATAATTCCAAATAGTCTTAAATATTTCACGAGATAGAAATTAAAAAAAAATATGATTATGAAAAAAATATCATACAGTACTAATTAATTAAAATTATATAACTCGTTAAAGTCACTCCTAAAAATTCAAATGGCATAGTTAAAATGAAATTATAATAGCTCAAACGATTTATACAATCTACGTAATACGAACGCAGCTTGTATAAATCCGTTTAGCTTGATATTTAATTTAAAAAAAAAATCTCAAAAATTTAATAACAGTAAAGTTTAGATAAAGCCAAAAGATATCAGTAATATTTTGAAAATACTTAAAGTT